AAAGCCGAGAAAGAGGGATGGCGATGAAGAGAGCGAGAGCGAGAGAGCGGGCCTACTACCATCTGCACGAAAGGCGCTGGCCTCCCTGAGGATTGGTTGTGCCACAGAGAAGGAGAGTGGGGAGGGAGTGAGAGAGAGAGAGAGAGAGAAGAGCTTGGACGAGAGACAAAATCACAAAATGACAACACTCACACGCAGCAAGAAAAAAGAAAAAGAAAAAAAAAAAAAGGCTGGAAAATCGTGCCGATTTGGCCCTAGACACAGGCAAATGTCTAGCCTGAGTTGATCGATTTTGGTCTGGGCGTGCGGCGATTGCGAACGCGAGACTGCGCTCTTATTTTGGACAAGGGAAATCCAAGAGTGCAAAATGAATGATTCGAGACAGCGAGAAGGAGATCAAGTTGTTCGATGTGATCGCCTCAGCGTTCAGGCAAGATTTGATGACTCGAAAAAGCGAAACGAAAAAGACAAGAAAGAAAAAAAGTTACGCTCTTGTCGCTCCCTCCCTCCCTCCCTTCTCGTTCTTGCCATCCAACACCTGCTCTTTTTCGATTGCGTTTCTGTCCAGAACCATGGGGAAATCTCAATCACTCCGTGCCATGGACTGGAACTTCATGCAGATTTTTTTTGTTGATCGTTTTGCTGCATTTGGATGGATTGCCTTGCTCCCTCCATGCGCTCAACCACGCCGTTGAAAGAAAAAAAAAAAAAAAAAAAGCACGGCACTCCGGGCGAAAAGCATGGTTACACGTGGAACTACAGGATGATATGGATGGGACGAAAACAACCATCGAGCAACCAAGCACGCGGCGGTGGAGAGCGAGCGAGCGGATGTGACGGGACAAACGGCCGCAATCTTCAGCCCCCAATAAAAATCGTGATGACACAATTGTCCAAGAAGAAACGAAAAAAATAACGAAAAAATTAAGGCAATACAAACCTCCCACCAGAGAGCTCACAGGTGTGCGCAAACGAAAAGGTGGACTGAAGGATAAAATTTCGTCACAGCCACCTCCCAACTGATCACAGCCCCCCCCCACTTGCCTGTTTAGACGAGGGTGTCTTGCAGCGTTCAGGAACGGAAAACAAGCACTAGCAATTACGACAGCTACTGTCGGTCGTTTTACTGCTACATGAGCACAGACATGGTAGCATATCGGAGGGACATTGAACGCAACACACAATTTTGCATCAGAAATCAGAAGAAACAAAGCGAAAGCAACACACATAACACGAATAAACCTCATCGACAAGCACTGAAGTAACTTTGAAACGAGAGCAAAAGGAGAGCACAGGGGGGGGAGGGAAAGAGAACACGTCTGCGCAAAAAAAGCACATGGAAAGAAACCGCAGACTTCCTTCCGATCAGACCTCAGCCAGATGCCGGCACGCAAAAGCAGTGGACTTGCTCCAACCAGCGCGTTAAAACAAGTCTTGGCTCGTGCAAAAATCGGGCGTGAATGGCACGCAGTCGGCGTAGCGGCACCACGAGCAAAAGTTGGGAACATTGAGCGCGTAGAAGACCACCAGCGAGGCAATAAACATCATGATGAGCAGAGGGATGCAGACAACCAGCAGAATACGCTTGCGTCGCTGGTCCCATTTGCCAAAGACAATGTAGGGCAAGAAGATGATGCCGGCAACCACACCAAAGAAAAAGCCACCAATGTGTGCCCAGTTGTCGACCCACGGCAGCAGTCCAATCACCAGTGCAATTACCACCAGGAGAATGAGCTTGATGAGTTCCACGACTGGACGGCGACACAGCTGCCACGACTGGAAGAGCTCGACAAAGAGCACCCCCAAAAAGCCAAAGAGCGCGCCCGTGCCTCCCACGGTCGGTTGGTTTGGCACAAAAATGGCCGAAATGATGTCGCCACCAATGCCAGAGATGAAAAAGATGAGCGCCGTACGGAGCCAGCCCGCACTGCGCTCGACTTGCCCGACGACCGAGTTTTCAAAGATGGCCACAAAGATGAAATGAATGATGCCGACATGCAGGAAGATTGGCGAGATAAACCGATACCATTGCGCAGGGTCGTCGCGATGCTGGAGACCGACGTGGCTGCACAAGTCGCCCATCGGCTCAATCTCAGAGCAGAGCTCCTTGTCCTCGTGGTAGTAGCCATCCAGGAAGTCGCAAGCGTCGGACGTCAGGAGCTCGCACGTTCCCAGGTAGCCGTAGGTACACGGATGCAGCACGATATCGGTGCAGTTTGGGACGGTTGAACACACACGATCGACCGTATAAGTACCGATGGATGGACTACACGTTGCGGGAGCCATGCGGCCGCAGACGTTGGGCGTGCCCAAGCGCTGACAACAAACATAGCTTTGCTCCTGGATGGTCTGGTTGGCAAGCGCATTGATGATACCAGCGTCTTGCCGTATACAGGGTGTGTACTTGGCACCAAAATTGATGAGGAATTTCGTGTCGGGACCAATCCAAAAGTTTGCCGATGAGTTGCGGCTGTACGTTCGCACACCCACAAACCAGGCCTTATTTGCCGTTTCGACCTCAATGTTGAACGCGATCGGCGCCACGCCGGCCTTGCCAAGCTCGGCAATGAGCATGATGAGCTGAATCGCAATGATGAATCGGGTAAACCACGGCTTGTACACGGGCATGGCACGCAGCTGGTCCTTGACCAGCGTGTCGAGTCGGCTCCAAGAGCGCTGGTGCTCGGGCATGATGCGACTTGCGCGACCTCGTGGGCGTCGTGATGATGAGGAGGAGGACGATCCTCGGTTGTTGTTGTTGTTGTTGTTGTTGTTGTTGTTGCTGGAGCGGCTGGCAGCCATCGAGAAGGCGCCTGCGGAGGCTGCCGAAACAATAATGTCCGACTCTGTGTAGGCTGGCGGGGGACCAGACACATCGTCGCTGGCAAACCAGTCTTCAGCCAGGTAATCGACGGGAGCCGGGGGCCGCGACTGCGCACGCTGGGCCACGGCCGCGTCCACGGCAATGCCAGATGCAGCCAGAGCCGCAGCGTAAAAGTCCGAGACCGGGGCGGCGTTCGCTTGCTGCCCACCACTTCCTGCACCAAAAGCCGAAGCGACGGCTGGGCGGGGCTGGCGTCGTTGCCCACGCGTTGAGCGACCACCGCCAACCGAGAGCGTGCGAATTTCAAGCTCGGGATCGCGCAGCGGACTCTGCCCAGCAGGTCCAGCCGCAGCAGAACGCGGGCGCGAGCCGTCGCGCGACGCTGGGCGCAGCACTGTAACATCGCCATCCATCTCTGCGGCGCGGATGTTGGGGAACACTGGTGCCTCGGGACCGCGCCACGACGCCGGAATCACGGCCGAGACGGGGCGCGGCGACCGAGCCGGGGACGCAGACGGACCAACAGTCGATGCCGGGCGTGAGCGCGATTGCCCTGGGACACCCAAGAGGACCGCGTCAGCGCGAGTGTCTGGCGCTGGGGAGCGACGATCAGGGATTGGTGGAGGGAGGCCTTCGCCCAGCTGAACAACGTCAGAGTGCGGCGAGGGTGATCCTCGTGCAGGGGTGCCAGGGAAGTGGACTGGAGAGCCAGTTCGACTGCGATCCGGGCGCGGCGGCGGCGGCACAGACGGAGTCTGAGCATCGGGGACGGAGAAATCAAACGTATCCACCACCATTGCAGGACGGGGCCCAGCTCGAGACGGTCCAACCGTAGCCGCCTTCTCCAACTCGCGACGCTTTGCAAACTGGTCGAGGGCGGCTGCTTGGGCCGCAATCTCGGCATCGCGCTGGGCGTAGAACCGCAACTCGTCTTCTTGGAGCCGCAAAAACTCCTCCTCGGTCACACCGGCGGCCGCCAGTGCCAAGCTGGATTCCGACGCGCCAAGATATGCCGCGGGATGCTGAGCAGGTTGCGGAGCAGTGGCGGCAGGCGTTGCTGCGGGGGACCGAGCCGCGGCGGTCGGCGTCGCACGCACAAGCAGCGGAGGCGCTGCGGGCGCTGCGGGCGCTGCGGGCGGTGATGCGATGCGCTGCATTGGGATTTCCTGTGGCAGAGATAGATCTGGAATTGTGTCATACTCGGTGTCGGCTTCCTCGGCGAGATTGCCAAGATGGTGAAAGCCGACACGCGATGTCTTGCGTGCCAGCTGCGGGCTACTGGGCCCACTGGTGTTGCCGCTGCTGCTGCTGCCCCTGCCTTCGTTTGCCCCAGGCACTGGATCGACCGAGCCCGGACGCGACAGACGACGCAAGGAGCTGTTGATGGTCGAGCCCAGGCGCACGAGCGTGCCAGTGCCTCCATCCGCCATCACAATACCACCGTCTCTCGAGGTTCGCTGCTCAATGGTGTGCTGCCAGCGCGCTTGATGCTCGTCTGAGACGCCGAAAAAGTTGGTCAGGCCACGCTTGAATTGGCCCGCCATGTTCTGCAAGGACGGCTTGCGCAAGCCGTTGCGTTGTGCATCCCGCGGCATTCGTCGCGTGCCAGCTCGGCTGTTGTTTTTCATGGTATCAAGAATCTGTGCACACGACGTATGGACATTGAGCGCACAGAAACAAAAAAAAAACCAATGACAATCATCATCATCAAAAATCAACTTCACTTGGCTTACACCAACAAATTCGCGCAGACCGCAGGCCCCATCCTTGGAGATGGACTCGAAAAGCTCGACAAAGTCACTCATGTCGCTCTGGCCGAGCTCGGCCGTCTCGCGCACATCGTCGAACAGCTGGTCTGCAGCAGGACGGCGGACCAAGCCAGTGCCCTGGTCGAATCGACCAAACGCGGTGCGGAAGGCCGTGAGCTGGCTTTCCGTGAATCCAAAGGCGGCCATCTGCAAAGTGCAAGAAGGTTGATGAAAAATGATGATGGGTGAGTGAGTGAGTGGCCATGCGTCAAGCTTCAACAACCAAGCAAATACAAAGAAAGCACCAAAGATCAAAGATCGAGACCGCATGTTGTTGTTTGCTCCGTTCAAAGTACTTTTTGCTCGAGAGGATGACTGCAAACTATGTGACAGTCACTGTTACGGTTTTGCTTGACTGCGAGATGGTTTCGATCAAGAAGGAGAGAAAGGGCAAAAGAGCAAAAGATGAAGGCGGGCGTGGAGTTGGATTTGGATTGGGTTGTCTTGCACACTACTTGCCCTTGTTTCTTCCCCAACCCCAACCCCCCCGAATCACAGAGCAACCGAGCCAGTAACCCCGACAGCGGCAACTTCCAGACAGTGATGCGATGATTCAACAGAGAGCGCACGCGGGTGAGTGAGTGAGAGTGAGAGTGAGTGTATGAGCGAACAGAAGTTAAAAAAAAAAAACCAAAAAAACCAAAACACAGCGAGCGCTCTGCTTTGGCGGATGGTGACGCATCTGAAAGAGCGGCCGAACGACCGGCCAAAGAAAGCGACTCCCGAAGTGCGCAATGACAGAGGCAACCGCATCGCCGTGGCGTGAGGACGTGAGCAAGCAAGAGCAGAAGGAAAGTGACAAAGCAAGGGAAAGGAGGAAATGCCTTTTTTTTTTTTTTTTTTTTTTTTTTTTTTTTTTTTTGGGTTGACAAGAAGCCGCCCCGCCCCGTCTTCCCCTCGCCTGTCGTCCCACTGCTGCAAACCGTCACGAACGACGGGAGGGGCGGCGAGGTGGTGCATCTCTTCACAAGAAGATCTCGCAATCAGAGTCGCAACGCCAGCTTGGTGTTGGTTGGAACCGCAAGAACAGACCAAAGTGTTGAAACAAAGTCAAACCTCAAAGCAAAACCAAACCAAAAACGAAAAAAAAAAAAAAAACCATTGTCGCGACTCGCGCCTTTCGTTCGAAATGCCACACAGGGGGACAAGCTGCACACTGAGCACTGTTGAGCTGTGCCAGTGAACGCGGATGGGTCTGGCTTGGATGCCAGGCTTGCAACAACAAAGCGCACACAGATTAAAGCAAAACGAAAAAAAAAAAAAAAAAAAAAAAAAAAAGAGGAACCGACCAGAAAGTGGTAGTGGCACTTGTTGGAAGGAAAGCGGGACTGCGCGACGCGTACCTTACTTTGCTGGGTTTGGACATGGGAGTCGGGGTAAGAAACTCGGGCGAATACCACTGTGGGGGGTCAAAGCAATGCTAATAGGAAGGGAAGTGACATGAGGGGGGGGAGGAGCTGTCAAAATGCCGCTTCTGAACGAGAGCACGCGATGGGAAAATCAAAAGAACGAAAAGCCTAAAAAAAGGGCCTTGGGAAATGATCTTGGGCGTTTTACTCGAGCGTTTGTTTCAAACATCAACGGATTCGGATTCTCACGGTTGACCCAATGCTTGGCTTGCTGCTGGTCCTTATTCAATTTCCGTACCACACGGTCAAAGCTCGGCGACAAGAGTTAAAAAAAAACAAAACAAAAAACCACCACAAACGAACATCAAGAATCTTCTGTATTGGCCTTTTCATTCACAATCGCCCGGACTGCTCCAAGCGTATCCGCGAAAATATGTAGCTGGCAAGCGCAGAATGATCGCGAATTGCACCGTGGTTTGGGAGAATCTCTGTCAACGTTGCAAGCACATCGTAACTGCGCCAAAAGGTCCGGCTCGTCTTGACAAGGTCGGCGGCCTGCGGCTCCACGGCAGATGGGCTCTCCGGGGCGGAAGCATACACGCCGACTTGTTGGAACAGGTCGGGCACGAGACGATACTCTGTGGCAGACCGGCTCTGCACGTAGCTTTGAAGGATGGACTGCAGCGGCTTGCTGTGCGCGTGTTGCCGGAGGTATCGGCTCAAGACTGCCGCGTGGTTGGCGGGATAGATTTGTGCTTCCGGAATCGACACGCCAGACACTTGGTTGACGCCAAACTGCGCGGCAATGACGTTTTGCTTGCCAGCAATGAGCGGCAAGGCGACGACGAGAAGTACGCCCGTCACGAATCCCAAGGGCCAGAGGTAGAAAGCCCGAGCCGTTCGCGAGTGGACCATGACCAGCATGTACTGCGTGTTGATGAATAGACAGGTTGAGTTAGTGCCAAAAGAGAGCGAACGACACAACAAGGTTTTCCCAAAGAACAAAACAAAAAACGTGTTGCACATACCGAAACGATCAATCCTCCAGCAATTCCAAGAACAGCAAGTAAAATACGGTCTGTTCCAAACAGTAGGCGGGCAATGGAGAGTGGTGAGCAACAATTGCGCTTGGTGTACCTGGAAGTGTCCGACTGCTCACTTGGAAAAGCTCGCCCCCACTGCCTCCTCTGCCCTCCCAACCACGACACTCACCTTCCAGGGTAAACCCTCCATAGTAGTCAGTGTAAAAGAGCTTGAGCGTCAGCCAGTTTTCGGGCATGGACTGCTCGAGACGGTCAATGGCAGCAAGCGACTTGGGAACAAAGTACGGCGCCGCAACCGCATTGTTCTTGACAATCAATACGTAGTTGGAGGTGGCAGCGCAGAAATCCAGCATGTACGCATAGTTGAGCGTCTCCATTGCCGCGCGCGACGCAGCTGCAGCAGATGGCTTTGATTGTGCGTCCAGCGCGTAGGAAGCGTCCGGCCCTTGCAGAACGGGCAGCAAGGGGGACAAGCGCTCGGCCACCTCGTCGTACTGATCCTGCTCGGCGAGTAGGACCAACGACACCTTTTCGGCATCATCGGGACTGAGATGCATGAGGATGGACGCGACGGAATCCTCCAAGTACGGAGAATTTTCCATGCCAGAGCTGGTCAATCCAATGCACAGGACTGACTCTTTGCCGGATTCGGGTGTGACCAGCTCCGGGAACCAAGAGCGTTGATGATGCATCATTTCACGCTCTTTGAGCGTGACCGGTGGGAGCTTGAAGGGGCTGAGATCGGCGCCGCCGTGTATTCTCCGCCGCACCGACGACGCTCCACCCACTGCGTTCGCCCGAGCGCTCAATGGGTCCGGACTGCCCTTGGTGTCAGCAGTTCTTCTGGTCAGTGCCGGAACTGCGGCGGCGGCAGGCGCATCGGCGCCTTTGGATGCATCACCCGATGTTTCGGCGTTCTTCATCCGCCCAGCTCGCGTGCCCGTCATCATCAGGATGTGCCGGGTTCCATCTTGCACCTTGTCTGCGCCTTGCAGCTGGTCTTGCGCACCATCGCTCAACTGTTGTGCCATGCCAGCAGGCTCGGTTTCGCCATCAACGGCAGCACCTTGCGACAGTAATCGCCGTTGGTGCTGCTGCTGCTGTTGTTGTGTACCACCGAAATCCGCACTCGCATTCTGCGCCACCTTCAACCGCCAGTCGACAAACCTGCGCGACGCCTCGTGCCGCTCATTGTCGGCGCGTTGCCAGGCATCGACGTCGGGCTTCCAGTAGCGCGAGTACTCGACCGGATCGTACACACTGCGCGCCACGAGGTACACGGCACCCAGGCTGAGCAGCAGCACGGCGGCCAATCGCGCTGCAGACAGCATGCGTCCCTCCGGTGTCGACAGTCCGCCTGCCATGCCCGCCGAGCGGGACGCGCTGTTTGAAATATACATGAGCAACCCGCTGCTGCCTGCGCGACGGAGCCCGCCAGCCTCGGCGTCCGACGATGACAGCTGGCGATGGTGGGCGTTCTTCAGCATTCTTCCTTCAGCTCCTCCTCCTCCGAGAGTACTGCCGCCGTGAATGTTACTACTGCTACCGCTCGCACCACCTCCAGCAGCGTTGCCAGGTCGTGCTGATCGCATGGCGTGATGTTCTGTTGGACAGGTTTTCTCGTGTCTGAAGAAGAGTGAAACCGCGGACGTTTAAAAACGCCGTCTTTTTTTTTTTTTTTTGTTACGGCAAGTTTTTTTTTTAAAATAACGGGGAAACATTCGGTTTTTCTGTCGGCTTTTCCGGATCGATCAAAAGAGCGAAGCAATCGACACCGTCGCTCCAGCAACACGACGATAACAACAACAACAACAACAACATGATCATCTTTGTCAAAAACATAGAAAGAGATGCACGGCTGTGGGGTGAATCATCGCTTCTAGAGATCTGCCCATGAGGTCAAACCCACATCTGGCGGATCTCAACATCCCAACCAGTGCGGTACATGGATGCTGCACTCGCATGAAGAGAGGGTATTTCCAGTGACCGCTGCATTTCATTTCGAGAGGCTGGTAATTTCGCATGACGATGGAAAATGGCAGAGTGTCGATTTTGGATTTAAGAGGTGAAAACAGGACCATTTTCGGTGCCGCAGCCCTGTCTGTAAAAATGACTCATGGGTGGTTTGCTTTTTCTCTGTCGCGTTGCTCGCCAAGCACGAATCTGGAAGCGCAGAGAGACGAAACCAAAACTTAAAATCTGGCAGTCCTTTTGTTTTTGCGCGGTTGATTCAAAAAGGTTTCAGACGTATCTTTTCTCAAGTAAGACAGGATCAAGTTGTTTGTTTTTGTGCTGTTTTTTTTTTTTTTTTTGAATGGAGCAGTGCGAACAGCGCGTGTACTGACAGAACTGGAGATGAGGACAGACTGGACTTGGATGCAGCTCGTATGACAGAGAGACAGCGCGATGCGTATGACCGAGTCCTGAATGCGAGTAGATATTTATCGTACGGGAAAGCCGAATGGATTGCAGAGAAAGGGCGACAGCGCGTGTGCTGACGAGCTGGAGATAGGCTACAGCGGGAGCAGCTTGGCGATGCAGAAGCGCAGGCGGTCGCTGAGGCTCTCAAAGAGAACACGGTGGTGACGATGCTCTTGTAAGGCGTTTTGCATGAGTGACTGACTTCAGCCATAGGGTATTCCGAGTACTCACTGATCCGGGGGCGTGGGGGTGCGGGGACAGTCTGCGCCAAAATCAGATTGGCGATGCTGGTGCAAAGGCAATTGCAGAGGCACTCAGACTGAACAAGACGCTGCAACATCTCTAGTAAGAAATCTCACATTCGCTGATGCATGTGAGTGGGTGATTTCAGCAGAGTGCTCACCGATGAAGGGGCCGACAGTCTGCAACAGAATCAGATTGGTGATGATGGAGCGCTGGCCATTGCTCAAACGCTCAGAGTGAACACGACGCTGCACACGCTCTAGTAAGGCATCTCACTCTTGTTGGTGCATGAGAGTGGGTGGCTCAGACGAGTGCTCACTGATGGAGGGGGGGGGGATAAAACAGTCTGAACGACAATCAGTTGGGTGATGGTGGAGCACAGGCGATTGCTGAGGCACTCACAGTAAATGGGACGTTAGCAACACTCTCGTAAGGCATCACATTGACGTGATTCGGGTGGATGTCCCAGCAGGGGGCATTCAGAGTGTGCTCACTGATGAAAGCCAGTCTGGGTGAGAATCAGATTGGCGATGCTGGAGCGCGCGCGACTGCAGACGCACTCAAAGTAAACAAGGCGCTGACTGAGCTCCAGTAAAGCATCTCACTTGGACTAGTTCATGCGGTTGAGCGAGTTTTACGGGAGAAAATTCAGAGTGCTCACTGATGGAGGGGGGATGGAGCAGTCTGAGTGGCAATCAGATTGGCGATGCTGGCGCGCAAGCGATTGCTGAAGCACTCAAACTGAACACGACACTGACTCAGTTCTAGTAAGTTGGCTGATACATGTGAGTGGGTGATACATAGTAGTGCTCATTGATGGAGGGAATGAGCAGCTTTTACAAGAATCAGGTAGGCGATGCTGGAGCGCAAGCGATTGCAGAGGCGCTCAAAGTGAACTCGTCGTTGACTGAGGTCAAGTAAGGCATCACTATGATTGATGCATGGAGAGGGGTGGTGCGTGGGTGATCAAACATAGAGCATTCAGAGCGCTGATGGCTGGGTGGGCAACAGCTTGGACACAAACCAGATTGGCGATGCTGGAGCGCAGGCGATCGCTGAGGCACTCAAAGTGAACACGACGCTGACTGCGCTCAAGTAAGTTGCTATGTGTTTTTGCTCGTTTCGAGTGTTATTACGTTGTCATCCTGCTCACCGTTTGAGTAACAGGCTTAACAATAACTGCATCAGCGACGTTGGCGTTCAAGCGATTGACGGGGCGCGCAACGGCACTCTGACCAACCTTGTGTAGGTTGCTTGTTCTTGCCAATGGGAGCCGCGCTGCTGCTCCTTCCATGTGTTACTCCAGTGGCACTGTCAACTGCTCATTGATCTTGCTTGTTCGCTGAGCAGCATCTCCCGCCAGATAAACCCTCTTGCATTCTCCTTACTTCCACGCAAAGCAACTGCTGAAGACACTCAGACCGTGTTTCGATTGCTGATTCGTGGGCCGGAACTGAACGACCAATCCGCACATCTGCCACTCCTACCTGCGGAGATTGCCGAGCGCATCATGGACGAAGCGTATTACTTTCCAGGCATCCAGCGCACGAAGCGAGAATGGTTCTTGAGCGATCAACCGAACAATGCTCTGAAAGTCACCATGCCTCGAAGCATCGATGGAAATTCCATCCGCGTGAAGGCAATTCAAGTGCTTCGTGCACATCTCGATGTCGCACAGAGCAGCGTTTTCGAGTTGATTGTCCGAGATGAGCACGGTGCTGTTCGATACGAAGGAGCAGTGCAATCGACTTTCGTCCATTCGTCCACTCACCTTGCGACACTTTGGCCAGTGACTCATCCCATCATCCGGCAAATGCGCGAGGGTTGGGAGATCCAACTGCGACCGTGGTTTGCACAGGAGGTGCTGCTCGAGTCTCTGTACGTCGGATATGTTTAACGACAGTTTCACAATGGCTTGTGTGTCCAATACATTGAAAGTTCCCGACAGTGTTCAAGGCCAGCCTTCCCCGTTGTCCATTCCAATAAACCCAACAAACAGCCTTCGTGTTCCAAAGATATTACTCGAGTGCTTTCGGCAAATTTTTCCGATTGCCAAAAAGCCGCTCGCGCCAAAAAGCGCCATCCCGCCGTTCTAAGCACATCCTCTAGCGAGCCGATTGCTGATCCTAACTATTTGTGATTCTTGCTGTGTGTGTTTTTTTTTGAATAAATTGTTCTCAGACAAGCGCTCAGAGACGGAGCCATTCATTCAGTCGTTGTTTTCTACGAAAATGGTTGCACCAACGCTGTCTCGCACGCTGCTCATGATGGGCTTCCAAGCGGCGACGATGCCCGTGTTCCGGAATGGCGCATGGCGGCCACCGATGCTGTCCAAGCGCGAGGTCGCACAGAGCCTGAAGCTCTTTGGTCCTGGCATTGTGCCTGCGCCAAAGGTCTCCAACTGGCAGCCAACGCACGCCAAGGGCCACCTCTACGACATCCAGAAGGGGACACGGTAACAACACAACGACAAAGCTCCCCGCCGCACCCTGATGACCAAGGCGCAGCCTCGGGGGAGGGGGTTGCTTGTGTGGCTGTGACAGTGAGAAGAGAAGAGAGACTGAACTGGTCAACGATCCTTCCTGCGAGGCACGCACAGAGCACCCGTCGCCGCCTTGTGATGCGCAAATGATACGCTCGCAGCATGGAGGACACACGGGAGAGCGACAGAGCGACGAGGGGGGGGCGGCTTTGCTGGAGATGCAAACGGGAGGGAAGAAAGGGCGAGATCTCTGCCGCGTGCTTCATTTGGCTGGGCTACCATTGCGACTCCACTGACCAACTCACCTCAAAGACGACCCCCATACACTCGTAGCTCGTACTCGGACTTGGTCGAGACAAATGCAGTTTCCCCGGATGGTCTCAAAACACTCATCTTGGCGATACTTTTTGTGGTTTGGATTTTGGACAGACAAGCAAAGGTTGACAAGATTATGGAGACAATGCAAGCACAGAAGGACGCACTCCGACAGGTACTGCAAACATGGTGCATGTCGCGATTGTGATTATTTGTTCAAACCTGATGCTGACGGTTGGAGCTTCAATCTCGGTTTTTTGCCATTGTTTTCGATCGTTGTTTTGGGTAGGAGCGCCGCAACTATCGCATCACGGTGCGCGCAGACTCAAAGCCGGTGGCATCGGATACTTACACCGAGGCAGATCAGCTTGCATCCAAGCTCAAGCGCGAGCGTCTCATGGCAAAAAAGGAAGCCAAGAAGGAGAAGAAGGCCCGCTAAATGGCCTTTTGTTTTTATCGTTCTGCTGTTTCTTTTCCGTTATTGCTTGGAGTTGGACTGTGTGGATTTCTCGTGTTCAAAAGTTGTGTACAACATGCTGTTGTTTTCTCGAAGCCCGTTTCCCCAATTTTGCGCACTTGGCGTTTCCTTTTTTTTTTTTTTTGCGTTTGACAGCCACTGGCTGCTTCTTGAACAGCAAAACCCAAAAACGCAAGCATCTCTTTGGTCCTCCAAGGTTATTTGATACTCGTAAAATATCAGCCGATGCGAATGCATCCCTTTTCGAAGCAATTGTTTGCGACTCAGTCGTTTTTGTTTATTCAAAGTCGAGCGCACAAAAAATGCCGCGCATCGAAGCCGTTCACCTCTCTCGCACCGGTGGACTGAGTCTCATTTGGTGAGGATATGGGTTGAGTACTTGCTGGAGCTGCGGGGCGGGGGGTTTGACCTCGGCGGCGAGGGATTGCGTTGATTGTTGCTTGACAACTGACATTTTTGGGGTCGCATTGTGGCAGGCGGGCAGCGTATCAGATCAAAGGCATGCGCAATGATCTTCTCTGGAGTATCGACGTGCCTTCTGTTTGGTAAAGACTGTTGTTTCCAGCCGGGCAAAGGCTGTTTGGAGTTTGCAGTGCAGAAACCATTGCCATCCACACTTTTCATCATGCAGCATTGCTCCAACGGGTCGACCGTCCTCCTCCGGCTGATACAATATAGAGTCGAGCAATATCTATCGAAAAGTATCATCTCGAGCTCCGCAGATGACGTTATTTTGACTGGGGATGCGTTGGCGGCGAATGAAGGAACATTTCCTTATTTGGTGCAACGCCGCCTGGCAGAGCTGGATCTCAGACACCGAGTCACCTTTCTCTGTCGGTCTTCTTCAACTCTGGTAGAAACACAATATTCACGGCTAGGCGAGGTCGAATGGCGGCGGGAGATCGATCACCTTGGCCCATCGGCCGCTGCAAAGTTTTAAAGCGCAAACATTCATTCAAACATTCATTCAAACACTCGCATTTTCACAATCGACGCTCTCCTTGAGCTTCCCAGACCCCCCCCCCGCTTGATCCTTCGCTGTGTTCTTGTTTTGATTCAACACTGTTGCTTACGATGAAATCGCATCATACTAGCTCTGAATTGCTGGCAACGAGTCGCAATCTGTCGTTGCGCATGATTGCGTGTCTGCTTGTCGGCATTGTGCAAGTGCACCACGCCAAAGCAGTCCGGGTGCTCAGTAAGTTGATCAGCAGCGATGTGTTAGATATGATTTGGTGTGTTTGTGTGCGCTATTCCTTGAAAAGAGGTTTGTCGCTCAGCTTTTGTTTATGTTTGCCAGGCCATTCACGCCTGACTTGGAACGCACTGCGCCAGTCCGAATTGAACCTGCACCGCGTGCCAATTGATCTGCCTCCTGTGACTGTTCGGTTTGTACTTGGCTGCTAGATGTTGAGGCGATTCATGCCACCAAAGCCAATCTGACACTATTTTGTTTTGGGTTTTTGAGCCAGAACGGATATTCTGCGCATTCCCGCATTAAACGAGTCCAAGTTGGTCCCTCCAGAGCTGCCGTCCATGGAGGAGATGCTTGTTAGTCGAGTCGCGGCGTTGTGTTCCGTTTTCCGGAGATTGTTCGTTTTGCTGTGACACTAAATTTCAAGATAGGCACATCAAGGGCTGGATTTCAACAGAGACTTTATTGCTGCCTGGCCCGCTTCATCGACTGACACGATGGGACCAGCTCAGGAGGGTGGAGATGACGACGCGTTGGCGAGTGCACTTGACCATCTTGGGCTGGACTTTTTTGCGCCAATCACAACGAAAGATGTGGTCAATCGCGCACCAAATGAGCAAGCATCGGCACTGATGTCGAGTACGGCGCCGGTTTCATCAATCAACACTGTTCCATGTAAGGAAGCCCTTGTCCAGATCATTTGAATGAGGGCTGGCCATCTCACATGTCATCGAGTCAGGGCCAGCACCAACAGAACCTTTCGTTTCCAACCCCATTTCCATCACCTTTCCATCATTCTACCCGAGCTCTGGCAACGAGGTTGCTTGGATGGCCGATGATTTTGGTCCTCGACCGAACACACCAGGAGGGGAAGCGTTGAACGCGTCGTTCGACTACAATCCTGATGACTTTTACGGCGATGACGGTGACGCGGGCTATGACAGGTACAGCAGACCGTCAGAGCGAAGGTGGAGCTCAGCCATTGATCGAACTGTGTGCTCATGGACGTTTTGTGTTTTGTGGATAATTTGCAGCGATGAAAATCTCGCTTGGGCTGCGCAGGATGAGCGGGTGCAAGTCGGACAGCCGGCTCTGCCTGTTCCACAACCTCGACAACCCCAGCAGACTCAATGTAAGACAGAGCCGAGGGAGTGGGAGAACACAACGGACCGAGCGCGCTGAATTTGACCCTTGCGAACAGGGAGTCCGGCGAGGGCAGGTCTCCAGCAAGGCCTAATGGCCGAAGCGGACGAAGATGGACCCGTGCTGCTACTTCAAGAGCCTGTGACACCACCAGCCGAAGCCATCAGCCAAGGTACGCGATTGGAAAAGCAGCGGCGAGCATTCCAGTTTCTTCAAACTTTCAGTTCTGCCAACTTTTGACTTTTCCGCACTCTCCCCACAGCAGCAAACACTAGCAGCGTGTTTGAAATGAGCCCCGGTTCCGCGCGCGCTGACAGCTTAGACGCGAGCTTTGAGTCGCACGTTTCGACTGTAAGAATTGACAAGAGTTGTGAATGTTTGATTATCCTTCTTGACTTTCCGGGGGAATGGGTTCTGAGCAGGCATCTTTGGCCACCAGGCTTCAACCCTTGGCAGCAACGCCCCGGACTCCACGCAAAACACGAGCGACACCATCCTATGACGCCAGTACACAGCTCTCTAGCAGCCAACTTCGACACAGCATGGCCAACACCCATCGCCTCACGCGCGAGTTTGTGAATGAGGTATGCCACACTTGTTCTTGCGCAAGTTGAGCATGTGTAGCGCACATACACCATCATGTGCTCATTTTCATTCAACACCCTTCAGGGGAAGAGCTCTGCTCGCCGAGACTTGGAAAAGATTTTCCACAGCAGCGCCTTTGGACCGGGTAACAGAGAGAAAGAGAAACCGAGCATTGAATGCAAGCCATACCTGGCTATGAGATCTTGTGGTGCTGAATCTGTCGGGATGAGCAGAAACGTCAATCTTGAGCTTGATTTGGAACACGGGCATGGACGCCGAGATGGTCGCGCAGAAAGCGATGCGCTGGGCACCATCCAACGCCGCGTCTCCACCGCCAGACAATGACCTTGGACACGCATGGGTGAGAAGTCGTTGGCGACGGTGTGACGAAAGAATGGCAAATCGCAAGCACAATGGAACGTAGTTTTTACATTGATAGTTTGACGCGATGAACTGCCTGTTCAGAGCGACGAGGACGACGACGACTTCGTCGATGATTATGGTGGTTCGGCGGATGTGCCGCAGACACCACCGCCTCTGGCACCGCCTCCAATCCACTCTGCGTTCAAGTCACCCTCGCCACAGCGTGAAGTGGCACGCTCTCCCCTTGCGCACATGTTGCCCTGGAATTCCGACTTTATGCTTGGTACTGACACCTTGCAAAGTAGCGTAGCGTATGCACATCACTGCACAGATTCTCACCGAATTTCTCATGCTTAGATCCGGACTGGATGCGACTGGTGGAAGAGCGTCTTGAAGTCTCTGATGGATCGCTCAGGTAGGGCAAGCTCGCTCCTGCTCACCAAGGTGCCAATTTCGCAAAGATTAACAATGTCCAACCCGTCTTGGTGGCTGCAGTCCGGACAGCAAAGCTTCCAGCTCGTCTCGTCGGTCAACCAACGTTTCGGCCCTGTCTGCACTTTCCTACCACGATGGTATGCCAGTGTTGCGTCACAGTTTCGCAAAAGAGCAACAGCTCAACAAACTTTGCTGTCAATCAATCACAATAGACGATTCGATCGACCATGATCCGCATGATGAAGTCGAGGCCGCTCAACCGAGCGACCTGCCGCAAGACATGCTGCTCTTCCCAGAATTAGCCGCCGATGCAGGCTACGGTTATGAAGGAACGGACGCGGACTTGGAACGTACGCATGCCGCATTGCCATTTACTGCGTTTGGAACCGTGCTGACTCTGAATTTTTGTAGTGCTCGGTTCATTTCCTGAGATTCAGTTCCCACAGACTCCAGAGCCAGCAAGACTCGCACCGGACACCATCCAATTCATGCGGTACGCCCCATACGTTTTGGCGCAATACCGAATGCTGTAAAACTCACTCAACCCTCCCCGCCAACCAGGTACTTTCTCGCAGTCTACCAACAACGTGATTCCATGCCGCTTCAATTCGAGAATCTGCTTCCGAAAGCCGCAGCTCGCGTAGTCGCTGCTCGATCATTTGCGCATGTGCTGGGTGAGGTTGCTGCCCTGATTCAAACTCAAACGCGATTCAGCCAAACACTTATTGTCTCTCTCTTTGTGTAGCGCTGGTCTCGAAACAAGTTCTGACCGCTCGCCAAGATGACGCCTACGGATCGATTGAGCTCGATCTGGGCTCTAAGCTTGTATCATAGTGCTGGGACAACATTGTGTTTGCATGAAAAAAAAAAAAAAAACTAGCATAATCAACGTTTCATTAACCAAATCCAAAAAAATAACCGACAGACTCAAAAAACAGCAACAACTCCTTCTCTTCTTTGCATTTGGCACCCGCTCGAGCATGAGAGACACGAGTCCAATCCAAATCACACTTTACACTCTCGTTCAAATATCATCGAGCTCTGCTACATTGTCTTGTCCGGCATAGTTTTGTCGCGCGCCCCGTCGAGGCCGAGCAGTGGGCTGCGTGATTGGCTGCTTGGTAGCAGCAGCCTTCGACTTGGCGGCAGCAGGCTTGGCGGCTTTAGCCGTCTTGCTTGCAGGCTGCTTTGGAGAGGCGAGAAGATTTTCGCCATCTTCCTCATCATCGTCACTTGCGTCGCTGTCCTCGCCATTGTTTTCGACATCCTCATCGCCATCACTGTCGGCAGCACTGGCGGGCTCGACAACGGCGGCCAGTTCTTCAGGAACGGGCGCTGGGACGGCGTCGCCTCCATCGGCGCCAATCGAGTCGCGGAACTTGGCAAAGAGCTTGAGCAGCGGCTTGTCTCCACGGAGTTGGGACGCAGCCTTGCCACACAAGGCTTGGACTGCCTCGACAGCACCTTCATCCGTGGTGTCCATGTGGAAGGAGGGAAGAGTCTTGACAATCAATCGCGACAACGCCTCGCCCTCCTCCAAAGCGCTGGCAGCCGCAAGCGACTCGAGCAAGCGAGTCACGACCCGATTGTGGAGCGAGACGAGCAATGCTGGGGACGACGGTTGTGCAACAAGGCTGGACGAGTGGATGAGGTAGGCGACCATCTTTGCCATGCGCGAGCAGTCAATCTGACCAAACGACTCGACCGAGCTGGCATCCGCGACGCGACGAAGAGCAAGCAAAAATGCGTCAGCAAGGACTGCCTGTCGCTCTGCATGCACCGTGGCAAACGCTGGGAAGAAGACCGTCAGGCATTGCTGCAAGAATGTCTCCTTGCTCAGAATCGGATCATAGTAGGCCAGCAGCAGCTCGCTCAACGCGTCGGGCGCCATCCAGCGGCCAGAGTACAGCAGTCTGGCAAAGCCTTCCAGAATAATACACCGCAGCTTCAGCTGGGATGGGTCTCGTGCAAGCGTGGCAATCAGCGACTCGCGGACTGTAGTGGTGGCCGATGGCAGCGACCTAAAAATGTCGTCACCGTGGACCAGCGCCAAATCCAACAGAGCCTCAGTTGCAGTGGTCACGACACGATTGTCGGAATCATTCTCGCAGGCGGTGATCAGGACTGGCACGAAAGCGCATCCATTGGCGACGTCGAGCAGCATGAACATGCTGAGTGTGCGGAAGGCGGCTCGCCGAACATTGACCTCGGATTCTTGAATGCCACAAAGAACGAGCTTGTCGAAAGCTCGCGAGGGGATGTTTCGCTGGAGGGCTCGAGGCGAGGACATTGATTCAACGTGCAAGCCAAGAATCAGCAGTGCTCGCGCCCAAGCGGCAGACAAATCCTGTGGGACAGCAGCAGCAGCAGCAGCAGCAGTAGCAGTCGTAGTAGTGGTAGTAGTGGTAGTAGTGGTAGTAGTGGTGGTAGCCACAAGTTTCGAGGAGGAAGACTCTGAAGCACGCTGAATGGCGGCAATCTGGGCCTTGATGTCATCCATCTCCTGGCGCACCTTGGCGGCATCCTCAAACCGATCTTGCTGTGCGTATTGTTCCTTGGCGTCATCGAGCTCCATCAAGGTGACCTTGAGCGCGGCCACCTTGAGACTGCGCTCCTTGGCGGACATTTTGGCAATGCTCGGGTCCACCTCCACCGACACTGGCGCATCTTCGACGTGAGTAATGTCGGCAACGCTCTCATTCATGGACTCTTCATTGAGGAAGGGCCAGATTTGCTCAATCAGCTCGACGAAAAACCGGTTGCAATCCACCTCTCGCGGCTCGAGCAGCGCACCCAGCTTGACAAGATGGCTGACAAAGTCTGCCGGGGTGTGCAGATCGAGCAACAAGGAGCGCACCAGGGCAATCAAGTTTCGACGACCTGCTTCATCGCTGAGGTCCAGCACGGCGGCCAGTTGCAGCAATTGCAGCGTGATGAATTCGGCGCGGGGCTGGTCCAGCATCTCGGGCGCGACACCACCCTCGACGGTGCCCTTGGCGGCTGCCAGCTGGAGCTCAATGTGCCGCTTGACAATGCTGCAAAACACTGAAATTTCGGGCACCAAACGCTCAATCCGCTCATCCGCCAGCGCGGCACGCTTGGAATTGGTCTGCTGGCGCGCATCGGGCTGCTCCGACACAGCCGTCACATGCTCGCACACAACGCGCCAATAAAGAGCGGCCTCTGGAGTCAGGGCTTGACTCAAAAAGTCGTGGTAGGTCAGCTTGTCCAAATCCACAATGCCATTCGCCTCAGAGCACATGTACTTGACCACCGATTCAGCCAATGCGGTGTGGTCCAGAACGTGCAGGTAGCTGAGGACATCGGGAATGGAGCCCTTGGCGCTCTTTAGCCAACTCTTGCAGACGAGGTCGCCGCAGACTTGCCGCACAACAGCAGAGCGGTCGTTGAGGCCTTCGCGGAGCAGGCGAATGCGATCCGAGACGGGCAGCGCCTTCACGTGCACTTTTTCTGCCAGCACGGCAAATGCCTGTGCGCGGACGTCCTCCTTGACATCACGGGTGCGATCCAGGATGTGTGGCATGGTGAGCTTGGTGACTGCAATTTGTGCCAAAACACAGCGGCGCACGTCTGGGCTGGAGTCCAGCGTGAGCAGCTTGATGTACTGGGAGATGACGGGGCATTCCGCGTCGTGCGGGTCTTGCAGACGAGACAGGGCGTGAACTGCCTGCACGCGAACGACTGGCACCTTGTCAATGGCGCGCTCGAGCATGGCGTTGTAGATTTTCTCCCATAGCTCGTCGTCAATCTCGGCTTCCTCGCCGAGGTGGTCGAGCGTCTTGGAAATCAGCTGGCACACGCGGAAGCGCACGGCCTTGTCCTTGGCGCCGTGGAAGTGCAACAGATACTGCATCATAAAGACCGCCAGCGCACAGTTGGTCTTGGTTTCGGACGAACCTTCCTCCAGTGCTGGCGCCGCCGAGACCAGTCGCGCCGTGAATTCCACCAAGCGCTCGACTGCTGGCTCGCGCTTGAACACGACCAGAATGTTGTTGACCAGCGTCACCAGCTCGGTCCGGAACAAGTCCTCGCCTGCAGCCGGACGCGCCGCAGAGATGCGAGCCGCCGCCTTGTAAATGGCGCGGATGTTCTTGTCGTGCGACGCATATCCACGCTGCGCATCGTCCATGGCTGCACGCAGCGCCTCGCTGAGATCGCTGGCGGGGTCGCGGGACGAGCGGTTTGCATTGGCTGCCGATGCTCGCTGCACCTTCGCACCGCGGCCCTTTCCCTCGGCCCCAGCGGCATCTTCGACGGTGGTGCTGGACGTATTTTCGGCTTCTGCCTCGTCCAGCGCGCCAGTCATGGCGGCAGCGACCTTGCTGGACTTGGTTGGCTTGGAGCGGTTTGAAACGGCCTTTGAAACAGTTTGTTTGGTCGGCGGCGCTTCGACCTCCGCCTGCTCGTCGCCGTGCTCTGCAGACACCGACGCGCGCTCCTGCAGAACAGTGCGCTTCTTTGTTGTTGTCTTGTCGCTCGAAGCACCGGCGCTCGCGGCTGCAGTCGAGGACGAATTGGCGCGCGGCATCGATAAAGACAGGAAGTGAAAGAAAGAAAAATTGAAAAAAAATTGAAAAAAATTGAAAAATAAAAAACTGGCGCCAAAAATTTACAATTTGAGAAACGGTTTTGGTTTTGTTTGGTTTTTTGGTTTTTGGTTTTTTTGTTTCGTCAAAGTGCAAAAAACAAAAACATGAAAGAAACCAAATCGAAATCTTGGTGTTGGATTGACTTTTGCTTGTTTGAACAATGTATTTGTCAATAAGCCGAAGAGCAACGACGAAAGCGAGTGAAAAGAAACGAGGCGCTGGGAAATCCAAATCCGCACAAGCAAAACAACCCACTCACAAACTCCCCCCCCCTCCTCCCTGACCCACCACATCAAGCTTGGGCCTTGTCTACGAGCTGAGAAAGTGCCTGGCCAAACAGCTCCTCGAATGCGGGATTCATTTCAGCAATCACATCAACGGCGGTGGTGCTTCGCCCCGCTTTTTCAAACGCAAGCTTGCCGCATGCGCGCGCATACCGGCAGGCGAAGTTGGCGGCAAGCAGGTTTGGCTCCAAATCACCACCCTCTGAGGAGGACGACTTGTCACCTTGGCTGTTTGACGCATGCTGGTGGGCCCAGTACGTGAAGGTGGCCAAGATGCCTGTGAGAACATCTCCTTGACCACCGCAACGCCGCTTGTTTCCTTCGTCCGAGACACTCAGGGTCGTGTCTCCGTCGGAAATAACGTCGGTGACTCCCTTGCGAACCACGGTGACGTGGCCCAGAGCCTTGCAGAGTTTGCGCAGCAGCTCGACGTGTGACGTCTCGGGTGCATCGTCGGGCAGCGGTTTGTAGTCTGTGAGCACAGCCTTAAAGAGGGCGTCGAGCTCGTTGCGGTTGGGAGTCAGCGTTGCTTTTCGATAGCCCTTCACGAGATCGGGCTTTTCGGCGACCAAGCGGAGCGCATCGGCGTCGACAATGAGAGGCAGGTCGAGCTTCCGTGCCCGCTCGATCAACGCCTCGGTCTGGCGCCAATTTGCGGCATCCCGTCCAAGCCCAGGTCCGACTACAACCACGTGCAAGCGTTCCAGCCATGATCCGACCTACGGCAATGCGAGATCATTTTGGCAGCAGTGAGCCAAAAACTCAAATGCAAACAAAAAAACAACACCAAAAAGCGTTGCACTCAAGACAAAAGTGAAGAGATGGGCGTACAGCAGACACGGCTGCATCGAGATCCTTGTGCTCTGTGGAAGTTGTCAGTGTCGGATGCACAATCAGCTCGGGCGAGTATGTTTTGCTGTTTCAAAAGCGTCGATAATTTTGCGTCAGGACAATCACAGCATCGCAACAAAAAATAAGATGCACCCATCTATCAAACTGGGAGGGGTCTTACATGACCATTGCAGCTGCTTCTGGGCTGAAGACATGGACAATGTCAGCACCTGCCTTGAGCGCAGCAATACCGGCAAAGTACGGCGCACCAGTGTATTCCTTGCTTCCTCCAATCACAGCGACCTGGCACAAAAACAACAGGGTTACCCAAAAAAACAAAGAATCGTTTGATTGTGTATTTTGAATGTCAATGCCAATGCCAATGTATGTCGGTTGCAGTGGTGATGACGATCGCTCAGAACTCCGACTTCACTTCAACCGCCCGATGCCGACACTCGCTCACACCGGCCCCCCCCCGCTCTACCTACCCCCACCCGCCTTTCCAGCAACAATCGCACGCAACAAAGCCTCACCTTTCCAGCCTGTCCTTTGTAACGCGCAGACGACAGTTCGGGAATGCATCGCGCGAACGACATCAACAACTGCCTGTTTGCCATTGTTCTCAAAACACAAAAACGATGGAAGACAAAGACTGAGCTGCTCAGACAAGGATGACAAATATTATAAAAAGGTACAAAAATCTACAGTTCCAAGTGGCTGGATGAAGCACAACACCACTCATTCATTCACTTCACTGCTCTTTAAGGGAAGCTCTGTCATGCTGAGCCGCAGTGCTCGCATCGCAGACGCATTGCGCGGTGTCGCCGGTCGACTCGCACAGCAGCCAAGCCACGCTGGACACCATCATCATCATCGTCATCCCAATCACACTGCCCAGCGAGTCCGATCCATCCACCAGTGCAGTGCGATGACCATGGCCGAGACTACCACGAGGAGGAGCACGGCCGCGATGCTGCTGTTGATGCTGCCAGCCCAACCCGCACTCGCAGGCCCTGGCTTCGTGCAGAGGAATGGCGCTGCATCATTCCACACGAGAGCGACGGCGGGCGACGGGCATGCGGCGGCGGTCGCGCTGGCTCCTGCTGCTCGTCGGGGTGCTGCCAAGACGAAGACGCTTCGACCGGGAGGCCGCCGATCGCCGCCGCCGCGAGCCGCCAAGCCGATGCGACGTGGCGCCAAGCACGCACGACTGGGCAAGGATCGCGGTGGCATGCAGCGTGGCGGCGGTGGTGGCAAGATGCAGTCGAGGTTTGCAACCCGCGCTCCACGCGCGCCGTCCGCTATTGAGCAGATCGAGGCAGCACACCAGGCACAGCGCGAGAGCCAGGCTGCAAGCAAGGGCAAGAGTGTGTCGCCGCCCGTGCCGTTCCACAAGGCCACTGCGCAGCAAATCCGTGCTCGCTACGCGGCATCATCAGCATCGGACGACACTCCCGTTAGAACTCGCCGTGACAAAGACAGAACGATGAATCGCAAGTCACTTGCGGCACCGCGGTTGACCCGTCGAGAGCGTCAAGCAGCCGCGAGCGCCGAGAACGAGAATGACAACCTCGATGATGAGGAGGATGCTGATGCAGACTTGGAGCCATACAATCCGAAAATCCGCATTGGCATGCGATCGCGCTCAACGCGCTCGGGCAATGCGGTAGCCGCTGCAGCTCGCTCGCCTCAAGCGTCGACGGTGCCAGCGGACAAGGACAAGGAGCTGTCGTACTCGACCTGGATGACGGTTGATCTCGACGGCGTTCGGCGAAACAATGCGCTGCTGGCCAAAAGTCGCGGCCGGAACAAGCCCGTCGATTGGGACGAGGTCAATGTGTTTGCATGGGACCAGGTGGTGGACCTGTACGGCGAGCTTGCTCAACGTCAAAACAAGGCCGCTGCGACCGCCGCACAGAGCGTCGACCTGCTGGGCTCCTTTTACAAGGGTCAAGGCTCTAAATCGCCCATCAAGCGCATGATCAAGGACGCAAAGTTTGAGCATTACTTTGCCAATCTTGCCATGCCGCAGCAAAAGCGCATTCGCAACCTCATTGCTCAGCGAGCTGAGGACGCCGCGAAAGCTGTTGCCGCCGAGTCTGCGCTCCAGCGAGCACCAGCAGTCTCCGTCAACTCCAAAGTGGACGCGAGCGCTTCCCATGAACGAGGCGACCCAGAATTGTCCGAAAATGATGCTGCTGCTCTCGACCGTCCTTCTTCTGCCGATGGTCCCATCTCTGCAGCACAGCGCAAAAATCTGTATCGAAGCAAGCAAGGGTTTGTCGACCGAGTCCGCATTTCCGTCCGCGCCGGAGATGGTGGAACTGGCCGGCCTGCAGGCACGGGTGGCGCTGGTGGTTCAGTGTACCTTGTTGTCAAGCAAACGGGCTCTCTCGCCAACATACCCAAGCTCGTCGAGGCTGGGCGCGGTGCCGATAGTCGCGAGCGTGCACCCCGTGGCCGTGGCGGAGACGACAGCTATGTGTCTGTTCCACCGGGAACTGTGATTTCGGATGGGCGCACTGGCAAGGTCATGTTCGATGTCTCGACCATTGGCGAAAGCTACTTGCTCGCCAAAGGCGGCGCGGGTGGCGGCCAGGACGGCGGACTCCCGCGTGGTGGGAAGGGTGAGCAGCTGCCTTTGAATCTCGAGCTCAAAAGCATTGCCGATGTTGGTCTTGTCGGGTAAGATTTGCTTTGAGCGGATGTGGTGTTGTTGTTGTTGTCGTCGTCGTTGCTAGTTGACAATTAGATCTCACGTTCTCTGTTGCACTCTGCTCTGCTCGACTCTCTGATTTGTAGATTTCCCAATGCCGGCAAGTCAACGCTGCTCACAGCCATTTCAAACGCCACCCCCAAGATTGCTCCGTATCCCTGTGAGACACTTGTTTGGTTGCTGTGCCGTGTTCAGCGCTTCGTGTCCATTCCGCAAGTTGTTGACTGACTTTCTTTCAACACTTGACTAGTTACCACGCTTCGACCCCATATCGGTGTCGTGCAGTACGATCAGTTCACCAGGATTGCTGTCGCCGACGTGCCTGGCCTTGTTGAAGGCGCACACCAAAATGTTGGCATGGGCCATCAATTCCTGAGGCACATTGAGCGCACTTCAGCCCTCCTGTACGTCGTTGACGTGAATGGATTCCAGCTGTCCATGGATTCGCCCTTCCGGACCCCCGCAGAGACATTCCGTCTGCTCTTCGATGAGCTGTCCGTGTACGGCGGCGGCGGCATGGAACGACGACCCTTCATTGTGGTGCTCAACAAGATGGATCAGCCCGGTGCATCGGCAGCTGCCACCAAGTTTTATGCCGAATTTTCCGAAGTGTTGCGGCAACTTGTGAGTGAGGGTCGACTCCAGCTTGATCAACTCCAGCAACTCATCACGCTGAGTGCCAGCGAGCGCACGGGCGTCGTAGATTTGCGCAAACACCTCGGCCTCCTTGTTCAGAAGGCACAGGCAATTCAAGCAGCCGAACTCTCTGACAAGGACCAGCATCCTTCCACGGGCTCGGACGCGTTGTCGGAAGATCGCGACTCTGATGACGAGCTCAGCGGAGAGGACGAGATTCTCACCGACGACATTCGACGGCAGATGGACGAAGCCGACTTGCATCACCAGCAGCAGATAGCTTTGGCTTCTTTGAGCTCACGCCGGTAGAAGAAGGGGATTTTCTTATACCTGCGCGCGCAGAGGTGCTTTGTAATTGTAAAATGTACTTTATAAAAAAACAGAAGAAACCCGACACGCAAACATAAAGTTACAGTCTGGGCTCCCCCCCCATGTTGCAATGGAAATTCTACACCTCAATGCGCAGGTTTGGAGGCAGCTTTTCCAGATCGATTGATGGGAAGAGACGCGGGGCTGCAGGAAGCGGCGACTTGAAAAATTTCACCACACCTGCAGCATTCTTCATTTCACTCAGCAGGTGATCCGGAATGTCTCGTTGGAAGGTTTCGACACATCGCGCAAGGATCTAGAACGGGGGAAAAGAGAAGGTGGAGGCAAGAGAACAATCGGCAGTCAGAGTGTTGCCCAAAAAAAAAAAAAAAGAAAAGCAAACAAGGTTTTGTACAGCAAGTACGACAATGGTACAGAACAAAAACTGCTCCTCGACGCACCTGAACGCGCTCTGTTTGGCTATCAAACGCCCGACTCGTCCAGACGGCGTCCTTGGCATCGGCCGGAATCGGAGCAATTTCGTTGACAATCTCGCGCACAGTTTGGCGCACGTCGAGATCTGTCCGCGGGACCAAAGCGGCGTATCGTCGCTCCAAATAGCTTTTTCGGGTTTGCTTGAGAATTTTCGCTCTGAGAGAAGAGGAGCGTTCGTTGTGACAACGGTTAGCAAAAATGAAGCAGGGTTTTTTTTCCTGTCTGATGCCACCCCCACCACCACCACCACCACCACCACTTCTTCCTCCTCCTCTTCCAAGTGACCGAATCACAACAGAAAAGCGAGTACGACACAAATGCATAAAGCCCTACGCTCGGGACTCGGAAATCGTCTTGGACTGGCCCTGGGCATCCTGGTACACGAGCGGTGTCTTGGATCGGTAGTGGTTGATGACAGTGCGCCTGATGATGTGCTCCTCGTCCATTACGGCAGGAGTGAGGATGGCCGGCGCTTCACTGGCGCGGCGAGCATGGAGCGCACGATGCGCTCGAATGGCCTCGGAATCGGCCGATCCAGCGGCGGCGGTCTTTGCATCACCAGTCACAGCAGCAGCAGCAGTAGCAGCAGTGGTGGTGGGTGCAGCACCATCCGTGGCCTTGGCACCGCGGAGCCGCCCGAACGTTCGAGCAAGCAAGCCGCCAGAGCTCGCTCCTCCTTGTTCCTCAGCAGCAGCAGCAGCGGGTGCGTCCCCCGAACCGGCCTTGGCAGCGGCGTTGAACGACGGCGTGCTTGCTGCAGCCTGAGGGCGCGCGGCGGTGGCGGCGGACGAGAGCAGGCGACGTCCTGCTGCAATGCGACTGGCTGAAGCAAGCATGTGGAAAAGAACAAAAAAACGAAAAAAAAAAAAAAATGAATGGAGCAGCATTGGGATTGGATTTGGTTTGAATTGGATTGGATTGGATTGGATTGGGTTGGGATGAGGTGACGATGAACATCAACCGAGTACGTGTACACGTTAGTAGAAAAAGTTGCAAAGTGGAAACAGCAGTGCTTGAACGTGGAAGGCGATTACCAAGCAAAACGAACGAACTGCTTCAACAATGAGACTCTCAGAACTAGTGTCACTGCTCAGGGATGTGTGATCTCAACAAACAGCGCGAAACGTTATCATTACTGCAGTCTGAATTTGGAAACCGACTCTTCTCAGATTTTCTCAGTTCTCCTTTTTTTGTTTTTTATCTTCCTTTTGTAGGCTCAATGTTCACTGCGACTGCTGCGGTCGCCGCGCTCATCCAAGCATCGCCGCTGGGGTCGCTCGGTCAATACACACTGATCTTGCCACATGGAACGCGAGCATGGCCAACCATGAAGCGGCGGCTGAGCGAGCTTGAATCCAGCCTGTCATCCATGTCGCCAATCTCAGCGACCGCGCCAGGAGCCGAGCGCCCGGCATCGACCACCGCCCATACTACGAGCACTGCAGCAACGAACGATGCGACGCCTTCGTCGACTGAGCCGCCAAAGCCAAAGCCGCCTCCGATGGATAACGAGGACACCCGCGCGTTCAATCTGATCCAAGTGAGTACTTTTGGTCCGCCACCACCACACAAACTGCCCGTTGAAATAATGCTCAGCTCACTCGTGACTTTTGGATGCATTCTGCAACATTACACCATCATTTGGTATCGTGCGCGCGGTCGCGAATCAGGAAACTCTCCAATCGTATGCATGGCACCTGAGTTGCTGAGACTTGCCGAGCTGGGCTTGGCTGTTTGTGTTTGTTTTGGTTCTCAATGTTTGATCTGTTTGTTTCGTTGCAGATGGGGCTCACATCACGCGCCGTTTGGCGGATTGAAGGCGCTGCTGGAGGAAGAGCTGTGGCCGGCAGAGCGGAAGGTGCTCCTGGGCCAAACCTTTCCCGCGATTCTGAACTTTGCTTTGGACATTGAAGCATTGTTTCTGTCGCCGTACGAGTCCAAGCGGGTTCACCTGTTGAGGCAGGGCGAACGCTCGTCCATTCCACTTCGTCTCTCGCGAGTCCAAGTCCGATGCCTGCTGGCACACTGCTTGCTGTGCACATTTACCGATCGCCACGCATATGCTCGGCACAACTACCCTCAGTTTGAAGCATCCGGGTTGTTGAAAGGCGGCTCGTCGTCTCGTGTCGCGAAACTGAGGGTATGTCCAATGTTCGGAATTTGTTGTTGCCGAGTTTTGTGGTGGCTTGTGCGTTATACGGCGGCTAACACTGCCCAATGTTTTGCTTGCTTTGCTTGCTGTCATCAGATGCTTTTGAATTACTTTCAACGCGTCTCGGTTGAAGGTAGGATTTTTTTTTTCCAATGAATTCTTGTCTTTCGACCTATGCATCCTCATTTTCGCCTTATTTTTGCTCGCAGAACCTCGAGGCGACATTCTCTTGCTCAGGCGAACAGTATCAAATATCCCCGACGTCATGGAAGCCAAGAGGTTGTCACCCGTCCGCCTCCATCCGAAAGGAAGCATCGAAGTGCAACCGCTCGCCTCCCATGCCGATTTTGCCAACAAGTATCCAGGTGGAGGGGTGTTATCGCAGGTGAGCAGAGCGAATCGGCACCAGCTGGCATGTAGTACCCTGGCTTTGATTTCGTGTGTTTTTGTTTTTTGTTTTGTTTTCTTCTTTTCTCATTGCTTTATCCCCCATCAATACTGCTTGTATCCTGCAGGGCGCAGTCCAAGAGGAAATTCGCTTTGCATGTGCGCCCGAACTCATGATGTCGATGCTGTTCTGCGAAGTCTTGCACGACAACGAAGCCGTGATTGTTCAAGGAGCAGAAACATTCAGCGATTACACTGGCTACGGTCGCACATTGGCGTTTGGCGGGTCGGTGCACGACACGACGACGCCGCGACTGCCGACTGGAACCCTCATGACTGAAGTATTGGTGATGGATGCCGTCAAGGAGCCTGGTCGTGCGCAGTTCCGCAAGGCTTACTGCGAGCGCACGCTTCGTAAGGCCCTTGCAGCGTTCGAACCGACTGCCCTCTCGAGCGGAGAGACTGTTGCAGGCCAGCCACTGTTTCCAGTCGCCAGCGCTCCGATATCCAGCGGAGCATCCACTTCTGCGGCAGCAACAGCAAGCTTGCCGCCATCCACGCCCCAAATCCAGTCGTGGCCCATTGCAACGGGAAACTGGGGCTGCGGCGTGTTTCTCAATGACTTTCACCTCATGTTCATGTTGCAGTGGATTGCTGCGTCCCTGGTCGGCCGCTCTCTCGACTACTACCTGTTTGAAACCAAGGCAATCGATGTGCCCCGCTTGGAGGCGCTCGTTCATTACATCCAGTCGGAGGACATGTCGATCGGGCGAGTGTATGATCTCGTGCTCACGTTTGGCGCTGAAACGCCGTCGCATGAGCTGAACAATCGCTTGATCGATTGGCTGCATGAAGTGCTGGTGCCGCGCAAACATTGAGCTGCCCGCCCGACTGCTTGTTTTGGCATTCGTTTGTCTCCATGGAAGGTTTGAGTTGGGATTATTGTTGGATGGTGCTAAAGGATATTGACTTGCACATTTGCAAATTTGACATTTTTTTTAACCACACAGTCGCAAATGCTTTTCAACCAAGAATAGTGAAGGCAGACAGAAGAGCAACAGCCATGCCGATCAGGGTGACGGACGCCGTCAACGCGGCAGAGCCGTTGATGTGGAACGAGCCAAAGCCAATTTCGAGGGGACCGCACGAACCAGCAACAGCGCTGCCCAAGTTCTTGCACTGGTCGCAAAACACATTGCAGTTCATGTTGAACCAAACGTTGCCCATGCCAAGGTCCATGATGTTCATGTAGCCGCCCATCGGGTTTGCGGTGCAAGCACCGCTGTTCACCGTCACCGCGCTAGTTGTGCTGCAGGTCGTGCCAGAATCCACAGTGATGGAGGTGTACTTGAGGGGATGCGCAGTCACATAATGGCTGGAGCCCGCATCGACGCAAACACCGGGAGCAACGGTGGTGGTTTGGGTGCAGGTGGTGCAAGTCGCGTCGCAGCCAAGTTGGTAGGTCAACGAACTGGCACTGTTGATCACAACACGGTAATTCGAGCCAAGAACCACGCTGGTCTTGCAGTCGCCCGACGCAACCTTGAAGGACGGATTGCCAGTAGTGTGCGTGGTGCAAGTGGAGTCAGTGAAGGTGCCAAATGCGACATCCGCGGCGACAGCCGGCTGAGAAATCGCGACCAACGCGAGCACAATGCACAGGGGCATGAACGCGACCGAGCGAGAGTACTTCATTTTTTTCTGTTGGCACAAAGAAGAAAACGACCAATCCAAACGACAGTGTTAGATCACAAATCCTGCGCACCATGTAAACAAACGTGAAAAGATCAAAACACGAAATCTAGATCAAAAGTTTAAAATCAAAACAAGATTGATCTGTGCGTAAACAAATGGTGCAATCCCCCGTCCCTGTCTCCCCTCCGCTCCCTCACTGGGTATGCATGGTGGGAATAGGACGTATGACGACGTGGAGAATGAAACCAATTCGGATTCAAGTGCTCTTGGCTGAGATCGCGCGACATTTGATTCTGGCGCAGATTTTATTTCGCATGTGCGGGTGATTTCAAAACGCTTGTTGCGCTCCATCTGTTGTTCTTAAGTATCGCTGATTGTGGCATAACGCCAGGCATTGCAACAGAGAATGTTGTGCGTCTAGGGAGGGCAGAATGCGAAATGCGAAAGTTGCAGCTGGGAGAGTTCCGATCGCAACAACATGCGTACCTTGTTGTTGTTGTTGTTGTTGTTGGGTTCAAACAAACCGGCGGGTGGAAGTATATTTATAGAAAGGTGGGAAAATGGGGACTGGAGGCAATTGTTTAATCGAGTCTAGATTGTTTTGGAAACACACATTTGACGCAAAACGGCCCGGACGACAAAGCGCACTGTGCACACTCTAGCCGAGAACAGTAAAGGCGGACAGAATAGCCGCAGCCATGCCAATGAGCGTGACGGAAGCGGTCAGCGACGCAGAGCTGTTGATGCTGAAATAGCCGTCGATGACTGTCCCGAGAGCGAGCGAGGTGCATGGCGAGCCGGCGGTGGTTCGGCCAATAATCTTGCAAACGCTGCAAACGGAATCGCAGCCATAGTTGTACCAAACCCTGCTCTGGCCAATGTCAATCATGCGAATCGGGCCGTGCGAGGCGGTGTTTGTGCAGGTGCCGCTCGGGACGGTCGAGCTCGTGGTGCTGTTGCAACCCGCCTCCCCAATATTCGAAAGGATGGTTGTGGCCTTGATCGGATGGGCGGTCACGTACTTGCCATTCGGGGCGCTGATGCAAGTGCCGGGAGCGGCGGTTCCGGACGTTGTGCAGGTGGTGCAGGTCGAATCGCAGCCGAGGTTGTATGAGAACGACGAATCCGAGATGGCATTGATGCGGTAGTATGTGGTGCCGAGGGTGACGCTGCCCTTGCAAATGCCGGTGCCAATGTCCACCGAGGGGACCGTGTACGAGAAGGTCATGCATGTGGAATCGTCAAAGATGCCGAAAGCGGCATTAGCAGCAGTGGCAGGCTGTGCAACAGCAATCAACGCCAACAGCATGCACACGGGCACCAGAAGAGCAGAGCGAGAGCTGGCCATGACTAGTTTGTGAAAATGAAAACTTTCCAAAACAAAAAACAGAGGAGTGATCTTTAGATCAAAACGAACGAGGAAGCGAAAGAGTGTCAACAGCACCCAACATTCTCACGATTTCGTTTTAGCGTCACCCGTGAGTGACATGGTAAGGTTGGCTTTTGCCGATGCAAGAGGGAGCTTTATTTTCCTTCGACTTGTCGACTTGGACCACAGCGCCAGCGTCAATGTCGGTCGGAGCGTCAAGAGCGGGGGTGGCCGTGTGAAAGATCAAAACGTTTGGTGCGTGTGAGTATCCCAAACAATAACAATTTATCCTACATCGTCAGCGCTCAATGCGAACTTGGATGCTGTACACAGCCACGGGCAAGCACAAGAAGGACAGGCATAGAAGTGCATGTCAAAGTCAGACCGAGCAACCGTGCATGGACGTGGTTGAAAGGAGCGTGTCATGGGAATGCTAATCACGAAACTTTTTCCTTTTTCCCGCTCTTCTTCGCCCGTGGCTTCTTCAAGCCCTCCTCTCCCGCTCATCACGAGTGAGAGGCGGGATGCTAATGGGAGTGGAAAGAGCGGAGGGGAGAACAGGCGAGGAATGAGTAAATTGACCCGCAAGCAGAAAATGATCTATGGGTAGAATTCCGACTTTCTCAAAATGATCTACATTGCTTCACAAAACGGGGTAACAGTGACAGTTAGTCTTATTTTTTCCTTCTTTGTGACGACTTGAACAGCGTTGAACTGTACGAAAGCGGCTTTGCAGTGTGTGTGTGTGTGTGTGTGAAGGACAGAGGAGAACGAGAGAAAAGCAGCTGAAAAAGTTGGTGCGGGGGTGTGGGGGCCGAGCAGATCACACGAGCTGTTTCAATACACAAACCATCCTCAACCCAGCCAGCTTTTGACGGGCAGCAGCGCAAAAAAGCATGATCGTGCACAGAGACGCATACTTTATGCGTTCGTGAAGCGTACGGTCGAGTGGAGGTTGTCAAACTACCCCGCTTCGTCCACCAACTGGAGCGCTGGTTTGATCTCACCTACAACTGCTACCTTTTTTGCATCAATTCCGCCAAACAGAACCGAAATCATGACCTTCTCTCGTTTTGTGCTCGTGCCGCTGTGCATGATGCTGGCAATCGCTGGAACCTCTGCAACCGACGCCGTCCTCCGCATGTACGGCGATGCCGCCTGTACCACCTCGACTTCGCCGCCCGTTGCATGGTGGGTGGTCCAGCCGGGATCTTGTCAAAACTCGACCGAATTTTCCGACTATTACAGTGTTACGGTCGACTCAAGCACCCAGATTACGTACAGCTTTGGCTGCGACAATACTTGCACCACCTGCACTCAGTCGAGCATCATGACGCCTGGCACTTGCCTTGAGATTGGCGCCGGCTCTGGCGACTACCTGACAGTCTACCCTGTTGTCGCTGCCACCATTGATGTCCAGGTGTCGAACTCTTGCCCAGGCCCCGCTTGGGCCACTTACACTGTCACCAGCGCTCAGTGCGCGTCAATCGGCCCCATCCTTGGCAATTCCCGCATCACGGTCGTTGGGAATGACACGATTGCGTACAGCTTTGGCTGCGACGATGTGTGTGGGTATTGCCGCTTGAATGGCCAAACTTCCGAAGATACATGCACCTCGGAACCTCCAGCATTCCACGTCACGTACCATGTCAACAGCGCAGCTGGCATCACTTCGTCTGTTGCGTTTGTCGGGCTTACGGCTGTTCTCATGTCGATGTTTGCGTTGTTTGCTTGAGCGTATGTGAACATTTTTGCTGTGGTGCTTTGCTTTTTGTGCATTGCGAGTGCATGTCGCTGTCTTTGTTCGTTTTGCCCAATAATGGCAATGTAAATTCTACCTCAACGTGAACTGCACACACACACACACACACACACACACACACACACAACAGCGTCCCTTTTCGAGGAGTGTGCGTGTCCGGATTGAAAAAACAAAAACAAAGTTCCCACGGATTTTTGGGGACTTCCCACCCCGCCCCCCTATCAAAAAGCCTTGTTGAATTTGTTTGAAGGTTGCTGATCAGTTGGGCTAGATTCATGGTAGCGCACGGCTCAGTCTCAGATTGTTTGATTCTTCCCCATTCGCCACTTCCCCTGCTTCTTCACCACCATCTCAGCTCGGCCTTGACCTCTCCGTTGGTTTTTGAACTCTGAACAGCATCCACATACACACATACACTTGCAGCCATGAGTTACATGCTCCCTCACTTGACGAATGGCTGGCAAGTCGACCAGGCCATCCTGTCTGAGGAGGATCGCGTCGTCGTCATCCGGTTTGGGCACGACTGGGACCCGACGTGCATGCTGCAGGATGAGATTCTGTACAGCATTGCTGAGAAGATCAAGAACTTTGCCGTCATCTACGTGGTCGATCTGACTGAGGTGCCCGACTTTTGCCAAATGTACGAGCTGTACGATCCATGCACGGTCATGTTCTTCTTCCGCAACAAGCACATGATGGTGGATCTCGGCACGGGCAACAACAACAAGGTCACCTGGGCCTTCGAGGACAAGCAGGACATGATTGATCTCATCGAGGTTGTCTACCGAGGCGCAAAGAAGGGCCGCGGTCTCGTCATCTCCCCGCGCGACTGGAGCACCAAGCTCAAGTACTAACCGCGCAATGGGATGTCAGTGGGGATGCTCCAAGCCGTGTTGTCCATGGATGGACGAAGCGAGAGAGAGAGAGAGAGAGAAGGCCTCACGCTGGTTAAGTTTTGACGTTCAGCCAACGTTGTTCCAGCAAAACCAAAAGCTCGTGTTGGCGATCGGTCTAATATTTGGCAATGTGGCAATGCCGAATGTTTGTTGTATGTGTTTGTGGTGGTTTGTGTTTGTATGTTTGTTTGTACTTGTAAACGTATCTTATGCAGTTGAGGACTCGGGGGAAAAAAAAAAAAACCAGGAAACTTTGGAGAAGTTACTTGTTTTGTTATTGTTGGTGGTGGCGGTGGTGTTGCCAGCATGGTAATGACCTTTTTATTGACCAGCGTCAGCATCAAACGCGTTTCGACTGCTCCCAATAAGAATGTGCAGCCTGTTTCGTGAGCTGCCAAATGCAGACCCATCTCTTTTTTTACAGCGAAACCACACGAGCGCCGGCAGCAGGACCCGTGGAGAACGATTCGGCCTTGGGGTAACCCTGCTTCAGATGGGCAATGACCGAGTCGACAGCGCTCGTTTCGAGCAGCGTCACCGTGCAGCCGCCAAAGCCACCGCCAGTCATGCGCGCGCCGTACACGCCCTTGCACTCCATCGCGAGCTTGACGAGCGTGTCCAACTCGGGGCAGCTCACCTCATAATCGTCACTACAAAAGAGGAATGAAGAATGTTTCAGAACAAGAAGCCCCGGAATGAAAATGAGGTGCAAAACAAAAGGGCGGTCTCAACAACAGCAAGAACAAATCGCCTACCGAAGGGAATTGTGGCTCTCAACCATCAGCTTGCCAGCAAGTTCATAGTTGTTGGCAGTGAAGGCATCAGCAGCGTCGAGAGTGCGCTTGCATTCAGCGATGGCGTGGTGAGCGCGACGATAAACGACGGGATCGATCTTGTCCTTGACAGCTGCAATCCCCCGGGAGTTTACACAAAAGGGGTGGGGGGGAGGGAGTAGAAATGAGTACAACACCCATACACAAACATGCACAAACCGCCATCGGTGAGACAGAAATCTCCCCTCGACAAAATCCGGGCACAGAAAAACACAAAAACCAAAAACCAAAAAATCCCAAGACTCACCATTCAGCTGGTCCATGGTGGCAACGCCAAGGAACGGGACGCCTGCAAACTGGGCCTGGATGGCAGCCAGGGCAGTCTCGCACTGTGCGCGACGGGTGGCGTACTCTGAGCCGTCGAGGGAGTGCTTGACATGGGTGTCGGTGACGAGGATCTGCACGTTGTGGTTGGTGAGCGGGATTTGGCGCGCAGTGTTGTCCTTGCAGTCAATGAGCAGGGCGTGGTCCTTGTGGCCGAGTGCCGAGATGAACTGGTCCATGATGCCGCACGGGACGTTGGCGAAATCGTGCTCGGCCTTCTGACAGGCCTTGGCCTTCTCGACAAAGGTGCTCTCGTCGCGCGCCTTGCCGTTGTTCGTCAGGGCCTCGAGGAAGGTGTATGTCGCGACCTCCAGCGCAGCCGAGCTGGACAGCCCAGCGCCCAGCGGCACGGACGAGCAGATTGCCGCGCGGAAGGACACTGGAGCGCCTGCCGGGAAGTTAAAGTTTGCAATGACGCCCTTGACGTAGTTGGCCCACTTTGGCTGGCCGCGCGCCAGGCCCGTCAGACTGAACTCGACAATGCGAGTGTCGGCAGAGACGGCGTCCGAGTCCGTCGCAACAATGGCAACCGGCGAGGATGCTCCGCCAACCAGCGGCTGACCGACGATCACGGTCTCGCGCTCAATGGCCTGTCAGAGACAGCGAGACAAAAGCGGTGAGTGCCAGATTCAAGCATGTTTGCATTGTGCGTATGTGTATCAATGAAAGGTGATGGAATCGATGAATGAATGGATGATCATTGAGATGAATCATAAACATTCAATTGCGAACAAAATCACTGAGTCACGACGTATGACGGACGTACCATTGGGAAGACAAAGCCGCCAGAGTAGTCGACGTGCTCGCCAATGATGTTGATGCGACCGGGCGCAGCGACGGCAATCGTGGGCGTCTCGCCGGGGAAGCTGGCAGCAAAGAGCGCTTTGGCGCGAGCAACGAGTTCGGCGGTCGATGGAGCAGGCATTTTGTTGTTGTTGTTGGTTGTGTGTTAGTAGGACTGAACGAGACCATTTTATGTATTGTAGTGATGATGCACTGAAGGCAAATGACCTCCAATGGTTCTCAATGGTCGGTGAGTGCGTTTTGCTCTGATTTTGTAAGGATTTCCATCACAAATTTCCAAGCTCCCTCGACTCAGACAAGAACAAGCTAATCGAACGATCGTTCATTCACTACAGTGTGTTTCGAGGTTGAGAAGGTGCTTGTGTCTGTGCGGGGGATGTTCACGGTCAAGCTCAGATTTCAGCTGAGCGCGCTACGGTGTGGAAATGCAGTTATGACGCCCGGAGCATCATCGTATTCATCTTTGACTTTTGTTGTGTATTGTATTGTAACATTGATGCTCACTTTCTCAACAACTAAACTGTGCCGCGCTCAGTCCACTCTTCAACGCAACAACATGCCGCGCGTCCTCATCAAAGGTGCGGCAACCCAACCCGAGACAGCGATCGCTGAATTGATTCATCCTTCTTTTGCTCTGTGAATCAGTAGCTTGCAACAGTGTGGAGAGCGAGAGAGAGCAACAAAAAGAGAGACCTTGGAACACTATTGAAAATTTTGGCTGGATTTTCCATTACAAAAAAAAAAAAAAAAAAAAAAAAAAAAAAAAAAAAAAAAAAAAAAAAAAAAAAGAGAGATCGCGGCCAATGCAACTCACTGCTTCCCATTGTGTGTCCTATCCTAACGTCCTAACGTTGCTGTTGCTCAAACCAACCCCCTTCCCCCACACAGGCGGCGTGTGGAAGAACACGGAGGATGAAATCCTCAAGGCGGCCGTCATGAAGTACGGCATGAACCAGTGGTCGCGCATTGCCTCGCTGCTGCACCGCAAGACGGCCAAGCAGTGCAAGGCGCGTTGGTACGAGTGGCTGGATCCGAGCATCAAGAAGGTAAAACAAAAAAGAGAGACGACCGCCTGGAAGCGAGGAGGCAAACAGAGCGACGACGCAGACCAACAAAAGCGTCGTTCGAACGTTTGTGATGCAGCGCCAGTAAAGCGCCAACCCCCACTCGATACTCGATACTCGATGGCTGATTGAATGATGCACTGCCCTCGAACACAGACGGAATGGTCGCGCGAGGAGGAGGAAAAGCTGCTCCACCTCGCCAAGCTGATGCCGACACAGTGGCGCACCATCGCGCCCATGATTGGACGTACCGCCGCTCAGTGCCTTGAGCACTATGAACGTTTGCTGTAAGAATGGTTGGCTTGCATTTGGGTTGGTTGTGGGCTCGGTGCTGTTGGTTTGGCTCGTCGTTGTTTTGGTTCTAACTTTTTTTTTTTCTTTCTTCTTTTTTTTCTGGTGGCCCTGCAATTTCGCTGTAGAGACCAAGCACAGGCGCGTGAAACTGGCGAAGACGTATCCACCTCGGAGGCACGCAAGTTGCGCCCTGGCGAAATCGACCCGCACCCAGAAACCAAGCCTGCCCGCCCCGACCCGGTTGACATGGACGAAGACGAAAAGGAAATGCTTTCCGAGGCCCGCGCACGCCTCGCCAACACACAGGGCAAAAAGTCAAAACGAAAAGCCCGTGAGCGCCAACTGGAAGAGGCGCGCCGCCTGGCGTCGCTGCAAAAGCGCCGCGAGCTTGCTGCTGCCGGCATCGAGATGCCGCGCCGCTTCAAGAAGCGCGGACAGATTGATTTGAATGCCGAGGTCCCCTTGCACAAGGTGGCCCCGCGAGGCTTTTACGACACGTCCATGGAAGTCGATGACGGCACGGCCGCCCGCGAATTCAAAACTCGCTCGCTGCAGGACTTGGAAGGCAAGAAGAGCGCTCAAGCCGAGGCGGAGATGCGCAAAAAGGACAAGGAGAAGCTGGACAAGAAAAAGTCCACCGATCTCGTCGGACTGCTCCAGGCCGACAAGGAGCTGGAGCGCACCAGCAAGCGCGCGCGTCTCGAGCTGCCTGCACCGCAAGTCTCTGAGGCCGAGCTCGAGGAAATTGTCAAGCTGGGCTACTCGACCGAGAAGGCCCGTGCTGCTGTTTTAGCCAGCCGCTCCACCGCGTCGTCCAGCTTGCTGAGCTCCGACGGAGCTGACGGCTCGACCGGTGGTGGCTCTATTTTGCAAAGCGCGGCTGCTGTGGCCATGCGCGCTGCCTCGAACGCGGCCTCGAACCCCAATCTAACCGCCCGGACACCCATGTCTCAGGACATTATCCTGGAAGAGGCGCAAAATTTGCTCGCCCTGACGCGAATGGAGACGCCGCTCAAGGGCGGCGATGGGCCCGAGGTCCAGTCCGTGTTTGGGTTTGACGGTATGACTCCGCGCCGACAGGTCACTCAGACACCCAACGTGACCTTGCGCACTCCGTTGCGAACACCCGCGGCCGGTGGCATGGCTGGCGGCATGACCCCTCGCGTCGGAGACGGCGGCGCCTCGTCAAGTTTGGGCGGAAGCACGCCCTTCCGCGACAGCCTCCGCATCAACGACACCATGGACACTGACGACTTGGCCGCGTACGAGCGCGACCAACGCGCCCAGCGCAGCCAATTGCTGGCAGGCCTCGCCGCGTTGCCCAAGCCCAAGAACGACTTTGAGATTGTCTTGCCAGAGCTCGAGGGCTCTGTCGAGGACGTCGAAGACGAGGATCGCCCCAGCTACGTCACGGGTGAGGAGGATCGTGAAGAGATCGAGGCTCGCAACTTTGCCAACCAGCGTGCTGAAGAACTGGCCGCCGCGCGTCGCCGGTCGCAGGCCGTTCAACGCCATCTCCCGCGTCCATCCCAAGTCAACCCCGCCATCGGCAAGGCTTCGGGCGCCGCTGGCGTTACTGGCGGTGAGAGCACCATTGCCACCAGCACAACAACGACAACCGTGCGCGCCGGCGGCGGTGCAGCTGCTGGTGGCCTGACCATCTCCCCTGCTCTCATGGCAGCGGATGATTTGATCAAGGCCGAGACGGCTGCATTGCTGCGTATCGACACGCGCGAGCACCCTGCTGGTCGCGGACTGACCGAGTTGGCTGCTGCCTACATTCAGGACGAGGACGACGACGACGCCGTTGCTTCTTCCGCTGCCCTCGAGCCAGCCTTTTTGGCATCTTCGTCGAGCGCCGGTGCTTACGGCGACTTTTCTGACGATGAGATTGTGGCGGCGCGCAAGATGCTCGCACAGGAGACGGAGATTGTTCGCCATGTCATTTCTTCTCGATGGGGCACTGCCCACGAAGAAAACGGTGTGTCGATGGCCGAGTACGAGCGCGTGTGGCTTGAAGCGCTCGACGACGTGACGTACGTGCCTTCGCAGCAACGCTACGGCCGAACGGCACTTGCCAGCAAGAAGGATCGCACGGATGCGCTCGCACAGACGCTGGGACACTTGTCCGACCAGTACCAAGCCAACCGCAAACAAACAGATCGTGCAGAAAAGAAACTGATCGTCCTGACCACCGGTTTCCAGACGCGTGTCAAGAATCTCAAGCAGCAAATTGGCGACCTCACAACCCGTCTCGAGCAGTCGGAACGCGAGCAAGCCTGCTTTGCCGGCCTGCGCGACAATGAGCAGAGCGCACTGCCTGCTCGTCTCCAGGTAACGAAACACAACGGTTGTTTTCTCTGTTGTGGGAATGTGGTGTGTGTTTTTGGGATTGTGCAAAAAAACCTTGGCTAACTCTGTGTACTTTGGTTTGCTTTCTCTGCAGTCGCTGGTCGCTGAAGTAGATCACGTTTCACAGCGCGAAAAGGAGCTTCAAAGCTTGTTCTCGACGCTTTCGTACGAGCTCACGTCCAAGGCGACGATTTAAAGCAAAACGCAAGTAATGGGCGAATGGAAGCTTTTTCTTGAACTCTATGTTATGGTTAAGCGGTGTGTTGTTGTTGTTGTCGTTTGAGAATACAGTAGATAATTTCCATGTCAGTCCTGTATTGCTTTTTTGGTTGTTTGGTTTGTCTGAGCAGCTCAGTCAGTTTCAGTTTCATTGTGCTCAGAATGTCGAGTCTCGCTCGTTGGACGACGCGACCTTCCTCCACTGGCGCCGCACAATGGATGCATGCTGTTCGCTCACTCGGAACCCGTAGTGCACTCGTTGGTGCCGGTGCGGGATCTTGTACTGGTGCTGCAGCAGCCAAGACTGGCGTTCCCAGTCAGTCAAGATGGTCGTCCTCGTCCTCGTCTGCGCGACCACCCTCACCGCCACCAGCACAAGCACCGCAGCCATCATCGACAGTGCATGGCCATGATGCTGCTGCTGCGCCGTTCGTTCCGCCGAGCCGATCGCGCCTGACGCCCAAGCTCGACTACGCATGGATTGCCGCGAACGCCGAGACAGTCGAGCGCCACCTGCAGCTGCGCCAGATGGCAGCCGTGTCCGAGGACGGCGTCCCGTTCAATGCAGCGCACTTTCGCGAGCTGTTTGAGCGCAATCGCCTGCTGCAGCGCAAGTCGGACGATCTGCGGGCGATGCGGAACAAGCTCAGCGCGACGTACACCAAGCCCACCGGCGCCGCCCGACCTGCCGGAGCTCCTGCTGGTACCCAGAAAGACGCAGCGAACACGGCTGCAGACGCCAAGGTGCAGATCGCCGAGCAAGCACGCTCGATCAAGAAGGAAATCGCCGACGCCGACGCCGCGCTCGAGGAAGTGGCTGCCCAGCTCTTCCACGCTGCTGTGCGCGTCCCGAACGATGCGCATCCCGATGTAGCGAACGGCCCCAATGTTGAGAGGGTCGTGGCCGTCTCGTCCAGGTTGACGGCTCAGCAAGAAACGCTCGCTGCTTCGCTGGATGCTCGTCCATCGCTGCCCGCGCACTCGGACCCCTCTCGTATCCCTCCGACCAAGTACAAAGACCACGTCGAGCTTGGTCTGGCTCTCGGCTTGTTTGATCTGGAACGCGCCGCTGCTGTCACTGGGCACGCGTTCTACTTTCTCAAAGGCGCTGGAGCGTTGCTCGAGCTGGCGCTCACGCAGCTCGCCATGCAGCAGGCAATGCTCGCAGGCTTTACTCCCATGACCACTCCGGATGTTGCTAGAACCGAGATGGTGGCCGCATGTGGCTTCCAACCACGAGGCGAGATGACGCAAGTCTACTCGCTAGCCGCGCCTCACGACCGCTTCTCCCTGGTCGGAACGGCCGAAATCCCTCTGGCTGGCTTCCTGTCCAACACAACCGTTGCAACGCAGGCGCTTCCGGTCAAGCTGGCGGCTCTGAGCCACTGCTTCCGCTCTGAAACCGGCGCGCACGGCAGCGACACGCGCGGTCTTTACCGCGTGCACCAATTTTCCAAGGTGGAAATGTTTGCATTCACGGGACCGAGCGTTGCCGACAGCCAAGCCATGCTCGACTCTATTGTTCAGGTTCAGAAGCAGATTTTTGAGTCTCTTGAGCTTGATTTCCGGTACGGACGGCTCTGAGTTTTTGGGCTTTTGTATTTGTTTTTGTTTTTCCGGTCGTGATTCCTCTTTGTTTGTGCTCACTTTCTTGGCGATTCTGTGTCTGTCGGCAACTGCACTTTGCTCCTTTTAGAGTGCTGGACATGCCAATGAAGGAACTAGGAGCCTCCGCATATCGCAAATACGATATTGAAGCTTGGATGCCAGGTCGCGTGGCGTGGGGCGAAGTAAGTATCACGCGCTGCTCTGCTGCTTGTCTAGGAACGGTTATAGACTCAAACTCTGCTGCCAATACAGATCTCCAGCGCCTCGGATTGCACCGACTACCAAGCGCGACGACTCGGAATTCGTGCCAAGGCGGTTGGAGGCGCTGCTCCCGAAGCAAAAGGCGCCCACCAAACAGACACGGCGTCCCAAGATGGAAACAAGCATCTGCACACTGTGAATGGCACCGCGTGCGCCATTCCTCGCACCATCGCTGCCTTGCTTGAGACGCACCAATTGGAAGACGGAAGCATTTACCTGCCGCCTGCCCTCCGTCCCTTCATGGGAAATCGCGATCGGATTACGCCAGAGTGGCAGCAAGAGCTCGGAGCATTGCGGCCGATTGCCGTGAATGAGTTTGTTGTGGCCAAGCGTCGATGAAAGGTGAGGGGGATTGCTTTCAGAGTTGAATACCGGGATCCTGGGGTTTTGTTTATTGTAATACAGTCCTCTGAGAACCACTCCCGCTCTTTGTTCTCGTAATGCTTATCATTTTTCCCGCAATACTTGTCATTTTCCAATCTTCTCAGAAGCCACTCCTTCTTTTTCATTTTGTTTCGTTTCTCACCAATGTCCCACTTTGCCACCGTCCCACTCGCGCCTCCCGATGCCATCTTTGGCGTTGCTGCAGCATGCACTGCCGACAAGCATCCCAACAAGGTAATTGTGTGATATGTCAACAATAAGACAAAAGAACATCATGACATCATCACCGAGGTGGAAATGAGAGTCAAAGAGAATTGAAGAATTGGGGAGAGGTTTCCTATTTCATACTCGGCACTCACTACCCTGCCCTACAAACTCCTTGTGTGCCTTTCGTTACTGATTTTCTTTCCGATGGTTGTTATTTTCCCCCGATTTTCCGATTTTTGCTTCCGTTCCTCCTCCCTCTGGTATTGCGCCGACTTTTGACTTGCTCAACTCCTTCTTATAACTACTACTCGCTCGTTGCTCTGCTGCTGCTGCTGCTGCTAGGTCGATCTTGTGATTGGCGCTTACCGCACGGAAGAGTGCGAGCCGTGGATTCTGCCGGTCGTGCGCCAGACTGAGCTGCGCATTGCCGAGACGCAGCACGATCACGAGTACCTGTCGATCGACGGCCTCGCAGACTTTACGAACGCGTCTGCGCGGTTTGTGCTGGGCCACGACTCCAAGGACATGGCCGAGGGCCGCGTCTGCGCAGTGCAGGCAATCTCGGGCACGGGCGCCCTCCGTCTTGGCGGCGAGTTTCTGCGCCGGTTTTACACGCCGTCGCAGACCATCTACGTGTCAGACCCGACGTGGAGCAACCACTTTAGCCTCTTCAAGGAGGCCGGGCTGACCGTCAAGACATACCGCTACTTTGACAAGGCGACCAAGGGCGTCGCCTTCACCCAGTTTGTCGAGGATCTCAATGCAATGCCCGAGGGCTCGATCGTCCTGCTGCACGCCTGCGCGCACAATCCCACGGGCGCCGATCCGTCGCGCGAGCAGTGGGCGCAGCTGGCCGATCTTTTCATTGCGCGCAAGCTCTTCCCGTTCTTTGACAGCGCCTACCAAGGGTTTGCCACCGGCGACGTCGACAACGATGCGTACGCAGTCCGGTTGTTTGCTGCGCGTGGCATTGAGCTGTTCATCGGCCAGTCGTACTCGAAGAACTTTGGCTTGTACAACGAGCGTGCTGGCTGCATCACGGCCGTCGCTGCCGACAAGGACGCCGCCCAACGCATGCGCTCGCAGTTCAAGCTCATTGTCCGTGCCATGTTCTCCAACCCGCCCAACCACGGTGCTCGCATTGTCGGCACCATCTTGAACTCGCCCGAGCTGTACAAGGACTGGTGAGGATTTCCTTGAGTGGTGGTGCAATGGAGCTTGTTTTTATGGGGGAGGGGGTTGTTCTTCTTCTTTATTTGTTTCTTTAGTTGGTTTCTTTTGTTGGTTTCTGTTGTTGGCTTCTTTGGCGAACTCGTGTGTCTGACTTGCGCGTGGGATTCTAGGCACCGCGACCTCAACGTCATGGCGGATCGCATCAAGCTCATGCGCCGCATGCTCTACGACAAGCTCGTCGAGCTCAAGACCCCTGGATCATGGCAGCACATTCTCGACCAAATCGGCATGTTTAGCTTCACAGGCTTGACTGGTAAAGAGACGAGCTGTTAAAGTCATATTCGCTTGAGTTTGTTATGACTCACTTTGATTCAACCCAATCGCCCTGATTTCTTGGCTCCTTCTCTACACAGAGGCGCAATGTAAAGTCCTCACCGAAAAGTACCACATCTATCTGCTCAGCTCTGGACGTATCAACATGTGCGGCCTGACCACCAAGACTGTGGATTACGTTGGTCGCGCGATTCTCGATGTTGTCAGCAATGCTGGTTCCGCTTAAACTGCGCGACGGCTTTTCGGTTACTTCCACGCTGATTATGTTGAAGAATAACACTATTGATTAACAAACAAAAAAGTAGCTCAAAGAAATGATTCGGAAATGGTTGGTTGTTAACAATCCAGTTTCGGCTGAACCGGCTAAAGCTGAGACTGCTCTTCCTCCGGCTTGACTTGAGTGTGAACACTCCGACGTCGCATCTCGTCGACTTGAACCGCCAAATCCGGGGGCTCGTACAACGATATGAGCAAAAAGAACACTGAACTCATGATGCAAATGTGCCAGAGGCTGTGTGTCCATCCATAGTTGCTCTGTAGAAAAACAAGGGTGGAAAAAAACAGATGCAAAGACATTGGAGGCAACAACGTGAGTTGAACGCGTGCAGAAAGTGCATCACCATCAACAACATCACAACACGCTCGCCGAAACTTCACATCTGTCTGGACGAAACCAAAGATGCACAGACCAACAATGGCGATGGCCAAGCCGACTGCCAAGCGCCACCAGATAAAGTACTTGATCCACCGCACATGTGCAGCGCGACACATACGCACCTAACACACATGCCAACCGTCAGCATCCGAAGATACAAGCAAGCACAACAAAACCGCATCGTTGCCACTTTTTACCCATGTGAAGACAATCAAGGCAACGCCCACAGCAGCCAGAACCGCCAGATTGATGGCCGAGAATCGATCGACAGTGACACCAATCAACAAGCCGAGCATGCCCATAATCTGAAGAACGTGCTTCCAGGGCGACACAAGGCGCGCCAAGTAGATGAACGTAAACCAGAACGAGACATACGAGCCGTAAAAATCAGCAACGCCCATCGCGTCGTATGGATACATGCACAAGCTAATGTTGGAATCGCAGATGTGATAAAACTGCAAGTGCAAGACCGCGTGACAGAAAGATAAGTTCAACGGAGAAACTAGCAATCACCAATGAATTGCAAAAAAAAAATCCATCATGCATGCACAACACTTACTGCTGAACCAAACATGGTAAAGGTGTACACGACACACTCTGTCCAGAGTTTTCGTCGGATGCTCACGATGATGGCTGGCAAAAACGCCAGGTTGCTCACCGTTAAGAAAAACATGTACCCGATATAGGCCGAGTAATCATCAACTAGCGAGCACCAACAAAGCAGCGCAGAAGAACGAAAATGAGCAGTTCAACAACCCGGTCACCAAAGGACGAGAACATTGCAGGAAACAACACAACCGTCGCGCGTTTGACTCACTTTCATCGCAAGACCAGCCAGAATAGGGTCGATTGCACGAACAATAGGAAACGAGCGAAGCTCCAAAGGTGTCGAGAGTGCACGTTCCGTGGGAGCAAGATTGAAGACAATCGACTGGCGAGACTTGGATTTGATAGGTAACGGTTGAACTGAGCGGTGGCGAGTCGGAGGAATTGAGGAAAACGCCAATGTAGGTCATCCCAGCGACAACAAAAGGCATGTCAAAGGTGCCGCCCACGCTCGTCAGCTCAAACACGGAGTCGTAAGCAGTCGATGTTGGCGGGACGCCAGTGCGCAGATACACCTTGTAGGGAGCCGCAAGAGCGGCGTTCTGGTAGAGAAGCGACCCGGCGACTTGAAAGTTGAGTGTTGGCAGCGCAAGCTGGTTGTTGAGCGGCAACAAGGTCATCACGTCCGGAACGACAACGACGGTGCGACTTGGCAAAAAGAACGTGCCGTATGTGGCCCATGGAAAGTCGAATGGCGACAGTGGCACGACTTGGCTGAGGCAGCCCGGGCCCGTGAGCAGGCTGCTGCTGCATGCGAGAGAGCCGATCTGCAAATCCGCCGTAAAGGACTCGCCCGTGCACGCGCCTTGAATGGTCACGCGCACATAACTGTAGGCGTACGTAAAATCCGTTAACGCAAGATCCGCGACATTGCACTGGACGCCAAGGAGAGCTCCGTTGGGGCCGAGCCGCGCGAGTTGGCACGTGCGCGAGTCGTACAAGTTGGCGCCAGAGACAGCATCTGGCAGGCCCGGCTGGGTCGGACTGAACAGAGAGACGGTCAGGTTGGCAGGAGAGGTACACACAGGTCCAGTCACAGTCGATGATACTGAAATGTTCATGCTCGCGCCCCATGCAGCATCCGAAGGGAGAAAGCGGAACACGCTCGTGGCAGTTGTTACGGCGGCAGCAGTCGTAGAAAAGGTTGCGGATGCCGACCCTGATGGTGTCACAGTTGTGATGGAAGCCAGGCTCAAGCGAGTGAACGAAACGGTCGCTCCGTAAGAGCAAGAATGAGAGTTGGAGTCGCTCTATGGAAGGGGGAGGGGGAGAGCGAGAGATATATAACAGCACAGACGGATGAGATTGGAGTCATGATGGTCAAGCCTAAAAAAAAAAAGAGCGAGAACCACAGCCATACCCCAGTCTGAAGATCCCCTGTCGGAAGAGTGGCAGCGAAAAAGTACTCGCCCGGCGCTGGTGAATCGAGTTGGATTGTCAGAACGCCACGCGGCTGGATAATCCACTCCTTGTCGTACAGTCCGCCATAAGCTGGGGCAGGAATTGGCAACGCTCCGCGCCGCATCCAGCTGGAAGAACGGAAAAAATGCACGGCGCAAACGCAAACAATGAGAAATCGATCGCGAACAACATCTCGAACCAAATACACTGCGTGTGGTCAAACAACAAACTCACAGCTGCACGGTCGATTGACAGAAGGTCGGGTTGCTGGAATCAGAGAGGTCGATAAAAATGATGGCAGATGCGAGGCCAGCCGGAACTGCGAAGGACATGACTGCGAGGCTTTCATAGTCATCGTAAAAGTCAATCGGCTGAGACGAGATGCTCAAGCTGAGCGGTTCGGTCAGTTGGTAGTGCGGGTCAGCCGAGCCTGCGCTTGCGAGCGCGACCTGTGAATCGACATCTTCTTGTTGTTGTTGCATTTCCTGGATGTTTGCATCCGACGTCAGTTTATCTGAGGGTCAAACGAAGTGGAGCAACATCCAAAACAAAATTGGCGGAGGTAAGCTCAGAAACAAAAGAACCACACAATTCCTGATCGGGCATTTGTCTCAGGTTCTTTCGTTTCGATTGTTTGTTTTGGTTCGGTGAAAAACTAAGTCTCGTTGCCTCCGACGTCCCACACACAGACACCCAGGACAATTCGGCAACAAACAGCAGAGCATTGAACTCTCTCCCAAAACACCTGAACGCTTTCTGCTGTGAGCTCATCCCACAAACGGAGCGACGTGCAACGTTCGACATCAAAACTGAGGGTGTGAGTGTAAGTTTTTCGCATCGCATAAAGTCTTCAGCCCACAAGGCCAATTTCTGAGGATTGAGACACGCGCGATTGCTCTTGTGTGTTGATGATTGATTTGCTTGACTTCAACTCACCATGCATGACAAGGGGCGTGCGACGCGACCTTGCGCCGGGGAGCTGTTGCTGCTGCTCGAGCGCCGAACCCAACTTGGTTGTCAGTTTCGCCTCACGCCGCTGATGTTGATGATGATGCTGCTGCTGCTGTTGCTCCGGACGCTGCGTTCGATCGCTGGAGTACGCCGTCACAACTTCAGTGCGATGGTCGCCCGTCATCGGCGTCGTGGTCGCGGAAGTGCCGGTCGGTGGAGGGCGCGTTATGGCAACCAGCAAAGGCGAAGTGGCAACCGCAAACAGCGCGGCGACAAACATGACAGCGGCGGCTCTGGCCCAGCGATGACGTTGACTCGGACTCTGCTGCTTCTGCTTTTGCATGGACTGATGAGTGCATCGGTCGTAGCGTGGCAGGAACAGCGAGGACGCTTGGGCGACGACCGGCCATCGAGCGTCCGTTTCGCACTCCTGGTTGTTGTTGTTGCCACCGTTGCTGCTGCTGCTGCTGCTGCTGCTGATGCTGGACAATGGCACCCACGAACGAATGCCACCCATCATTGCTTCAGCAACAGGATGGAACAGCAAAGAAGAAAAAAGGATGGGGGGAGGGCACCGATGAGCAGCTAAGCAACAGGGACTGAGAAGTGAAACACAAAAACGGGGAAACCAAAAAGAATCTCAGACAAAACAAAGAACCAATCACACGAAGCAAAGAACAACTAGAAATGAAAGAAACAAGACTGTGCTTCATGATGCGATCACAATCAAGCTCAAAACAACGAACTCTGAGAATCATGCGCGAGAGCTCCATTGCAACTGGAAGCGATTTCCCCGCGTCTCTGATTGAAAAGGTTGCAGAGTGCAGTTTTTTTTTTTTGGCGGAACATCCGACTGTGGATTATCTGCTCATCCTTCTTGCTCAGATTTCCGTCCATACTTGGAGGGCTCAGTCGTTTGCTTTTTTTGCTGTGCAGAAGGGGGACGAACGCTTTTCAGAACGACAGTTCATTCACTCAGGCACAGCCAAGGCAAACAGAAGCAAGCGGCCACAACAGCAAAACCCCAAGTCGCGAAAATGAGCGCAGGCAGTGTGAATGCTGTGATTGTCGCTGCAGCGGCCGTGAGTGCTGCCGTGTGGTACTTCATCCGAGGCAGCGCAACAGGAGGCATTGCAGCGGCCGGCGAGCGAACGACATCATCACAACAGCATCAGCAACAGCAGCAACAGCAACAGCAATACGCATCAACAGCATCACCGCAGCTGACGCAGTCTCAGCAACAGCAGCAGCAGCACGACGGCGGCGCGCACAACAATGACGCGGCGTACGGCGATGCCGAAGCGGACATCCACAGCGAGCTCAGAGGTCTGAATTTGATTGCTGAAATGTTGACAATGTTGGTTGACGATGAATAATTGCTGCAGTGGTCGGAAATTGCATCTATTTGGAGGTTGGGGGATGATCAAATCGAGGCACCAAAGGGGAACGAACGAAACGCCGAATCGCCAAGACAGCTCAAAATGTTCCAATCTTAGCGTTTCAGACGCATTGCGCCTTGTGGTCGTCTGTGTCGGGTTTGATTCATTTGAGTCAATGTGAATCATTGTATTCGAGTGATTGGATGCGGAAGAAGGGAGAAGAACCGATGCAGAACAACCAGTTGCTTTGATGGTTGTCCGGATTGTGAACGTTTGCGTTGCCGCTTGGATTCGAGATGCTTTTTGGTTGCTATATTCTCACGGAATCTGCATAATTTGGTTGAATGCTGCAGGTTTTCAAGGCCGAGGTCGAAACCCGGCGTCTGAGGAGCACAATCTTCGAAATGTGAGTTTTATCGCATCTCAGTGTGCTTATTTTGTTTGTTTTTTTCGAGTAGCTGTGATTGCCACAGTCGGATGTAATGTGCTTACACGTTTGTTTCTGCTTTGGAATGCAGTTTTACGCCTTCATGGCAGCCGGACGGCACGAGTCGCCTTCACCGCGGCCATCGCGACCAACGTCCATGATTGGCAACTCTGGTTATAACCAGTCACCGGAGCCCTCGCGATTTGCCGAAACACGTGGAGAGGACTATGAGGAAGATGACTTGGATTCGCGCTCGGTATGTCTTTTCGTTCGTTCAATTCTATTGAGTGGCCAAGTGCTTCCTTCAACTCACTCATTTTGTCGCCATCCCATCAGCGCCCAACCCGAATCTCGCTTCCCACCGTCCCGGATTACATCTCTGGCTCTTAGGTGAAGCTGGCTATCGTCTGTTGGGTCTGAAAACATGTTGATATACTGTGTGAAACCTCATGTATGCGAAAAAAGAAAATCCATTACAAAAAAAGGGATGAACACAAACCCGGAAAGCAACAAGTTCTGTGCATGTGCACAGCGTTGCCCGAATAAACAACCATAACAAGATTTCCAACCAAAGCGAAAGAGAATAGGACACCCAGGACAAAAAAAAAAAAGAGAGAGAGAGAGAGAGAGAAAACAAACCAAAGGACAAGATATCAAAACCAAACAGGCCCCTTCTCCAATCAGAAGAGGTACAAACACAAGGATGTTAACAAAAGTCGAGCTGCTCAAGGGGAGTGCACGGGTTACTCTGTAGTAACGAAACCGACGGCAATTATCGGAAAGAAGGTAAAGATGAAAGATTAAAGATGAAAGATGAAAGATGAAAGATAAAAGGTTCAAGAGGGAAAGCAAGTTCAAAGAGTTCAGAAGGTAAAAGGAGGGAGGAGAAGGCATGGCTCAATCGCTCAATAATACGCCTCGAGGCCAGAGGTCGGAATGCTCTCCAGATGCGCGGAAGCAGCAGCGGGAACAATCACAGGCCCGGAGACGGGCGGCAGAGCCGTGGTCGCGGCGTCAAGAGAGACCGGAACCGGCGTTGCTGAAGTGAACGAATTGAGGTATGTGTTGGAGTGCAAGACCTCCTCCTGCGTCTGCACCGTATTGGGAACCGGCGCAGATGCGAAAACGGCGCTGCCACTCTGGAGCGAACCAGGGTTGTTGGAGGACAGCAGCCCCGCAGGCTCTGAAGTGAGAGACGGCGCCGCCGAAGAGAGAGACTCGAAGGAGAATGAGGAAGACGAGGAGGAGGAAGAAGAAGAGGAAGAAGAGGAAGAGGAAGAAGAAGAAGAAGCAATTGCCGATGATGGAGACGAACTGGATGCAGAGGCCGCGAGCTCGGAGCTACCCCCCTAGGTGGAGATCCATATAGGCGGTGGGTCGCGATGCGGGCCACCGGGAGAACGGATACCGCCAGTGGCGAAATTGGCAATGCGTCGCACGACTCCGCCAACAGGATCAAACTGACGGGATGGAGTGTCGAAAAGCTCTGTATGGGGCTGCGGAGAGGCGGCAAAGGAGAATTGGAGAGGCTCGGGCACCAATTGTTGTTGGCCGGGCTCGGGAACGTACGAAAGCCCCTTTGCAGTCGACACAACGAAATTTGCGGGGAAGGACGTCAGCGTTGAAATGGTGTTGTCGCCGCTGAACGAGAGAGAGCGACGTGGCGGCAGCGGCTCGGGAGTTATTTGAACTTCGGGCGAGCCCAGGGATTCGGAAATGGTGGATGGCTCTGTCGATGTGGCCTCCGCTGACGACGAATTGGGCGTGTTGGTCGTCGACGATGGGGTGGAAGATGATGGTGATGAGGCGCTCGTCGGGGCAAGACCGAGCAAGGCCGCTCGCGAGCCGCGCATGGCAGATCGAATGGGCGACTTGGGCTTGACGGGCGCCATATTGTGAATGTCCACGGGCGCCTTTGACACCTCGGCCTGAGAGAGATCGACCACAACTGGAACAGTTGCATCATTCGGGAAGTGAACGACAATCCAGTCAATGTGATAGTTTTGGCCCTCATTGCTGTCCCAATACTCTTGGCCGCCAGCCCGATATCGAATGGCAAATTCGCAGTGGCTCCTGAGTGGGAGAGTCTCGGGGAGACGCAGCACCAGGACGAATCGGTCGCACATCATGCCGTAGAGCGGCGTACTGTTGGCATACGCGCCTTCTTCTTCCTTGAAGGTTTTCCAGCCGTCTGTCGAATACCGCGCAGTGACGCTCTTGTCGTACGCCAGATTATGAACGATGACGGTTGCGTACAGGTTGGCTCGACGCGTGAGCGTGTTTTCGAGCAGGATGGGATTCGAGCGGACACGCTCGGCGAAATCTGGAGCGGATGCCGGTTGTTTGTAGCCTTCGGCGATGGCCATTTTGGGTGAAACCAGGGCATCCGTCACCAGCGGAGGCAAGTGGTCCCGGAATGGATTGATTGCCAACGGAGCGTCCTCGCGACGGAACAAGACAGCGCGCGACAGGGACAGGCCGATCGAATCCGAAAAGCGAACGCGGCGGTGTCCCAGACTGTCCACTGTTGTGGACGAAGTGGACGGTGTCAACTGCTCTGACGGACTAGTGCTGCCTGAAGATTCAGAGCTGCTCGATTCCGAGCCTGAATCTGAGCCGCTTTCGTCTTGAATGGCGCTGCCGTTATCGTCGCCCAGATTGCTGCTGGTGCTGTTCGGTTTGTTGCTATTGTTAGTAGTGGCGGGGGTGGTGGTGTTGCTCTTGCTCGTGGGAGTGTTGCTCTCGTAGAACTCGTCAACTTCGCTGTTGTGGTGACCGTGATGATGGTGGTGGTGGTGGTGGTGGTGGTGTTGCAGTGGTGGTGTTGGTTTACGCTCGACGGCGTCTGACAGCGGCGGTGACTGCAGCTCGCCGTCCACCATGTCAGCGGCCGGAGGCTGCGATGCCAAAGACCAGCTGTCCGCAGCAGGCGCCGGATGTGGTGACTGCAGCTGAGGGGTTGCCGCAGCGGAATTCTTGGATGTGGGAGCGGGTTGCATTTTGTTTGACGCGAAAGAAGCTCTGTGCCTCCAAGTTCACGTTGATGCACGTACTAGCGCCGCGGGTTGAATAGCGGGATCGATGCCAGCTCGAGCCGAGTGGAGAATGCTCAGTGGACTGTGCGGTCAATAATGGGCTTGAACGAGCAGGAACGTCCACCAGTGACCAGTCGGCGATGCGGTTGTTGGAATTGGGCTTGGAATCGAGGCCTGGCAGCAGCGGCGGCTGTTGGATGCTGCAAGAACGACGACGTGCGTAGACGACAGCAGCGAGGTTGTCAAAGTCGTGCAGCTGAGCGATCGAGACAATCGAGGACGCCTGGACGAAAGCGGCAGCGGGCGAGTACGAGATTGGAGTGCGAGTTGGGTCGCTGCTCACAGATAAGGCCTTCGAATCAAGTGCGACAAGGACTGGTGGCTCGGACGATGCAATCGCAGCGACGAGAGTGGTCTCAGTGGACGAGGCAGGCGACCCACAGCAGCGACCGAGGCAGGAGGAGGAGGAGGAGGCGGCGGCGGAGGACGACCAAGGGGTGAGCTGCGAATTTGAATGAGAAGACTGGGCTGCTGCACGCTCGCGTTGCTCTGATTGGCCCTCGAGTGTGCTGCTGCTGCCTGTGTTGCTGCTGCTGCTGCTGCTGTTGAGAGTGGGTGACAAGGACGATGGCTCTGCTTGTGCGGCGGCGGTGAGGCTGTCCGCAGAGGACGAGGAAGAGAAGGACGAAGGAGAAGAAGAAGAAGAAGAAGAAGGCCAAGAAAGCGACGAGAACTGGTTTTCCGATCGCAATGCTTGGACGAGGACGGGGCTGCCTGGGACCTGGGCGTGGGGCTCGGCGGGAACAAGGACGTGCGCTGAGATGGGTGTGGGTGCGGGTGCGGATGCTGCGGGTGCTGCGGGTGCGTCGGAGAGCGAGACAAGCGACGCAAATGACTCACTGGGACGGCTTGGACCACTGCTGCTGGAAACTGCGGATTTGAGGCTAAGAAGAGGCTGGAGATCCTGGTCCTGGTCCTGGTCCTCGCTGCTGTCTGATGCCGATGAGAAGCGACGCTGAGTTAGATGATGCTGATGATGGTGAGGCTGGTGGTGAAGCGCGTCGTCCGGTTGGTCAACGATGCGGGTGCTGGGCGAAGCGGGTGGGGTGAAGAAGGCTGCCCAGCGCTGATGCTGCTGCTGCTGACGCTGATGCTGCTGCTGCTGTTGCTGTGGTTGATGGTATTGATGGTGTTGCTGTTGCTCGAGTGGGTGGTCGGAGTGGTGCGGGCGGTGGAAGGACGCGTCGTCCGCAGGCTGCTCGTTTCGTGACCAAGGCGAGACTGGCGCGTCCGTCACGGCCTCCAAATCCGAATCAACGGAAGACGACGAAGACGATAGTAATTGTAAAGCAGAAGAAGACGAAGATGATGATGATGATGAAGAAGAAGAATCGGAAGCTTTGGAGGATGCTGGGGCTGGAACGAACGGGTTGGACGTAGACGCTGGCGAACGTGACAAAAGAAAGAATTCAATCGAATTCGAATCACAAACTGCCTCTGAAGCGGATAAAGTCGCGAGCGATGCAGCAGAGGAAGAAAATGACAAGGACGTTGAGGATGACAAAGAGGCTGAAACAGAGACAGGGCCCGCTGTGGTGGTGCGGCGACTCGGAGCCGCGGAGACTGCTGCTGAGACGACGGCGGTTGAGGTGTGGCGCAGAGAACCGTCCAAAGAAGGCAGCGATGACGAATGATGTGAATGGCCGTGTCCAACTGCTGCGCTCGTTGTATGCATCGAGTGGTGGTGGTATTGCTTGTCGGACTGTCTGGGGACGACAGCGGGCGTTGGCGGCGTGGAAGAAGGAGCAGCTCCCGAACCGCCGCTGCTGCGCGTGAATGCTGCTGTTGATGCTGAGACCGACGCCGGAGCCTTCCACGTCACCCAGCTCAGAACAAGCTCAACGAAAAAGGCGAGCAATGCAGCCAAAAGGTTGCCGAGGAACGCCGTTTTTAAAAGAATCGGTATCCGAGAAGGAAAGAATTGGCGAAAAAACGATGGGAAAATGAAAAAAAAAAAAAAAAAAAAAAAAAAAAAAAAAAAAACCAAGCGAGGTTTGACACGAGCGCTTGAAACGATGCTACTGCGGTGGGGGAGGGGTGGTTGGAAGAGATGTGTGATTAGGAAATGCGGTGAAAAGCGGGCAAAGGGAAGGCTACCGAGAAGAAAGAAAAGGAACGATGACGAAAAAATGAACGACGGAGATAAAGGGAAAAGAAAAAAAATAGGTTGGAACAACGACTCGCGGGCTGTTGCGGGGGCGCGTCGGCTGGTAGAGCAGAATAGGAGTTTAGCTGTTGTGTTAATGCAAGCAAAAGCGCAAGGAGACACACAGAGTACGATGGCACGGGCTTGCAAAGTGAGAAGCTCAGAAACAAAACGTAGTTCGCAGCAAAGGGGAAACGCCACAGAATTCCATAAACATCAACAACAACGCTGGAGATTGCGTACAAAACGCGTGCCACCCAGGTTCTTATTGGAGGGGTAGGAGCGTCGTGTGTAACCGTGCAAAGTGCAATGCGTGGAACAGGACTGAGTTGAACAGGGGATGCAGAAGGGGGGGTGGATGAGGGAAATTGAAAACCAATCAGTTTCACGTCGAGTTGTTGGCAACCGGCACGTGCGACTGGGACTTTTGGCGCACATGCGTCGGCAACTGCCATTGGGCTCTGTTTGTGTGCTTTCGCCGTACAGTACATACCCATCCGTTTGTTTGTTTCTCAATGCACATGCGAGATCCCCGATTATTTCGTTCGTTGGAATGGTCTCGATTTTAATCACAATTCAACCTTGTTCATTAACCAAGCGTTGTGGTTTGTTGTTCTTTCTTTGATCGGCCCCTTCCTCGCGTTTCCCCTCCCCCCCCCCACAAAAGGGTGCTGCGAGTGTTGGGAGTAGTGCAATGCTCCAATGCATAGGTCTGCTCCACAGCCGTCAGTGCTGATGAACAGCAACGGAATGAAACTTTTGGCTTTGTCACCAAAAAACAAAAATCTCAACGCGATGCGAATCTACCACCAACAGCAGCACACGACGCGCAAATCGACGCAGCCCACGGACTCGGACACCGCCCCCACCGTCACGCATGGACGTGTGTGTGTGCATGGCTTGTGATGATGTGCGAAAGAGTGGCTAGACGCGGAATGCAACAAAGCAAACGCGACGGTGATCAAGACGTGTGCAAGATTCACACCTCCTCCTCCTTGCCAATACGGCCGACACACCGTCCCAGCTCAATCCATTCCCATTCCCATTCCTGCATCTACCCGCGCTCGCTTCGCTTGCTCGCTGTTCTATTCCACTCCCTCTGCTGTTGGCCTTGTGTGTCACATTGGAGGGTGTTCGTTTTGTTTGCAGAATTGCACAACGAAGCGAAAAACTTACAACAAACAAAAAAAAAAAAAAAAAAAAAAAAAAACAAGAATGGGATAATTCGCGTCCAATGGAAACTCGTGCCGAACATTCGTGATGTCAGGCGTCGCAGGTGGCTTGCAAAGTCGCGCGATTACTCCCCAGAAGACCTCGAGTATCCAGAAAAAAAGCCAGTGCATAGTGCCGTTGTGAAGCTATCGTGAAAGCTCGAAAAGTGGAAAAGTGGAGAGCAACGTTTTGGGGCCTGACAACCAACTTGCTGAGCGTTCAACTTGCACAAATGCGATTGAAGCAGCAGCTTGACAAGTACGATGGGTGAATTCAGATGAATACGCCATCGACGACTGCAATCCGAATGGCGTCCGAAAGTCGTCTGACTGTCCTCAGAAAAATCGCAAGTGCTCGAGCATCTGCACGTCCTCGACGCTAGTTTTTTTTTTTTTTTTTCTCGGTTGATGTCAACAAGCACTCGTTGGTTCTTAGACGATGATCAAAATGACCTCTCTGAAATTGGAAACAGCTCACAAGGCTCCTCAGTCTTTTGAACACAAACTCAACACGATGACCACCTTCAATGACGAGCAGCAGATCCTGCCGATGGACGCCATGTACATCATCCAGGACGCCATCCGCGTCGAGTTTGAAGTCCAGGCACTCCTGCAGACCCTGCGTGACTGCACTGGACCACTCCCGGCAGCAACAGAGCTGCGCAACGGCATCCGTGCCAAACTCAAGTCGCTGCCAGCCATGCTCAAGGTAGCCCACCCCTCCATTCGTTCTCGCTCTCCAGCTCGCTCTCGTCCTCGTTTGGATGTTACACGTCCATGGACTATCTTGCGACATCCTCTGGTCGAGAGTCGCGGTCGGACGGCTTCCAAGCTCTGCGCCATGTCATCGCTTCGTTGTGGGCTGGCTGTCTCACCGTATAGCTCTCTCTCTCTCACCTTGTAGGTGCTGGAACGCATTGCTCGCGAACAAGACCGAGACCAAGACACGGAACTCGTGATGAGCAAAGTGCATCGGCACGAAGAGCAATTGGAGCGGTAATAACGCCGTTTGAATTGAAAATCGAAGAAAAGTCTGAGAAACTCAGCAGAAAGCTCACCTCGCGTTACGACCACCTTCCCAAAAAAAGCCTGCACGAACAGTTCCGATTGGCAAATGTAGAGTGCAAGGAAAACATGGACCGTCAGCACCTGCTCGATCGCGCTCAGCTCTTGTCGCTGTCGTTGCGCGCACATTCGCCACGCGTGGATTCGGCTGAAGACGCTGGCTCGGTTCTAGGCAAAACGTCAGTATTGACGAACGAGCCTACTACATCACACTCTACACTTCACAGCAAAGCAGCAGCAGCAGAAGCAGCAGAAACCAGCAAGTCGGCCTTCTCGTCGACACACAATTCGTCCGAGCTCTCGACTCGTCAAGCGCTTCTCCCGGCCGTCACCATCGCGGGCATCCGACAGCGGTCTCTCGCTAGTAGCGTCAAGTCATCTCAACAAAGTCTGCTGTCGACCTCGTCCGACATAACGCAGAGTTTGCGCAACACGACGCAGTTGATGGCCACGCAACTCGAGCAGAATGCGCGCACAATGCAAGTTCTGTGTAAGTGAAGGCCGACAGAGGGGCTTCATCTCATGATGCAGTGAAGGAAGGGGGCCAGAGAACTGAAAAACTGATTACAATTTTAATTGCTTTGACGTTATTACATGCACAGCTTCGTCGTCCAAAACTATCGATGACTTCCATTCCGAGTTTAGCGGCCATGGAGGTCTAATTGGCACTGGTCGCCGCATTCTAACCAACATCCGAAGGCGGGAAATTGCCGATCATATTCTTGTTGGCGTGGGCATTTTTATTTTTGTGTGCACCGTCTTGTACATTCTTCGGAAGCGACTCGGGGCGCTCTTCTGGTGAGGGGGGTGCTCACTTGCTTAATGCAGAGATAATGTCGAACGAAAGCTAGCTCCGTTCATTTCGATTCCCATTCAGACTGTCCATCCCTCTCTATCAGTGAGTAACTCTGAATTCACTCTGGTTCAAAAAAATCCTCCACTCACATGCACCAAGCAAAGTGAGATGCCTTACATGAGTATAGTCAGTGTCGTGTTCACTTTGAGCATCTCAGCAATCACCTGCGCTTCACCATGCGCTGACTCTCAGTCGTACTCTGACTCGAAAGCATTTGGAGAGTGAAGCGACCGTCCCTCGCCCAAAAACATCATCACTCAGAGCAGCCTATTTTTCGACTTGGCATTGTACAGTGTTCGGCAATGGTGATGGAACACTCGTGCGGACCAATCGAACTTTGTGCGTTTGGCGATTGAACAGAATTGATTTGAACAAACGTAAAATGAACAATTCTGACCGAACAAACGTGGGAGTGAACATAGTCGTACTGAACGTTGCTGCAATTCGAAGTGAACGACCTGCCCATGGCAATCGAACCAAGTGAATTGAACAATGTTCTGCAATGACTGGACAAGCTTCTCCACGGCACCGAACATGCCAGATTGAACAGTCATGCAATCTCAAAGGAGTGGTTTATCGCAGCTTCCCGGCATCTCCAAGCATGGTGGACATGACAAAAAGATCATATTTACAAAAGCACGCAAAAGCAAAACACAGAATTTTTTTATTCTCGCTTGGGTTTTGGTTTTTTTTTTTTTTGGTTTTTTTTTTTACTGCAGTCATCATCACCTCGCTGGAAAGCTCGGTTGGAAGAGCATCAAGCTAGTGTATTTAATCCTTGATATCTTCGAGCTGCGCACAAGGGAAGGCATACTTGCTGACATGGACAATGGAGCGGCTGCAATTTTGCGCCGACACTTGGCGAACAGCATCTTCAATGCGGCGATGGACTTTCTCGCTTTTTTTCAGAGGAGTGCGCTTGAAGCAAGATTTAATCTTGCCAAAAACATATTCAATCGGGTTGAGGAATGACGAGTACGGCGGAAGATACAGCAGACGGTAGTTCCTACGCCAAAAGTAGTTGCGCAGGCTGGCTGTTTTGTGGAAGCTCGCATTGTCCATCACAATCCACGCCTTGTACGTTCTGCCATCTCGCGGGAAAGAGCGGCCGTACTTCTCTTCCGATGCGATCAGCAAATCTGCGTTGTCGTTGCCTTCCTCCGCCTCGTCTTGAAAGCATTCGGCCTGGGAAGGGTGATAAGCTTCCTCATCGTCGTCGTCATCATCATCATCGTCGTCGTCGGCATCGTTCGTCCGTAGGGCTTCAACAGCGGGAGGGTAGGTGTAGGTGGATGTGCGTCTGGGTGCTGCGGCGCGGGCTGAAGTTCGGGATGACGGCTGCACAAGTTGTTGGAGACGACGCGTCCGCATTGGATGTCGCAGGGAAGAGGTGCCTGTGGAGGATGCTGGGTGACTTGCTGCTGCTGCTGCTGCTGCTGCTGCGGAAGACCACTGCCCAACGTCGTCGGCAGAGTTGTCCTCATCCTGGTTGTCGTCTGTAAAAGCTGTTGAGCGATGGTGCCCTCGCGGTAGCCGACCACGCCGGCGTCGTAGTAGTTCCGACGCCGCATGAGTATCTCGCGGCTGCGTACGTTGCTGTGCATGGAGCGACACACCTGCTGCAGCACGATTCGAAGTGGATGAGGCTGCGGCATGCTGCGTCAATGTGCCGGCATGCTGCGCTGATGGTCCAGCATGCTGCATCGATGTCCCAGCGCCGGTACTGGGAGGTGCAGGGGCAGAAGAAGAGGACGGCGCTGGAGCACTCGAGCTGCTGTTGTTGTGGTTGTGGTGGTGGTGGGTGTGATTGCTGTTGTTGTGCTCGCTCTGTGATGGCTCCTCTGCGCTCAGAACCTTCCCGTGAAACTCGACATACTTGGCAGACCCTTCATCCTCGAGCTCTTGCTCTGGAGCCTGGTCGCTATCGTGCTCATCGTCGCTCGCGCCGTGGTCTTCGTCGTTGCGGAAGGAGTCGCCGGCAGTGTGTGGCTCAAGTTCGCGACCTTCCAGCACGTGAATAAACTTGGCCATCGTCCGTTGGAATACATGCTGGTTGACAGGGCCGTGGTGGATGTCGTAGTGCACAACACCCATATTGCCAATCACACAAATCAGTGTCCAGTTCGGAGCACGAATGGAATCGACGTTCTTGATCGCGCGCTTATGCATGTTAATGTTGAAGCCACACTCATCGACGTAGAAGATGCGCGATTGGGGAATGTTCGCATTGGCCAAGTCCTGAAACCACTCTTGGCGCCTCATTTTGACCGCCATCGAGTTTTTGCGAGTGACCTGCTCATAGATCATCTCATGCGCTTGACATGCCGACCGATTGTCGTCGCGTTGACTTTCACATCAAACTTCTCGTGCAACTTGTCGGCCAGCATGCCGTTGGTCACGGCGCAGTCCTTGTCGATTTCTTCCGCCAGGAATTCCTCCATTTCGCTCGTCACGACTGTCCGATTGGGCGGCTTGGAGGCACGAGGCTCTATGATACCAGTCTCGCGAAACTTGGTGCACACATTGTGCACGGTTGCGACCGGGACATCAAGATAGTCAGCAATCTCGCGAAAGGAGCACAAGTCCTCGTCGCGCAATGCAACAATCTGCCTGCGCAAGTCCAGGGACATGCGCTGGCGCTTGCGAGGGGTAGCTTGGGCAATCTCCTGGTCGTCGTTGGCGTGCACGGGCATCACTCGTTGGCGGATGCAGGACTGTTCAGGTGCCAAAGTAGGCAGCGTTCATTATTTAGAGTGCAGTGTTCAATGTGAAAAACTCTTTGTCCAATCGCGAGTCATGGTTTTTTCAATGTCGCAGTGTCGTTCGGACCTTGTTGTTCAAAAGCGGCTGTTCAACGGGTGCTGTTCAAAGTTATTTGCATTTTTGCCCGGATCAACTTTGTCCAATGCTCACATTGTTCAAAACCGATTGCAGCAATGTCGATTAAGAAATGTTCAAAACATGTGTGTTCAATACCAAAGTCCACTCGTTCAATCTTTCCGCACAAGTGTTCCATCACCATTGCCGAACACTGTACAAAATCGTGCTTTGCAGTCATGCTCACAGTCGGTGAACAAAACGGAGCGGGAGACACGACTATGCGCAACCGCTTTTGTTGTTCTTGTTGGTGTCCAGCTGAGCAGTTCGTTCGGTGCTCAATACAAGTGACAATTATATTATATTCAATCAGTTGCATCACACTATACAAGTGCAGGAGGAGCAAGAAGGACTTGTGGCACACAGGCGAACGGACTTGCGACCTTTGTTTTTTTTTTTTCTCAGAAATGATTTTGAACAAGGCGATTTTGTTGGATGAAGCGTCGTTGCCGCCGGTACAGAGCATGAATGCCGCTCTTGACGCTTAGAAAGACAACTCCACCCTAAGAAATGCACCAAGCACAGTAGAAGATTAGAACAAACAATCCCTTGCGCGCGTTCTTTCTCTCCTTTCTCGTTTTCTCCCTCGTGTCATTCTTACCAACAGACTTCGGGTCAGGTTATTGGAAGAGACGAATCGGAATACAGTTCGGCCGAGAATGCCTGAAATTGCTGGCAGCAACATGGCGCCGACGAACGTGCGACTCAACGACGCTGCTTCAAACGCAGTGTCCATCATTTCCTCGAGTTCTGCAGCTTCGGCCTCGTCAAAGTCAGCAGCGATAATAGCATCAGGGTCCTCGACGTGAGGGTCTTCGACCATCGCCTGCAGGTTTGGAGGAACAGGCGCATCCACAGTGCTGTCTTCGTGGGGAATCACAACACCCTGGCCACTCGTGCTCGGAGTGTCCCAGCTGTCGTCAGTGATAATAGGAGAAAAGGGGCCAGCTTCCGTGTGGTCTGTGGATGGCTCTGTGTGCACGAATGATGCGCCCGAGCTGCTTGCTGCACCCGAGACACTGCTCGGTGTAGTGCTCGTCGAATTTGGTGGAGACGGTCGCTGTTGTGTGGCGGGCTGTTGAGGCGGAGGCCGACGATTGCCGACAGCTGCTGCTGCTGCTGCTGCTGGCGGTACTGCCGGTGGAGCGTTTCGACGACGCGCCTGAGCAGCACCACCACCACGACGCGCCACCACTGGAGCAGGAACTTCCACAGCATTCCCGTGCGTGTGTTCGTGGTGATGATGCGTATGCGTGTGCAAGTGCGACTGAGCCTGCGTTGCCATCAGACTGACCGGAATGAGCGGAATGAAACTGCACAGGTAGCGCGTCTTGAGCTTGGAGAGAAAGTCAATGCCCTCGTCAAAGCCCATCATCAAGCACACTGAGAACGCGCCATACGCCAGTGACGACACGTAGATTGCGCCCGTGCAAATGCCAAGCGCGGCGAACGGGCTGACGGCGCCAATGAACTGGTCGACCGTCTCGAGCACGAGCATGACGGTGCCTTCCTCGGGCTGGGTGACATTGTACGGCGTCAGACACTGCGGGCATCGCAATGGCGCTCCTTCGGCGACCTTCAAGTCCACCCAGCGGCGGATGCACGCCTGGTGCACCCACTGCGTCGCCCCGCTGCACTTGCACGGGCGGACCCAGTGGCTGATGTCCTCGTCCTCGTCCTCGTCCTCGTCGTCGTGACGATAGTGATGTGAGGATGATGATGATGAAGCGTCCTGTGTGTCTTGGGCAGTGGCGGAGCGCGTTGCCGTCGTTGGTGGCAGCACGGCTTGACGCTCGCCTTGTCCAGCGCTACTACGACTCGTGCTGCGCTGCCTGGTGATGCGTTGATCATTGTCATCGTCGTCGTCGTCGCTGTCGGTTTCAAGGCAGACCCAGCAGACGCGCGGTTGGCGACCGTCCACGCGCACGACCAATGTTTCAGCCATGTTCGATTCTGTCTTGGTTGTCTTTTGTCTACGTTGTATTGGTCTTTGGTTTTGACTCGATTCAATACGAAAATAAGACTAAAACAACAAAAACCAAATCAGCAAAATGGAATTGAGCTGAACTGAACAGCAGAAAGCAGCATTCAGCAGGGTCAAAGAACCGAAAAGCCCAAGTCCAGCAATAGAAGCTCAGACGGACAAACACAATGCTTCGCTCTCCTTTCGAACTGACAACAAAAGCTCGCGCGTAATTTTGACTTTTTCGCTCAGACATCTCAGAAATCTCAGAACGCAGTCTTCAACTTGCACTTCTTCCCAAATCTCACTTCGTTCTCTCCATCCTATCCATCCTCCCTCTCTCTCCCCCTCTCTCCCTCTCTCTTTCATTTCAATTGCACAACGATGGCCGCACGAGCAGCGTCCGCACGCACATCGGAGGACTCGTCGCGCAGCCGCGACTTTCTGGCGTCTGGCTCCTCGCAGCCGAGCGTACGTCCGTCCATTGACAGCGGCAGCACCAGCACCAGCACCAGCAGCGGCGGCGCCGGTGGTCGTGGCTCTGTTGCAGAGCCTGCCATGTCCGAAAGCGACCTGCGCCTGGAACGTCGCAGCAAGCGCGGCCTCCTGAAAATGTACTACGGTGTTGAAGAAGGCGGCGATGCCAGCGGAGGAGCGAATGCTGCAGCTGCCCCAGACACCCGCTCAGCGCCCGCCGCCGGCAGCAGCAGCAGCAGCACAGGCAACGGCAGCGCATCCGGTGCTGTGCGATCGGGCGCCGGAGCTGGAGCTGGAGCTGGAGCTGCTGCTTCTGCTTCTGCAAGTGCCGAGCCCCAGCGACCGCCGCGCCGCACAGCCCGTCCCGACCGCCCCGACCCTGCTGCCAATGGTGCTGGTGCTGTTGGTGCTGGTGCTGGTGCTGGTGCTGGTGCTGTGCCTCCGCCGCTGTCGTCTGCGCTGCATCCGCGCGAACCGCTCAACATTGACGGCGACTCGTTCGATCCAAAGGAGTACTTTCACAAGATTCTGCAGGAGCAGTCGCTGCCGCAGCTCATGAACCGCGACACGGCCATGATCAAAGGTAAAAAAAATGCCAACACGACAAGTTTTCATGCTGACGTTGTCGTTGTTGAGTCGAAACGACGAAACGAAAGGAAAGGAAACGAAGGGAAAAAAAAAAAAAAAAAAAAAAAAAAAAAAAAAAAAAGCCCATTCAATGGAAACTCTATTGAAAAAAAAATCAAGAAAAAAAATCTTTGAATTTTGGTCTTTTTTTTCAATCCAAGATCTTGATTTTTTTTTTTAATTGATTTTGATTTTGATTTTGATTTTTCTGTTTTTCTGTTTCAAAACCTCACTTTTTGATTTTTCTGTTTTTTCACTTTTGTTTGTTTCTGTTTTTCAATCCTTTTTCAAAAAAACAAAACACAGAACTCCAAACACTCGATACCGACATGCAGACACTCGTGTACGAGAATTACAACAAGTTTATCAGCGCGACCGACACAATCCGCGAAATGAAGTCCAAGGTGGAGTCGATGGAGGACGAAATGGCCAAGCTCGCTCAGAATATGAGCAGCATCACAACGGCCAGCGCGGAAATCCACGGCTCGCTCGGCAAGAAGCACGAGCAAATCGCCAAGCTCACCAACGTGCACTTGCTCCTGAAAAAGCTGCAATTCCTGTTTGAGCTGCCCGCGCGCCTGAAAAAGTGCATGGAATTGAATGCCTACGGCCCAGCAGTGCAGTACTATGTGAAGGCGTCCGGTGTGCTTGAGCAGTACAAGGAAATGCCTTCCTTCCGCGGCATCCACGCCGATTGCCAAGCCATCATGACGAACGTGGCCACCAAGCTCCACCAGCGCCTCAACGACAAGCACACCACCCCTTCCTTGGCCATCGAGACGATCGAGCTGCTGCTCGACCTCGGCGAGCCCACGGGGGATCTTTGCGATCTGTACATTGCCAAATCGCGCGAGGCTTTGAACGCCGACCTCGCGCGTATCGCAAGCCACGTGCCCCCACCGCCCCCAGCAGCAGCAGCCCCGGTGCAACCTTCACAACAGAAAGGGGCATCCACCACCGCCACCGCTGCCGCCGCCACCGCCGCACCAGTCGCGTCGCCTCCCCCTCCGTCCACCAGCGCATTGCCCATCCCCAGCCCGTCGTGGTCGGCAGAATTCGAAAGCGCGACGTTTGTGGAAACCCTGGTCGTGCCATTTGTTCGCACCCTCTCTGAAGCCATTGCCAACTTTCGCACGCTCTTTCTCTCGTCAGACCAAAACCGCCGGCGAAAGGCCATCCCGCAGGAACGCGAGGTGCTTCATCGCAAGCTGAACGAGCACTCCACGGATATCTTCCGCCAATTCATCGAGCTGGTCGAGCGTCGCTTGGGCTTTGAGGTCACCGCGTCGAACGGTGTCCTTCTTGTGCAGGCGCTGGACAAGATTTTTGCCGAGCTGATGCGTCTGGAGCGCTCCTTCTCGGAGCTGCATCCGCGCAAGATTGCGGCTGCCATTGTTCGCAAGACCATCAGCGCACGCGTGGCACACTGCAACCGCACGCTCCAGGGCTTCCTCTCGTCCTCGCTCGCCTCGCTGGCCACGGCCGTCGCGGATGCGGCTGGGCGCAAGGCTGCTGCTGCCGCCGCGGCAGTCGCTGCACCCACCCTTGCTGCCCCGACACCAACGGCAGTCTCCGAGAGCACCAGCGCCAACAGCGTGCCTGACGCTGTCTCGTCGAACACTGCATCCTCTGCTCCTTCTCCGACACCGGCCTCCCCAACGCCTGCCATCTTGACTGCGGCGCACTTGGAACTGCGCAACGGCCTGCTGGAGCGCCTCAAGCTGACCATGATTGAGCTCCAGGCATACACTGTGTCTGACTTTGCCGCGACACTCGAAAACTTCCGCAGCGAGTTTGAGACCAAGTCCGTGCGCTGGGAAATCATCTTCAACTTTTTCGACTCGCTCTGCGTCACGATTGCTGACATTGTCAAGCAGTTCTCCGCCACGGCTCATCTCGGCAACGCTCCTGCGTCTGGCGCGCCTGGCACAGGCTCCTCGGTGCCCCATCAAGCCATTCTGGTGCTCTGCCGTCTGTGCATTGACTTGGAGGCCAGTGGCGTGGGTACGGTCGTTCGCATTGCCGACGAGCTCTTCCCCATGAGCAGCGCCAACCAGAAGCGGACGATTCTGCCGCTCGACGAGATGCACAAGCAGCTCCGTACCAGCTCGCAGCAGCTCATTGCGGCGTATGTGGAAGCCCAGGGCCTGTTGCTCTCGCAGATGATTCGCAAGAGCGTTGAAACGCGTGACTGGCTGTCCACACCCGAGCCGCGCAACGTGCGCCCCGTGATGAAGCGCGTCGTTGAAGATTTGACGGCCCTGGATATCGAAGTGGGCCAGCTGTTTGAAGAGGAGCGTGCGCGCAGCTCAGAGTCGAGCCGCAAGGCTCACAGCACCACTGGCCGCTCCATGGTCAGTGGAAGCGCAGCGAGCGGCCCAGACCGGCGCTTTGTTTCCCCGACGTCGTTTGAAAACTCGCTCATGAGCAACATTCAAAAGCTCTTCTCTGAGCGGATTGAGATTTTCGGAGCCGTCGATTTCACCAAGAATTCGATTGTCACTGGCATTTTCAAAATTACCCTCAAGGCAAGGTTTTTTTTTAAAAAAAAAAGTGCTTTGTGCTCTTTGCATAGAGGAGAGGGAACCCGCGCTTGTGTTTTTGCAACTCGTTGCTCAGACAGGAATTTGATTTTTTGTTTTTCGGTGCACGACAGACTTTCTTTGAGAGCGCCCGTTTGCGCACCTTTAACAAGTTCGGGTTGCAGCAAATTCAGGTCGATACTCATTATCTTCGGCTGAACCTGTGGCATCTGATCACTGACGAAAAGTATGTATCGTTTCGAAATTGCGAATGTCTTGGCGTGTGTTTTTCACTGACACCCTGCGGTCTGATTTTTTTCTGTACTTGTCCTCCTTCAGTTTGTTGAATTCTCTGCTTGATGAAGTGGTGACCAGTACTAGCACACGATGCGTGGAGGTCGTTTTGATGGAGCACAGTGTACGTGACAATGCTTTTTTTTTCTTTTTCTTTTTTTTTGGGGGGGGGGGTCTTGCCATTTCTGCCTGCTGGTGGGACAGAGGTTTTTTCTTTGTATGATTGCGATGACTCACTGATCTCTGACTGTGACGACCTTGCGCTTTTTCAGGTTCTCGATCTCATCTGCAGGCGATCTTAATCCACGTTCGCTGGTTTTCTTTTCATGAAAATCAACAGCTTTCCCTCTTTGTGTGTATTCTCTTGGTTTTTTTGTAAACAGTACACGATTTAATCTTGCTTGACTCTAGCTCGTATTGTGTTTTTGCACTCGTGATAAAACAGCAAAACGCGCTGAAACACCAAATCGCAACAGAATAAAAGTACATGAACGGAAATGCGTAGCACACTTGTGACGAGCCGGGTCGCGACGCCATTAAAGCTACCCCGACACTGGTTCCCTGGCTAGCACATACAAAAAAAAAAGCAAAAACAAAAGAAATCCCACCCCCGTTGTCTTAGGCTTGGGACTCCGACTGTGACGACGAGGAACCGGGGGTTGCCTGTTGTGGCTGGGAGCCTGATTCGCTCAGTGCAATCAAGAGATCATCCGCAGGCATCGGCGAAGTGGGAGCAGAAGGCCTTTGGAATTGGGGATGAGGCGAAGTGGCGCTGTGCACGTGATAGCCAGTGCCGGCTGACTCTTGCCGACTGAGACTACTTGCGGCCCGACTGGTCTGCCGAGAGTACGCTTGATCTTGATTTTGTTGAGCTGAAGGACTTGCGCGTTGGTCAACAAAATACACGTCACGTCCAGAGCGCTTGGAGCCGAGGTGCAGCTGCCGAGCCTCGTCCAACGCGGCCTCGACATTCTCGTCTGAAACGGTTGCCACCTCACGAGCGCCACGAATCGTTTGACGAGTGGACGCAGACCGTGAGACAGGAGCCGACACCGTGGACACACCTCGACTACGATCGAACGATGGACTGAGCTCCATGTGGTCGTGGTCGTTGAAAGAGTCCGCAAAGGCGCGGTAACCGCTTTCGTGCGAAATGCTGTCATTGTCCCCCTGCGCTGAAGGGGAACGATCCACCGAATGTGTCGAGCCGTACGACATTCCGCGTTGCACCTGCGCGCGTTGCTCGTTCAGTCGGTCGTCGTCAGTCAGGTAATAGTTGTAGGTGGCAGTGTTTTGCAGCGAAGGCTCGTAGCTGCCATGACGGCTGTCCAAGCTGTTGCTTCGAGAAGCACGCATCGGCAGCTGCGTCGAGCCAACGGGCGCAACATCGAACGGCTGCTCGTCTCCGAGCTGCGGCTCGTGAGCCGTGGGATCGTCGGCGTGGTCCAGCAGAGGTGAATACCCGCTGGTGGACTGGCGATGCTCTGGCGCCTCAGAGTCGGCCACGGCCTCGGGTCGGCGAAGGCGACCACCGAACATGGGCTTCATTACCTTCTCGTCAATGCGAATCCACAAGGCGTGGAATCGCGAGCGAGGCTTCTTGCCGGCCGGACTGGCGTGCGCGTGTCGTGCGCTCACATCCGTGTCGAAATCCGGGCGGGTCATGGTCTCGAGAGTGTCGTGCGAAAGGTCGGAATCAAAGCGGTCAATGTTGAGAATCCGGAGAGTGGGCTCGGTGAGACAGCCCAGGACGAGCGTTGTGAACAGGACAATGACCATGGTGGTGGTGACGATGGCGTTGTTGTTGATGCAGGACGTTTCAGTGCACGACGAAGGAAGGGTGAGCGCCAGCGAGAAGGCGATGGCGCCTCGAAGACCCGCAAAGGCCATCATGCACTGCATGTTAAAGGTAATGCGCACTTTGCGGAAGAGATTGAGAATAAAGGAGAGCGGAAAAACGGACAGGATGCGGCTGAAGAGCACAATGACGGTGGTGAGTGCGATAAACCCAATGTGGTACTCGGCGTTTGCCTCGGAGAAGGCGTGCAGGCCGAGATAGAGGTACACGACTGTCTCGGTGATAAAGGTCAGCGTCTTGGAAGTGTGACCAAAGGCCACGCGGGACACTTGACTGAGGTTGTAGAACGTGTAGTGTGCCATCGACAAACCGCAGAAAAAGAGAGCCATCAAACCGCTCAATTCGGCAGCTTCCGCAGAAAGGAAGCTAATGTACGCAATGATGAGCAGAGAGGACGTCTCAAAGTAAGGGTGGTGACGCAAGTCAACCCGCTTCATGCAGAACGCAGCCACCAGCGAGATGGCAACGCCAATGGCGATCGAGCCCACGGAAACCAGCACAAACGTGCCAATGGCCTTGAACACGTTCGCAACCGAGGCATCCTCGGCGCGGAAGTTCAGGAACGAGTGAAACAAGACAATCGACACGGCATCGTTGAGCACAGCCTCGCCAAACACGAGCGAGTAGAGCAGTGGGTCGACGTTCAGGGATCCCAGCACCGACAGCGTGGCGACAGGATCTGTGTGTTAAGGTCAAGCGGATTGATTTGGGTGAGTAAAGAGGGAATGAACGAGAATAAAAACGACTGACTGAGCAAAAACTTGAAAAAATCATCAAGCTCTCGAGAACGTGAAGCATACCAGTGGCAGAAAGCAGCGAGCCAAATACAAGGCTATCCACAGGATTGGTCGAGTTGATGGCGTCGAGGTGCGGGTTTCGGGTAATGCCGTATACGGAAAGACCTGCAAAACAAGAGACGAGCACGCAGAGCAACGTGAGGCTTTTCATCATTGCATCCTTTCCTCCAAACCAATTCTTGTGATCATGATGCTGACGACGCTGATGGTGATAAAGTGTGTGCTGGCTGCTGCATTCGTAGTTTGTTCAAAGTCATCGACCTCGTCGCGTGACGTTTGCGCCCATCATGAGAACATGACCATTTACAGCAGGTATCGGTCTGTCACATTGCATTTTGCGCTAATGACATGATGCACAACGCAACGCAACGGCGTCGCATCAGCACACTGAGCACACACATACATTCTCTCCCTCTCTCTTTCGCTCTCTTCGATCGAAGCAAATCTCTCCTCAGAACGATGAGAGCAGCAGTTGATCCCCTTCAGAATCGCGTCGCTTTCACATCCCATTGTTTCAGTGCTAATCCACACTCCCGTTCGTCTTCCATCCAGCTGAACGGATCACCACCAGAGTGGTTCAACAGTAAAAAAAGTCCCTCACATCGTTATGACTGTCTCAGGCTCAGAAGCAGAAAGGAAAAAGATAAAAAAATAAAATAAAATAAAATAAAATAAAAAACAGGTTTCGCTCATTTGTCGGTTGGTGTTTGCGATGCCCAGCTGCCCTTCCCTTCATCCATCCATCCATCCATCCAGTGGCCAGACACAACAAGAAACCTCCATTCAAAAGGAATCGACGAACGCCTTTTGTTGAAGGAGGAAGGGAGGAGGAGGACGCTGGTGGTTGATCGATGGATTGGATTCACAACGTGCGGCGCGAGTGTGACCGACAACAACAACAACAACAACAACAGGTCGCTTACCGATGACGAGGGTGGAGATCATGGTTCCAAAGACGGCGTACATGAGGATGCTGCCAATGTTGGAGAAAAAGTCGCGGCGCTTGAGCGAGTAGCCCGCGTCAAAGATGATTGGCGGCAGTAAAAAATAGTAGAAAAAGTCAGCGTCGAACGAGGCCTCGCGTCCGAGCGCAAACCGAGCGATCGCGCCAGACGCCATCCCCACAAGCATGGTCGCACCAGACTCGGGCAGGAACCGGATGTTGAAGTGGACGACCAGGAAGGCCACCAGCACGCAAAACAGCAGCAGCGACGCCACCTCCAAGTCGACCAGCGTCTCTTCCTCAGTCATGCTGCAGCGGTGATGCCAAAGTCCAGGCTGATGCTAATGGTGCTGATGATGATGGTGATGATGATGATGATGATGATGATGATAGTATGAGGAGGGTGATAGGAAGGAGTCGTGGTGGGGAGAGAATTTCGCTGTGACGAGTGGAAATCTCGATCGGCTCCTGCTTCTTCACACCACACAACAACGCTATTGAGGACTGACAAACAGGGAAGGAATGGGAAGGCACAAAATAGCAGCATCGACTTGCAAAAAGCTGATCCACAACAAAATCTCTAGCCCGACTTGCACTGTTTCAACCAAGCTTCTAACAAATCCAAAAATCGGGGGTCTCAAAAACAGGGCAAAATCCTCGAAGAGGGGACGTGTGTTGTATGTGCAGTCCACGTCGGACTAAGGAGCAAAAATCCAATTTCTAGTTCACTGGGAGTGGAAGCAAAAATCCGATTTCTAGTTCACTGGGAGTGGAAACTCGGTGGGATAAACAAACACACACACACACACACACACACACACACACACACACACACACACACACACACACAGTTAGCGGTGCACGTGGCAACACTGTGACGTGTGAGATGTCTGGTTGCGACACTGCCGCGAGCCATCCTTGATACTCGCAATGCATCGGACGGTCTCGACAAGCGATACGAGTTCCCGAGGCACTGTACCATGATGGGGACACGTGGGGTGGGTGTATAGAGCTCCTGGAAAGGAAGCGCTATCACAGCGACGAGCGGATTTTCTGTCGATTAAGTACCAACCCGACAATTCGTTTGCAACTTGATCCGATGTTTCATCGGTGTCGTCATCCAGAGAAGAAACTCTCTTGCCGGGTTCGGAAATAAACCAGTCAACGTTTGCTTTCTCCTGACCAAGGACGAAATCCTCGCCATTCAATTTGAACGAGAGCGTAGCAGGCGGCTTCTCGTTCGCAAAGAACGGGATGTAGACGGAAATGCTATTCACCAAGATTTGAATCGGTCGAGGTGAGTCGAGATCAATGCCTGAAAAGGTGAATGTTTCTGGCAGTTTCGAGGCAATTTCAAATTCGGAAGCGGTGGGCTTTTTACGAGTGTAGTACTCGACAAGTTGAGTATGCCTATCAGTCGAGCTTGAAAGGTTGCTGGTGGATGTAACAGGGCTGATGGATGCGGTTGGGGGGACCTGAGTATTTTTATCAGCCGAGCTTGAAAGGTTGCTGGATGTAACCGGGCTGATGGATGCGGTTGGGACCTTGTCGCGCCACACACGGTGCGCGTTCGCACTGTCAAAGATAAGCACGCAAGTTAACAGTTGCCGTCGTGGTCAAGATCCTCCTCACTGGCGTACTTACACTGGAAAGTCCCACATGTCGATGCAGTCAATCCAGAACTTGTAGATGGTTGCATTCAACCACTGATCGAGTGGATCAAGATTTGTGGCCGTTGTGATACGGTACAAAAACCAACTCAGATCACGGTGATTCAAGGCAATATCGAACGGCCGAAGTTTGCGTTCGACAAGACGACGGAACACAAGCTTGACGAGCAAAACATCCGTGGGACTCGAGCTTTGGCTCACAAAGCGGCGCAGCGTCGAAAGTAGGTGGCCCAATTCTTTGTAAATCGGCGGAAGGTGCATATTGAACACGGTGTCGAGATCTGTCATAGGGATATCCACAACGTCGGATGTCGCAACAGTTGTTACTGGAATGACGCTTCCGCCGCTTTGGCTGCTACCGCCAGCGCCCCGACCGCGGTTCGGGTTACCGCCGCCGCCAGCACTCCCACGACTGTCACCACCTTTCTTGGACTGCGACGGCTTCTGCTTCAGGTTGCGGTCAGCATTGCCATTGTCACCACTAGACGGGCGATCGTTCAGTGACAGCTTGGCCATTTCATCCGGAAACAACTGACACTGATCCTTGAAAAGCGAGGCAAGCGAAGCTTGGAATTCTTCGAGGGACATGCCGCTGCGTGTTGGATGGATACAGTAATGGACAAGTCCGGCGCACAGCCAATCTTCGTCCAGCTGCTTGGACCATCCGAGACCCGAATTGTGGAACGAGTCGATGGATGCCTGATGACAGGCACTCTCCTGCATATCTGTGAAACCTTTCGGAACGAGCAGCATTAGCACCGATAGACCAGGGCGGGGCGTTCCACTTCCCAGGTCGTCAAGGTCGATGTCGAATGTCGCAGGCCCTGCCGGAAAAATGGACCACAGGTGAGCTACATTTTCTTTGGAAGCCACATGAACGAGCAGCTACTTACACCATTGAAGGTACATAGTGGATTGGTCCATCCTGTAGTCATTGCCTTGAACATTCACCCCATCGCTGGGCGCAGGGATGAGACGATGAAAGACGCCCTTGGCTTCGAACCCTTGTGACATTGTCGAAGAAAAAGGGGGGGGGGAAATGAATGAATGAATGAATGAAGCTCGCAGTGCCTTGATGACTTCATCAAAAAGCTCTAGCCTGACTTGCACTGTTTGACTGATCAGCCAAGCTTCAACAAATCCAAAAATCAATCTTTTTCATCGGGGGTCTCAAAATCCGTGTGGGAGATGCTGCGATAATCCCTCAGTCATAATTTTTGAAAACCCAAGACCTCTCTACATTCGATGAGCAAGTTCGGAGGCGGCAGTAGTGGCGGTGGCGGCGGCGGCGGCGGCGGCGGTGCTGGGAACAACAAGCGAGTGAGCAATCTGCTGTTTTCGAGCGAGACGCCGACCTTCCTGCGCAAGATGCAGGAGCAGTTGACTGCGAGCGATGAGCAGGCCCGGATGGAACGCCTCAAGGCCAAGTATCCCGACCGGATATTCAAGGCAGGGGCGAACGGTGAAGACGACGACGAGGTCGATGACATTGACCTGCCCAACGCCGAGGACCGCCCGACAGTGGTCGTTCTGCGCACAGGAGATCTCACAATGGCACAAGCCGATGTCGCACGGGGCAAGCGACCCGCGTCGGACGCAGATCAGGAGCAGCAGCCCGGCGAGGTTGAGAGCGAGCATGATTCAGGTAACAAAAAAAAAAAGCCTCTCAGAACGCTCAGGCCAGTGTACCTGTGAACATGTCAGTGGGGAAGCTGAAGCCAATGCAAGCATGCATTGGAATTGTTTGTGCGGCGGATTTGGCGGAACTTGTATGCAAGCATGCTCACCCTTCAACGTTGGACCATCTATCTGACACGATTCCAAACATTGCAGAAGACGACAAGCCTGCGGAAGCAGAGCCTGGTAAGATTGCCTTTCGATCACGGAAAAAGCCGCGCGTGGACGATGGCAGTGCGAGCGGTACAGCGTCAAGCAAGTTATCGACAAACAGCTCTACTGCGGCGGCGGCGGCAACCTCCAAGCCAACTGGTGCCAAACTCAAGCAACTACAAAATACAAAGTTGCTTTCGTTTGATGATGAAGATGGATGAGCGGCTGCAGCTTGCCGAATGTTCACCTTGAATGTAACAAAATCGAAACCAATCAATCTGCTTCAACGCGCTTGTCGGCCGATCATTCCAGCTCAATCCGTGTCTTTTTCGAAGGTCGCGCTGTTGATTTGGATTCTATCGATACGATCGAGCATTCCTCGCTGTCATCTTCGGCACTCGTTGCCGGGCGCTTCTCGATGGTGACAATGCCGCGCTTTTTCTTGACGCCAGCACTCCATCGCACCATGCCCACTTTTTGCATCGTCCATTGTTCGTCTAGTGACCAGAATGTGACAGGTTGTTGCACCAGTTAGCACTGCTATGTCTAGGCTCCAAGCAAACGTGAATCGAGCATCGCCCGGCATGTCCACGTTGATACCAAGGCACAAGATTGGCTACATCGGGGCCTGGATCGCTTGCCGAAGCCCACCTCCGCCAGCGGTCTGCAAAAGGCTACGCGCTCACCCTGTCTTGATTCATGAACTCTGTAACACTTTGAGCAACACAATGAACACTTCATCGCAGACCACAGCAACAAACGCGGGATGCAAGAACACTGTCTAACTCAAAATTTTCACAACACAAAATTGACTCTTTGGCACATTTGTTCAACACTGTAGAACTCGGAAGCACATCCCATCCGCTCAGCTGGAGGCGGCCAATCTCGATTGTTAAACACAGAACGGAGGAGGAGAGGTCCCCGACACATCCGCAATCGTTTACAAATTGCGCGCCCTTGCCCCTTCCGCTCCAGAGCGACCGCACCCAATGCACCCCGCTGTGACTGCCATTGCAACACGCCACAGACCTTCACAACCACAATCGAAAAACAACGGCTTGAGCAGCAGCAGCAGCATCAACAACAACGACAACAACAACAACAACAACAACAACAACAACAACAACAACAACAACAACAACAACAACAACAACAACAACAACAACAGAGGCACTCGAATCAGAAGCTGCAGAGCAAGGTGCAGCATGCATGCCTCCAACGAGTGCAACGCGCTCCATAGATGGTGGAGTTCGTTTGCGGTCAAATAGGACTCCAATGCCGCGTGTTTCATTGACGGGCTTGCTTTGATGTTAACCGCGACTGGACAAATGCGTCCGTTGCTTTTTGTTTTTGAACTTTTTCTTTTTTTTTTTGTAAGATCACTTTACAAATGCGTCCGTTGCTTTTTGTTTTTGAACTTTTTCTTTTTTTTTTTGTAAGATCACTTTTGTTTGGTTTCGCTTGGTCTTCCAGGTTTCCTTCTCACGCAGCTCTCCGCGCGCCTTCCGCTCGTGCAAGAGTGCAACAGTGGGTGCGCGCGGGGCTACCCACGTCACATACATGGCACTCTGGGCTAGCCAGCAAAAACCAATGCGCTTTGTATTTTTTATTATTTTTTTTTTATTTTTGAGGTTTTTTTTTTTGTTGTTGTTGTTGTTGTGGTTGTTGCTGTTTTTTGCTGTTGTTTTGTTGGCCGCCCTACGACTTTGCACGGGCGCTGTGCGTGCTGACAAGCTGGGCGAGTGGGTATGCGTGCTCTATTGAGGTGCATCTCACAGAGAGCGAGCCGAGCAGCGAAAAGCGCAAACAGCAGAAAGACAATTTTAACTTTTTTTTTTGTTTTCTCTATCACTTCTCTTTTTATTCTATTTTTTTTTTTTTTTGTAAGTTTCGCTTCCCTTCTTTTTCCGGAACCCAGGCGTCCTCTCTCTCTCTCTCTCCCTCTCTCTCTCCCCTCTCTCTCCCTCGGCTGCGCACAAAGTGACATGCTCGTTGCGCTGTTGTTCCCCTCGCCCCCCCCCCTTTCAAACCCCGGCTCCTGTTCAGCTTCCTCGTTCAAAATCAAAGATCAAGCGCTTCCGATGCTGCCACGCCCCTGCTTCCGTTCGCGACCGGTCGCTTCTGATTGGGTCGCCTTCCATTTCACTCACTCACTCACTCTCACTCTCTCTCTCTCTCTCCCTATCTCTCTATCTGTCCATTGACTCCCCAAGTCTCGATTTGCTGGGCTCTTTGCTCGGTCAGCATGGTTCGCGCCTTGTCCTTCTTCCGACCCTTTCCTCACACACACTCTCTCACTCTCTCTCTCACTCTCACTCACTCTCTCTCCCCCCCCCTCGCTCGCCCTCCCTTCAACAAGCTCAACCCAGGTTTGTGTCCTTCAAAGTCCTCCTCTCCCCCCCCCCTCTCCTTGCGTTTTGTTTTGTGTTTTTGTTTTGTTTTTTTGTTCGTTTTGTTGTTGTGGGGTTTTTTTGGTTTTGTTTTGTTTTGTTTTGAGTTTTTGCTTTCTCACCTCTCTCTCTCTCCCCGCTTCTCGACTCCTCCAGACAACGCTCTGCCATGACGCGCTGGCCACTCGTTGCGCTGGTGCTTTGCGCTGCATTCATGCTGCCTTACGTCGCACACGCGGACGACCGCCCCAACGGATGCGATGTCTGCTCGTGCGGCGGTTCCAAGCCATACCGCTACGTCAACTCTTGTTGGACCAACCTCACCGCCGTCCCAATCTTCCCAGACGACATTCAAACCATGTATGAAAATCCAGCAGCTGCTTACCCATTGATGATGGCTCCTGTCATTTCTGACCCTTTCCCACCATTATTTTGGTTGCTCTCTTACAGCACATTCTATTCTATGAGCGTCACTTCCATTCCCGATTTTGCGTTCAACTTGCCAAACTTGACTCGGCTGTTCGTTGCATTTATTTCAGGCTTGATTGAAGTTGCTGTTCGAGTCTCATTGTTCTTGCACGAGGGTTTGTGTATTCACTTGCTGCATGTGGCATCGCTTGTGCTTTTGTTCAAAGGGATTGGACCTCTGGCGTGACAATCATTACCAACAACACGTTTGCTGGCCTTCCCAGTCTGACCGCTCTGTAAGTGTTTGAAGACAAACTGGAGGCTTGTTTTGCATTTGAAACTCACATCTCGCCACATTGTCAGCTTGCTCGGAAACAATCGACAGATCACCAGCATTTCCGTTGGCGCATTTCAAGCAGTGCCGTTGCTCACCGTTTTGTATGTTTGACACGACATGCGGCCGAGTGCCCCTGTAGGATGGTTTTGCCTAATTTTTACATTGTTGCTCTAGAGAACTCTACAATAATGACGCCGTCACCAATTACGTTCCTGCACTCTTCAGTGGCTTGACAAAGCTTACCAACCTGTGAGCGCAGCAATCTTCTTGAAAAATGAACGAACAAATGGAGAGGAATTTCTAACTCTGCTCCAATTGGGTTGGAATAGGAACGTCGGAAACACGAAAATGCTTCTGAGCACTCTCCCGCTCGACCAGCTCCCCGAGTTGGTCTCTCTGTATGTTGAACGCATAAAGCATCGTGCCTTTCTCCAGCCACCTTGCTTTGAGTTGTCAGGACTGACTGGTCTGCCCACCTCCAGCGACATTGGCCGCAATCCAGGAATTGTCAGCATCCCTGACTTTGCATTCGCCTCCAATCCCCAACTCAGCAGCCTGTGAGCCATTTTTTTGTTCTTTCTTCTTGCTTGATGTCCTTTCGGGCGTTTACTGACCTTGTGCTGACTCCAGCATTCTGGGCTCCACGAGCATCACAAGCATCTCTGCCAACGCATTTACTGGAACTCAGATTGGCAACTTGTGAGTCAGAGGGGGGGACTTTTCATCCTCTTCGTTGCATTGAGTCATGCGAACTGAGTGCCATCGTGCCTTTTTGTTTTGTTTTGTTTGATTGATTGTTTGTTTCTTTCGTTTATTTGTTTTGTTTTGGTCGGCTTCAGGTGGCTCAACAGTTGTGCAATCACAAGTATCGCCGCGAATGCATTCAGTGGTCTCATGCTGTACTCAGTGTCAGTCACACGTTCGTGCAACAAACATCGCACTCGGCAAAACCTGACTTTGTGTTGCGCTCAAGCAGGTACATCTCCTCCAACCCGCTACTCACGCTGCCTCCAGGGCTCTTTGCCGGACAAACGCGACCACAGTTTTATGCGAATCTCGGCTCGTTTCCTTCCGTTCCTCCCAGCACCTATGGTAGTGCGAGTAACCCAACCCGTAAGGCCAGGACGACCGCATCCGATAACATGCATTGTCTGCTCTATACCCACCGTTCATTCGCTTTGATGTGTATCTTGCTTGGTTGTGTTTTGTTGCTCAGCTTGCAACGCGTCCTGCGCCACCTGCTATGGCGCCGGTGCAAATGCGTGTTGCGGGCTGAACTGCCTCAGTTGCTCCTCTACCAACCCGTGCCTGGCCTGCTACGATGGGTATGCCAAGTTTGATGGATTTTGCGCTCCGACTGCTGAGATGAACGCCAGCATCTCGATTCAAGCTGCAATCGCGTCTGGTGCGTCTGGTGCTTCAGTGGCATCGACTGCCTCCGCTTCTATGGCGTCTGCAGCATCGATTGCATCCGCGTTTGCCGCAACCGCTGCCTCGGCGGCCTCCGTCTCTGGTGCATCTGTCGCGTCCACCGTCTCCGCTTCGGTTGCCTCCGAAGCATCTGCCTCGGCGTCTGCTGCCGCTTCCCTTGCCATGATGGCTGCTGCAAACGCGAGCAGCGATCACTCGACTCCAATTGCCGGAGCTGTCGGTGGCGGTATTGCTCTGCTCGCCTTGGTTGCTGCCGCCGTGTACATTGCCCGTCGTCGCACGCCCCAGCCTCCACCGCTGCCTCGCCGCAACCCGGAGATTTTCGGCAATTTCGCGGCAGAAGAATCTAAAAAGCCAGCCAGCTCGACCTCGTCGCCTATCTCGGAACATCACGAGTACCAGGCCTTTGCCAACCCCGTGTACGAGCAGATCGAGACCATTCCTGCCTCGGAACTGCCCCAGCACACCTCTGCTGTCAATATGAACGATGCGACGTTTGCCGTGACGTACACGGATGCTGTTGTGCATGCCAGTTCCTTGTCACCCGTTGGCACTGCGTCCACCGCCACAACGTACGCGAGCATTACCACGACTGTCAACCCCGATGGTGTTGCTGATGGCCGTTGAACGATCAATGTGTCGATAGATGTGGATGCTTTTTGCTCTTGCTGCTTTGTTTGGTTGTGTATGGTGTTGTAAAGGTTGCTTGTTCTCGGACGCGAGCCAGTGGGTCGCGATTCTCATTGATTGGGTCGCAAGCCGTTAAGTTAGCTCCTTGTTTGCTTCTTTGTTCTCCAATACAGTACCTGAGATATCAACAGCGAGTGAAAAAGCAAAGCAACGCCGAACTTTGACGAGCAGCTCCATTCCGCCACGCTGTGCCGTGCACCCCTCGACGCAGGTGATACTTTGCTTCTCTCCTCAGTTCGACTGTACACTGACTGGACTAGTACTGTAGATCGATTGCAAGTGGCTTGTTCAAAAAAATTGCGCTTTTACAATCGATCCAGTAAGTTCAAACGGTATCTACAAGTTGCTGGAGTCGACCAAGTGCCAGCACTGTCAAGATCTGCTCGAAAGAGCAGTCTAGTGCCAGAGTAGTGCGAAGCGAACAGCGGCCTCATGAATGAAATGAAGCGTGGAGGAGAAGAACTGAACTGAGCATAGCGAAAGAGCAACGAATGAACAAGTTCGAAATCCAATCGAGAATTTCGTGCTTATTTAGGACTTCTGAGAAATTCTCAGCAATTCAGCCCAGTTTTTTTTTTTTTTTTTTTTCCTTGTTTCTCAACGTAACAACTGATCCATGACGTCGTCGTTCGAGCAAGTGGAGGCGTTCACGCTGCTGGACGTCGGTGTGACGCGGTACCGGTCGAACGCGTCGGGCCTGACAGTGTGCCTTGCCGAGACGCGAGGGCCGCTGGTGGGAGCGTACTTGGCGCTGTCGACGGAGGCGCACGATGACGACGGCCTGCCGCACACGCTCGAGCACCTCGTCTTTATGGGCTCCGAGGACTACCCGTACAAGGGCGTTCTCGATCTGATTGCCAACCGCTCGCTTGCCCAGGGCACGAACGCGTGGACGGCGACCGACCACACTTGCTACACGCTGACCACGGCGGGCGAGGAAGGGATGCTCGCCGCGCTGCCCGTCTACCTCGACCATGTGCTCTACCCGACGCTGACAGACACGGCGTACCAGACAGAGGTCCACCACATCACTGGCGCCGGCGAGGACGCGGGTGTCGTCTACTGCGAGATGCAGGCCATTGAAAACACGAGCGACTCGCGAACCTACCGCGCTCTCGTCGAGCACCTCTATCCAGGACGCAGCGGGTACAAGAGCGAGACCGGAGGCCGCTTGGGCAACCTGCGCGACTCTTGCTCGCACGAGAAGGTCTGCCAGTACCATCGCGATTACTACCGCCCAGACAATCTCTGCATCATCATTGCCGGCAAGATCGACCCCGCCAAGCTGTTCGAGGCCATTGCTCCGTTCGATGCCAAGGTCGTTTCCAAGGTATGGATGAACAAGAACAACAAAAAAAGCAGTTGTGTTGGTTGTTCGGCCCTTTTTTGGGTGCAGGTTTGTGAAACAACTCAGTTTTTCTTTTCTCTCTCTCTCTCTCCGCCCCCCCTTCCCTCTCCTTCTCGCGCTCTCTAATCTCTCGTTACTCAGAAACACGTCAAGCAGGCGCGCCCGTGGTCGACCCCCTCGGAGGCACTGACAACTCCCCATCAAGTCGTCCGCATCCAGTTCCCGACGGAAGACGAAAGCACGGGCATTGCGATGGCGGGCTGGCGAGGCCCAAAGTGGAGCTCCTTCCTCGAGCTCCAGGCCTTGGAGACGCTTTGGACGTATCTGACCGACACACCGGTGGCAGTCCTCCAGCGCGAGCTTGTGGAAATTGACGATCCGTATTGCAGCGACCTGTCCTTCCGCGTCGAACGCTACAGCGATACGGCGCACCACTTGACGCTGGAAAGCGTCCCGACCGAGAAACTCGGTGAAATTGATGCCAAGCTTGGTAGCGTCCTTCGCCGTGTTGCGTCGGGCGAGATTACCATTGACATGGAGCGCATGGCGAGCGTCATCCATCAGCTCGAGCTTCAGCTTCTCTCGCAGGCAGACGACGACCCGCACCAGCTCTTTGTTGGCCTCATCATTGAGGACTTTTGCTACGGCAACACGAATGGCAAGCAGCTCCAAGAGCGCTTGGCCACGCTCAGCCATCTCAAGACGCTTTCGACCAAACCTGCCAGCTTTTGGTCCGACCTCGTGCGCACCGCCTTGGTGGAGTCGCCGCTGGTGCTCATCCTTGGTGAACCGAGCGCGCCGCTCGGCGAGCAGATGCTGGCGGACGAAAACAAGCGCCTCGAGGAGCAACGCGCACGCTTTGGCGAGCAAGGGTTGGTCCAACTCGGCGAGCAGCTCGCCCAGGCCTCCAAGCGCAACAGCGTCGAGACCCCGGACGCAGTCCTCGCCAAGATCTCTGTGCCTGGTGTTGAGCGAATCCCCTTCCACGAGCTGAAGACCGAGATTGCGGGTGCCAACCAGCAGCCTCACAACCTGCCCTTTGCGTTCAAGACCGAGCATGTGAACAGCTCCTTTGTCGTCCTGACTGCCACGCTCGACACGACAAGCGTCCCTGCCAACTTGCGCCCCTACCTCTCGCTCTACCTCAACCTGTTCTTTGAGAGCGGTGTGACGCGCCCAGATGGCGCCGTCTCACACGAGCAGGTCATTGCCGGTCTCGCCGAAGACACGCTGGAACACCACGCTTCGCTTGGTCTTGGAGGTCGCCTGTTTATGTGCGGCGCGTTTGCGCAACACGTCGTGCTCTCCATCAAGGCTGAACGAAGCAAGTACCAACGCGCAGTCAACTGGCTGCGTGAGCTGCTTTTCAGCATTCGCTTCACCGAAGAGCGCGTGAAGGTGACTGCCATCAACATGCTGAACGAGGTGGCCGACCTCAAGCGTGACGGCATGAGCACGGTGCGCACGCTGCTGAACGAGCTGCTCATCCCGACCCACAACGTCGCCAAGAGCAACCACACTGTGAGCAACGTCGTTCGGCAGCAGCAGTTTGTTCGCGGCCTGCTCGAATCGATTGGAGTCAATCAAGACGAGGCGGACGAGGACGACGAAGAAGGAGCAGAAGACGGTGGTGAGGAAGGTCACGATGGCGAGGGTCACGATGGCGAGGGTCACAATGGCGGCGCACACAATGATGCAGCTGTCGAAAACCAAGTCCCGTCCAAGTCGCCAGAAGAGGTGGCAGCGGCCTTCAAGCAGGTGTTTGACGCCCTCTATGCACTCCGCGATGTGCTGGTTGGCCAAAGCGTTGGTTTCCTGGTTGACGTTGCTGGTTCGCTTCCGGCGCCGGACATGCTTGCCCCGTGGCACGAGGTTGGCTTTGTTGCCGACCATCAGAAGGCCGTGAGTCGCCAGCAAACCGCAGCCAGCGAGCAAGGCGTTGTTGTCCACTGGAGCGGCGATGTGGTCGTCAAGCCGACCGACCGTGGCCAAGCTGCCATTGTCGGCGTGTCGTCTGTCGAGTCTGCGTTCTTGATGCAAACCTGCCCGAGCATTGCCTCTTGGACGGATCCCGACTTGCCTGCTCTGCTTGTTGCGACCGAGTACTTGACTGCCCTGGAGGTAGTGTCGCTGGTTTTGGATGAAGGTTCCGATGGAGAGACCGTGGACTTTGATTTGGTGGAAGAAGGCTCACCACCCTTTGGGTTTGTTGTTTGTTTTTGTGTTTTTCGTTGTAGGGACCGCTTTGGCGCAATATTCGAGGCCTCGGTCTGTCGTACTCGTACGGCATCTCCATGCTGCCGGAAGTCGGCTTGCTCACCTTCAGGTTGTACCGCGCTACCAATGTCGCCAAGGCGTATCGTGTGGCGCGCGCCATTGTCACGGCATACGCAAACGGCAGCGCCTCTGCTGGAGGCAACGAGGAGGATTTGCCCGAGATTTCTGGCATCATTGAACCGCTGCGTTTCGAGGCTGCCATCGCCGGCGCCCTGTATGGCATCATCGAAGACGAGAAGAGTGTGTTTGCAGCCTCCGCGCAGTCCTTGCTGAACGTCTTCCGTCGCACTTCTGCCGAGTTCTCGCGCGACCTGATGCGCCAAGTCAAGCAAGTGACCATTGCGGATGTTCAACGCGTGCTCAAGACCCACGTCTCCCGCCTCTTTGACACGCAGACTGCCAACACGGCCATTTGCTGCAATCCCAACAAGCTCAACGAGACCCGCGACGGCCTTGCTGCCGTTGGCGTGCAGCTGCGTGTTCTTGAGTCGCTCAACGACGCTGTTCAAGCGTAAACGCTGCTTGTTGTACTTTTGTTCTAGTTTTCAACCAAGGCAGTTTTTTTGCGCACAACCGACAAGAGAATAGCATCCATGTTAAAGTAGGGAGCATGCATCAATGAATCGCTTAATCTACAGAAAAAAAACCCATCAAACAAGAACAGCACACCAGGAAAACGGGGCACGAAGCAACGTGCTCAAACATTAGCAATCGAATCAACAGATATCCAACGGTAAAAATAAAATTAACAGGGCACAACTAGCTGGCATACTATAGGCGTAAGGAAGAAACCAATACCCCCCCCTACTTAAAGATGATTGCCATCGGAACGCGCCTCGCGAGCAGCAATAAAGTCACTTAGACGAATGGCCGACACAATTTTGGTCTCGCCTTCAGCGGTACCAATGTGCCGGAGCCGCACTTCCTCGACCGTGCCGTCGCGAAGTGCGTGCGAATAAAAGCAGCTCGTAGAGAAGGGGCAAGTGCCTTCCCCGAAATTAAAGTACTTGCAGGGAATCGCGCGCAGTCGGTCCCGGTATCCATGGATGAGTCGGCGCTTGTCCTCATCCGACGATAAAAAGACACTGCTCGGGGTGACAAAGTGCGATGGAACGCGGCATATCGGGCAAGCACGGATGACAGAGCCGCTCATAGTGCTGCCTCGCCAGTTCCGGATGCAGGTCAAACAGAATGGGTGCGTGCATCCCGGAAGGATGCCAAACTTGCGCTCGGCGGGATCGGGTTTGGACAAGACCACCTCCAGGCAAATGCTGCACTCGACATCGCGGCTCGCTTCCAACTTCTCCTGGTACTCGGGACCCAGCAGCACCAGCTCGCTGCGTTCGGTCTGCGCGTCGCTGGGGCCTTTGGGCGGTGTGCGGGTGGGCATTGCCAAGTCCACATGCTCGGAGTGAGGCTGAAACCCACCGCCGTCCTTCTTGAGCATGTCAGCCTGGGCCTGCTCGTCACTGACCGCGGCGGCTTGAGAGTACGAAACGGGCATCGCGGCCTGCATCATGTAAGGATTCGGATGCATCATGACCATGTGCGCACCGTTCTGCACAACATGGCCAAAGTTCGCAGCGCCAGGGATGGCAGGTTGCGGAATCAGGGGCACACCGTCAGAGCCGACATACACGCACTGGCCGTTGTGATCAAACACAAACTGGCCGTACATGTCGAAGAACCGCTGCTGCTGCTGCTGCTGCTGCACGGGAGGGGGCATGAAACCCGGCATCGGGGGATAGAATGGGTTCACAAGACCACCTTGGAGATACTGCCCGGAACTAGGCGAAGATTCGGAGTGGTAGTGACTGCTGATGTCGACATCGTTGCCATCTTCATTGTCATCTGCGTCTCCACCGTCATCGTGATGGGCGCTGTCTCCGCGATTTCTGACAGGAAAGGCAGTCATGGTGCTTTGGTGACTGAATCCCGCAACTGCAGGCGCGCTGCTTGCATAGGACTGACGGTCGACAATGTGCAGGCCATTCATGCCGGCAGCCAATTGTGTGCCATCGTCCCCGCTCTCTGCAGTAGACGCGTTCCCATTGCGCATGTAGATATGCGGCCGAGGGATTTGTGTGTGTGCTGGACCTGCAGCAGCATCAGCATCAGCAGCATCGGCAGCAGCAGCATCAGCATCAGCAGAGTCGAGCGGACGTTGTGGAGACGACGACGACGACCTCGCCGCAGCAGGCTGGGCGCTGACCTCGGCGACTGGCTGGCTCGCGGCCGGGTGCACAGAGCTCGAAGCCGAGTTTGCAGCATGTGCAGCATGAGCTGAGTGCGCCTGTGATGACGAGCTGCTGCCGGACGACGACGGGTGCTCCGACACATGTGTGCTCAGATTGTTGGCACGCTTTCCTGGCTTGACGTGATTAAAGTGGCAGCGAGTGCCATACGTGCAGTTGCCTTGCACATAGAACTTGCAAATCTATGAGGTGAGATTGAAAGGAGCAAATGTGGGGGGTGGGGACAATGCAACGGTCAGCATGGCACAGCCAAGATAGAGCCGAACAAAGGCTCAGTATGCACATCAAAAACACCCCCCCCTTACCGTGGATGGACGGGCAGCGCTCTTGTCATGCGAGAACTGGCACTTGGTGTTGAATGAGCAGTTGCCCTGCATAAAGTAATGGCACAGCACCGACGACTTTGGAAGCAAAGAAGCCATTTTGCGACCAAACCAAAACGTACAAAAGAGGACTGAACGAAAGTTTTGATCAAAAAGAGTAGCCGTAGCTAAGCCCAAGCATCTTACGGTAAATTGCTCAATATCTCTGCATAGCGTGTATTCATACATGAATGTGTCAGTTGACTTGCTCAGAGAGTGGCAAGCTGATCCAGAAATCGGCTCGCTTGCTCTCAAATTCGCGTCGCGCGTACAGTATTTCTTCTTTTCAAACCAATCCCCCCTCCCCGACCCCTCCCCCAACCCTCCCCATCTTTTCATTCTGAACTCACTCGCTTTTTGCATCTCAATCTCGCGAGCTCATAACTTGTACGAAATCGGATTCTTGTTCTATCTTTTTTTCTTTTGTAAGCTTTTTTTTTTTCCTACCTTTTTTTTTTTTTCTCTTTTTTTTTTTTCTTTTTTTTCCTTTGTCTCTTTTTTTTTTCTCCTTTTGAAACCGACTGTGTGTCCGTGCACCACCGCTTTTGTCTCCAGCTGCGTTGCGTTTGTTCACCGAGTTTATCAGTGTCGGCGAGTGTGTGTGTGTGTGTGTGACTGCGAGGAGCGCGTCGGAGCGGCGGCAACGCATTCGCACGAAGGCTGAGGCAATACACATGGTGAAAACTTTTCATGGGCTTTTGCGACACTCCAGCAGCTCTCTGCGCGGCTCTGCTGCCCGCTGTGTGCCAATTGCGCTCGGCCGTGTGCGCGTCCATCGAGCGTCGTGGCTGCGGATCGGCGTCTGGTGTGCGCTCGTTCAGAACGCCTGCTGCATTTTGCGCGATCTCGCCTTTTTTTTTTCTTTTCTTTTTTTGTATTGTTTTGGATGTTTCCTTCCCTCGTTTTTTGGCGTCTTTTCCTTGCTTGCTCGTCGCCGAGACACACGAGTGCGGGTTGCTGAGCATGCAGTCCTGCGTTGAGTCTGCCAGGCCGTCGTCCTGTTGGAGCAGCGGTAGCAGCAGCAGCACGCAGTCAATGCATTGGCCACTTTTCCTCTTTTTTTTTTTTTTTTTTTTTGTGAATCTTGTGGCTGTGGTTGTTTTTTTGCGCATCTTTTTTTTTTTTTTTTTGCTCCCTCTGAACTGCGTGCGTGTGTGCCCTCGCTGGCCTTGATCTTCTCTTTGTTGCTGCCATGCCTTCCCATTTGTCCAGCAGTGCGCGACCTGCGACGAGTCGTTTGAAAGCGCAGCCACGCAAAGACGTAGCTTTTTCAGCTTTTTATTTGGAAAAGTTTTTTTTTTTTTTTTTTTTGCCACGCGGTTTTTTTTTTCTTCCATATTTTTTTTTTATTTTTTGCATAATGGTTTTTTTTTTTTTTCAATGGTTTTTTCTATTTATTTTTTGCATCATCGTGACTTTTTTTTTTTTTTTCTTTTTTTTCCTCTCCCTTTTTGCATCATCATCATCAACAACAACAACATCCAACTCACCATTGATCAATCAATCTCACTCACTCTTCATTCTTGCTGCTTTTTGAACAATGGGCCTTAAACACATCAGAGCCAACCGAGCTTTGAAAAACCAAACAATGTCTGACGAGGAGTTCCACAACGCGGATGCCGGCGCTTCGGCCACCTACCCCATGCAGTGCTCTGCCCTCCGCAAGAACGGCTATGTCTGCATCAACAACCGCGCCTGCAAGATTGTTGAAATGTCGACCTCCAAGACCGGCAAGCACGGCCACGCCAAGGTCCACCTCGTCGCCATTGACATTTTCAACGGCAAGAAGATGGAAGATCTCTGCCCCTCCACCCACAACATGGATGTCCCCAACGTTTCCCGCTCGGACTACCAGCTCATCAACATTGCTGACGATGGCTTCACCACCCTGCTGACCTCCACCGGCGAGACCAAGGAGGACCTCAAGCTTCCCGAGGGCGACCTTGGCAAGGAAATCAACGACCGCTTCACTGCTGGCGAGGAGCTCATGCTCTCCGTCATCGCCGCCATGGGCGAGGAGGCTGTCATTGCCGTCAAGACCCAGACCAAGTAAACACAATCTGTCAATGATGAATTTGAGTGCTTTTTGGCATTCTTTTTTTTTTTTTCTTGTTGGTTTGTTTGCTTTCTAGTTGTGGTTTTCTTTTTCTTTCTTCCCATTGTCCCCTGGTCCCCTTATTCCCATTTTTCTTTCTTCCTCTTCTTCTTCTTTGACTGTTCTGTTCTCTACATGGCGGTGGCGAGTTTGGGTTTTTTTGAACCCAAGTCTCGTCGTTTGCTTCTGGTTGCTTCCGTCGCGTGAGTTTTGCTCTCGCGTGGATGTCTGCTTGCGAGCAAATCCCTCGTCAGTGTCAAAGAGAGGTGGAGGGGGAAAAAAATGTCGCCATGCGCTTTTTGGCGTGTGTTAGTGCCCCCTCCCTGTCCTCCTTTGTGATGCGTTGTCCCCCAACTCTTGCCCTCTTTTTTTCTAGCTTTGGTTTGCTGTTGTAAGTGCTGCGCATCCCGCTTACTGTTCGGTTGGCAATATACTTGATCCCCTAGTTCATTGATGTGGACCATTTATTCTCCATTTTGCGACAATCTCTATCTCCACACCAAAACCCCTATCATTCGAGTCAGTCTCTTTTGTTTGTAGGCTTGACCTTGAATCACACTCATGTCGACCGATCGCCCATTGTTTCAAACGATCGAAACCCGCGCTCTGCTTCGACGGGTGTCATGTGTCTTCCGGATTCCGTCCTCGGGCGATGTGCCAGCTGACACTGCCCCAAGCACTACGCTTCTGTCGTCTGTGGGCGAGCGCACGCGGATTGTCGCCCTGAACGATGTTGAGGACGACGAGGACGAGGAGCTCTCGAGTTTGGAAGCAGACCAGTCCTGCGACGACACCGCCACCGCCACACCGACAACCGACGAGACCACCATCACAAAGCACGATGCAGGTCCTCAGAGTTCTGATGCCCAGGCCGAGGTGCCGCTGGGCCAGGCGCCGGTCACCGAGCCGACGAACGGTGCTGCGCCAAGCTGTCTCGTGTTGAAACCACCAATCACCCGCCAAAACTCATCCAAGCCGCTGCTCGGTGGCCGCGCTGCTGCTGGGTCCATGCCCGACGAAACCAGCGCTTCCTCTGCTGTTGATGCTAAAGTCCGCGCGCAGCACGCAGCCATCGTCGTCGCCACCGCTTGCACGCTCACTTTGGAACTGGCTCAGGCTGTGCCGCTCATCGGACTCCGATTGGTCGTCTCAGCCGGCGCGGTGGAAGTGTCCCTTGACACGCAGGGCTATCTAACATCTGCACGCGGTAGTCCTCTGGATGACGCTGGCACTGCTGCACCCGATGGCAGCGTAGAACTGCACGAGTTTGATGTCGATTTAGCAACACCTGCACAATGTCGGGTCGTGACGCTCGCTTTCCGTCGCTTTGCCGGGCATGTCAACAATTCAGATAGCAGCAGCAGCAGCAGCAGCAGCAGCAGTGATAGTGGTACTAGCAGCAACAGCAATGGCAACAGCTCGAGCTCTCTTCGAATCCAGTCAATCGACCTGATTCTAGACAGCTCGTTTCGGCTGAACGCACCAGGTCAGGAAGGCCCGAAAGCCTCCTCCTCCTCCTCCTCTTTCAACCTAGATGCTGTGAAAGGAATGCTCGAATCAAGGAGCACACCACTGTCGAGCGGGGCACAGGCGTTGCTCAATTCTCTTGTTCAGCGCGAAGCCAATGGCGGTCTGAATGCGGCCTCGAGCGAAAGTTCGTCGCTCATGTCCCTGATGATGATGGGCTCAACTCTGCTCTCGCGCGTGCCAAAAGCACCACCAACCGCATCCGAAGCACCGCCTCGGCCCAATCCTGCCCCGCCGTCTGCCTCCAGCATACCCCCGAAAGCAGCAACGGAACAGCTGGAACCTCCCATCGCGCACACTCGGCTCCCGACCTCACAGACAGCACCAAGCACCGATCTGGCTGCCACGCTTCGACTTGAAATGCAGCAAATGGAGCTGCGATTGAGTGCCAAACTTGACCGCCAGGCAGCCCAGCTGGCTGCCATCTCCAAACAACTCGAGCAGGTTGTGCAAATGAGTTCCATGGCGGTTGCATTCGCCAGCCGTGGTGGTCGAACAGCCACGCTCACCCAACAAGGCAGCGACACCCATCCCAACGCTCGGCCACCAAGTGACTCACAGCCGCCGCAGCATTCTCCACAACAACAGGAACCAATCGACTAAAATTGCTGCTGCTGCTGCGGATGGTTGCCCGCATCGTGTTGAAGTTTTCTGCACCACGTTCTTGTTCAATTTCATATGTGTGCAATAGCGGACCGGGTCCAATTCATTCAACTCTCGTGTGTATTCTCGACATGTTAAAAAAAAAAAAAGGAAGAGAAACGCGGTAACAATTGCACGCCAACAAGAAACACAAACAGTAAACAACGTAACAGGCAACAACAGGGAAGGTAGACAAACAGTAAACTTAGTCACATGCAGAGGGGTAAGGGAGAAGAAATATCAAAGACGTTGTTGAGCGCTCATGCCACAGACTCGTCATCCGCGCCGTCGTCAACTGCTTGAGCGGCTGCAGAGGCGGAGGCGCCAGACGTGCTGGCCTTGCCGCCCTTGCCCTTCTTCTTGTTTTTCTTCTTTTTGGCAGCACCAGAAGGCGACGCGGCAGCTGCTACCTTCAACTCCTTGGGAGCGATTTCTGCAGCTGGCACGGGTGTGGAAGGCTCGGAAGTCGCGGTTGATTCCGCAGACGCAGGAGCCTCAGCCACAGCAGTCGCCTCGGAAGAGTCAGAAGGGAGCTCGGCAGCGACAGGCTCGGCAGCGACAGGTTCGGCAACGACTGGCTCGGCAGCGACAGGCTCCGCAACAGCAGGCTCAACAACAGCAGGCTCCGCAACAGCAGGCTCAGCAGGCTCAGCAACCGCCACAGCCTCGACGACCGCCACAGTCTCGGCTTCAACCACAACAACGTCATCAGGCTGGGGAGAAGCAGCTTGAGACGACTCGGGCTCAACTGCGAGGGGTGTATCCAGCTCGATCGTCACGCGAGAAACAAGCTCGAACGGCGAGGCGTCGACACCAGGAGAAACGGCAAGAACCTCGTCGTCAGACAGCTTGGCAGCGGTGGTTTGCAGCGAGAAGAGCGACCAGCGCGAGTCCTCGTCGGCGTCTTCGGTAGCAGCATCTTGCTCGGCGGCAGGAGCGTCTTCGGGCACGACTTCCGTGGTGCTGGCATCGTCGTTGTTGGATGCAGAAGCGGCGTCTTGGGGCTTAGGAATAAAGATGGACGCCGCCAAGAACGAGGGCGGCGCGGGGGAAGTCGGCTCGGAATCGCCAGTCACGCTGATGACTGGAATGTTGCCCGACTGGTTCTTGGACTCGTTTTCGAGCAACGCGAGTTGGTTTTCAAGCGCTGCGATGCGCGTGTTTGCGCTGGCGAGCTGGGTCTTGAGATGGTCGATCGTGGTCTGTTGAGTGATCACGGTCGTGGCAGAGTCGGCAATCTTCTCATGCAAGTAAATAATGTCGCTCAGCTGACGCTCAGAGCTCAAATGGAGAACATTCGAAGTGTACGAGGCAGTGTCGAGCGCAGCGTCCACGCCAGAAGCGGCATCGTCCGAGGCAGCAGTTGAATTGCGCAGGCGACGCGATCGAATCGAGTTCGAGTTGACGCTGCTTCGCTTGCGACGTGTGATGCTGATACGCTTCCCGTCGCGGCGGCGACCGCTGTCGGTCGAGCCGTCCGTGGTGCCATCCGCAGTCTCGTCCTGTTCCCCTTGGTCGGAGAGAACATCCACATCGTCTGCCACGGGCAGGTCCAGGTTGGTCGTCGATCCAGACTTGCTCAGAACGCCAGGAGAGCCGGCATCTTCCGTCACCAGAATGGGGTAGGCGGCCACGCGCCAAGCACGGAATTGCGCCAAGAGAGCGCGCTTCTCTTCCACCAAGCGGAGCAACGTCTCGTCCTTTTGTTGCAACTTGGCGAAAAGCTGCTCCACCACCTCTGGAACGTTGCCAGCCGCGTCGGCCAGGGCCTCTTCGACTGCGGTCTGCGCCAACTGCTCGGCGGACACGATCGGTGCCTCTGGGGGCGCAAGAATTGTGGGAACGGGCTTTTCCTCGACAACAACTGCTGGGGCACTGACCACAACTGCAGTGCCTGCGGGTTCAACATTGACAACAGTCACCGAAGCGGTCGTAGGAGCGGCTGGCGCGACTGCAGAAGCAGCGACAGGGGCCGGTGACGATGCTGGTGCGGCGCTGGGCGCAGCGGACGTCGCGGCGGGCGTTGCAGCAGCGGGTGTGGCTGTTGCCGGCTTCGCGTTGGGCGATGCGCCCTTGCTCGTTGGCGATGCTGCAGGGGCGGTGACTGCCGCGGGAACGGAAACGGCGCCGACGGAAGGACGCCCGTTGGCCTCGACCTTTGCGGGTTCGCCCTTTGCAGGCTCGCCCTTGGCAGGCTCGCCCTTGGCAGCTTCACCCTTCTTTGCAGCCGAAGCAGCGGCGGCTGCGAAAACGGCTGAGGCTGGAAAAAAGAACCACAGGTTAGTGCCAGAAAAGAATCTCAACAACCAAAAACACACCCAAAAAAAAAAATCCCGCAGTCGCTTACCCTTTTTGTCGCCCGAATCCTTGATCGAAGAGGAAAAGGCAGCGGCGGCAGAAACTGCACTGACGGCCGCGGACAAGGAATTGGCAAGTGAAGATGACGACGAGGTTGAACTGACAGGAGCGGCGGTCTTGACAATCAGCGACTCTGGACGGACAGTGTTCAGCGCAATGGTGGCCTTGATGGAATCCATCCAGTTCTTCTTTTCAAACTCAGTTGCAGCAACAAACTCGAGCATTTGCGGTGGGCCAGCTTGCGTCACGACGACAAAGAAGGCGCAGCGTGTCGTTTTGGACTCGACGTTTCGCACCAGCGAACCGAATAGAGGCAGGGGCTGAGCAGAAGCAACGCACGCACGACAAAATAAAAATCAGTACAACCCCCTTTTTGAAACAAAAACCAACATCATGCAAGACCACCGAAAACTGGCATCCAAGAACTCACATCAAGGGCAAGAGTAATCGTGTTGCTGTCTTTCTTCATGGTCGCAAGCATGTAGTCGTTCAGCAGCATGGCGTGGACGAGAAGATTCTTCTTGCGTGTCGATTGGTAAGCGGTCAACGTGAGCTCGCCTTCCAACTGGATGGCGCGTCGGTTTTTGAGCAAATCAATGGTCTGTTGAAAAACAAAGGGGGGAGGGATTTCACAGGCCAAAAAAAGTGAGTGTCGGTTCGATCTGATGGTTGTGCACTGCAAAATACGAAAATGGACAACAAAGAAAGAAAGAACAAAAGAAAGGTTGTTCCATACATAGCCGAGATGGGATGTATCAAGCGACTTTTGGAGGCGAGACAAACGCTGGGCCGCAACGCTCTGGGCCACGCGTTCGTTCACCAGGGTCACAACGCCCTTGACGACACGAACAGCCTGGAGCATGGCCGAGTGATCCTTGTGTTGCTTCGGAGTGCAGCCAATGACCGTCTCCAGCAGGAGCGGGTAGCGGGTCAGGCGCTGCATGGGCATGGGCAGATACTCGGTCAAAACCATACGATTTGCGCGCGGATTGGCTTCGCAGTCTTTGAGGGCCTGGGCAAACGTGTTGCTGCGCTTCTTCAGCGAGCCAATTTCCTCCATGGCGTTAATTTGGTTTGCGCAGAAGACAGCGTAGATATCAAACTTTTCAAACTGTCGTCGCGAGCCAACAGTCACACGAACAGCAACAACAATGGCAAAGTGAGAAAAAACCCACCAATGCAAGCATTCGCAAGAGCAGGACGACGTTTTCAACACTCTTACCATTGACAAGAAAATGTCACCAATCTGCTCGACGACGATGGCTTCTCGCTGGCGTGCCTCGAGCCGTTGGCAAAGCTCGCGGTTGAGCTTGAGCAGCTCCTCAATGTTGGCAAAGACAGAAACAATCTGGTCACGGTGGGCTTTTGCAGTGCGGAGCAACTGGTGCATGAACGTCTCCTGCATAATTTCCAAATTCGACACAAAGTTGCGCTCGGTCTTGACAAGCTCGAAAATAACTTCTTGACGCTTAATCTCCTTCTTGGAGAGGTGGGCCAACGCTTCCCAGTTGGTCACAGTGTCGGACCAGCAGGTGGCAGAAATGTTGCTGAGACTGGCGCTGTGCGCTGAAGACAACGACATGCCATCTTCGGGCGTGGCGGCCGAGGAAGCCTCAGCGCCATGCACAGAGGAGGTCTCGTCAATAGACCCAGAACTAACCAGCGAGGGGGTGCTGGAGGCAAGCTCGGCGCTCAAGTGCTCGGGGCTGCTATTCAGCACGTCGGCGTCAGGCACCTGAGGGTTGGAGCGTGCAGACTTGCGCAGCGTGGGAAGCTTGCGAAGAATCGAAGGAGACGACTTCAGGCCCGAAGCCGCCTTGATGTCGCTGTTGCTACCGACCGACACGTTGCGCTGATGCGTGCGCACATGGCCATCCGGGCTCTCGGCGGGAGCACCGTCTTGCGATTCCTGTTCAAGCAAAACAGAACGAAGGAGTCAGTCAACGAACATAGGAGACAATTGGACGTGCAACACTCGATGGGGAGCAAAGCGAACTCGAACAAAACTCCACGAGTTAATATTCTCACAGAGGGTGCAGAGGACGTCGATGTCTCAGAAATTGTATCGGCGTCACGTCCGTTCTCGGTGGTTGCGTCGTGTGGCTGCGGCGAGTGCGAGCGATCAATGCGAACATCATCTTCGCTTTCAACGCTTTTGAGCGACGTGTTGTCAGCCGAACTGCCAAAAGGACGAGACAAAGAGTCAGCACCAGGACAATCGCACATGTACATCGTAATTAAAAAGTGGCTAAACACGTCAGACATACGCGGCATCGTCGGGAGAGAGGGAAGAGAGAATGTCCGAGCGCGAGTTTGAGCCGCCCAAGACCGTCGAGCGAGGGGTGGATCGCGCCACCTTCAGCGTGTCAAAGACAGGGGCAGGGCGCTTGTCGCGCTTCAGCTTGGTGCCAGTGCACTTGTCAACCGGATTCTTGGAGCACGCGCGCTTGTGGCAGTTAAAGCCGCAGACTAACGGGAAAAAAAAACGGACAAACAACAAAAAAAAAAAAAGTTAAAACCCAAGGAATCGGGCTTTTGAAGACTCTTCCGTTTGCGTCCCCTGGCCTCACCTTTGCACTGGTAGCCTTGGTTGCCAAAACCCCAGAGCATGTCGGTGCAAGAGTCGCAGAACGTCGGTGTGTTCCAATGGGTGGCAACAAATTGATGGCCTTCAATGACGTGCACCTTCTTGGATTTGGTGGACATGCGGCTCAGCATGCTATCCCGTCGGCTCTACAAAGAGGCAAAAGAGGCAAGGGGAAAAAAGCAGTGAAGGAATGAGGGTGAGAAAAACCGAACGACCACACCACAGTTCGCCGTGGCACGCATCCTGACAAAAGGAGAGCAGACAAACCTTGGTGTTTGGCTTGAATTCCTCAAAGAAGGACTTGTCGCAGCCAATCTTTTGGAGATAGGTGATGAGGAAGTGGCAGATTTGAACGCTGCGCTGGTAATCAGTGTCGTTCGGATCGATGGTCCCCTCTTCCTCCTCTTCTTGGTTGTCAATGTGAACTGAGAGGTGTTTCCGCAAGAGTTCGACGACCAGCTTGGTGTTTGCCTTGTCGTCCTTTTTCATTTCTGTTAGCGTTGGAATAAAACGAGACCAGACCAGAAAAAAAATAAGGGGGGGTGAGTCTTGAAATATCAGAACCAAAGACAAGACCAAAGAAGCAGGCGGCAGCACGTACCACCAATGCGGCTCGCGCCGTAATACTCGCCCAGACCAAGCGCAAGACTCTGACGGAAGACGTCGAGGGAAGATGCAATGCTGGTGTAGGCAAGCTTTTCGACGGGATCGAAAATGCTCGGCAGCTCCTTGTCTTTGAGCTTGCCAGAGTTGAGGGCCGCCTCAATCATGCTGACGCGGAGCGCGAAATCGCTGACCGAGCTGTTTGACGGCTCAAACTCGAGCTGCAAAAGCGAACCGGCAGCGAGGTACGTCTTGAAGATGCCCTGCGCCGCCTCGACGCGCTCTTTCGCATTCTTGATGAGCTTGAATTGCTCGACGGACAGATGGAAGAACTGAAAGTTGTTGTTCGACCAAGTGAAGGTCAAAAATGTGAGTGTGATGAAGCAATCCATCTAAGATCCATTCAGATCCCGCTTCAGATCGCTGGAAACGTCACAGCTCCTCCTGCGCCGCCACCACCGCCGCCACTCAGCTCCCTCTGTCTTCAGCTCTTGCAAGGATTGGTTTTTTACTCAGCCGGCAGCATTCGGGGGGGTGGCTCGCGCATGACACTGAGTAAAGACAATCGCGCTTTGTTTTTTCCTTTTTTTTTTCCTTTTTTTTTTTTTTGTTTTTTTGGTTGACGCTCCTTTTTTTTCGATTTGACTCAGGCTCCATCCAGCTCATGCCTCCCTCGTTCATGGTTCCGGTGCGCTCCTCGCCTCAAGGATGAGCAACACAGGAATGACAAGATGGGAGGCAAGCCTGGGTGCAGGTTGGCTGATCGCAAAAGCCACATCCCAAAGTGAAGCGAAAACAAGAACAATGAAGCGAAGAAACGAAAAAAAAAAAAAAAAACGAAAAAAAAATCCACAAAACATTGAGGCAATCGCCACTTGGCCAGCAGACAGAACAACACTGTGCACCGGGCCGCTCAGAGTCAGAGTGTGTGTGCGGAGTGTCATTCCTGCTCACTCACACCACACACGGGGTCTGCCACCCATCGAAACTACGACGACAACAAAAAAAAAAAAAAGGGCAGGCAAAATTGGTCGGGCTGTTGTTTTCTTTTTTTTTTTTTTGCTTATTTTGCTTGATTGGAATCCATGAGGCGAATGGAAGGGGGGCGGGTGAGTGAGAGGCGCGCCCATGCCATTGAGCGATGGGGAGAGCTGAGCAAAGAGACGACCAAAGGTAGTCCAACGAATCGCTCCAGAACAGAAAAAAAAAAGCAGCAGCTGGGCGAAATTGAGCCAGGTTGCTCCAAGCGTGACACCCCCGTCCCCCACCCTGGTCCACCGTCGAGGAATGTGATGGGTCGTTTTGATGCATGGGTTCACAGTGAGGGAGGGTGGGGGACGACGGATGCGGGAGAGGCGGGCGGAAGGAGTTTGGCACAACAAGCTCGATCCAGCCCCAAAAAAAAAAAAAATGTAAAAAAAAAAAAAAGGATCGTACCAAGGCTTCAGGCAGGGATGAGGTCAGCAGGTAGTTGACAAAGACAGCGAGATGGACGGGGCTGCCCTGGATGGCCTCGAGGGAGGTAAAGTCAATGACGTCGCTGCCGGACGAGGAGGCGCCCGACGACGCGCCAGACGAGGACGTGCCAGCCGCAGAAGGAGACGAGACCGCAGAACCACTCGCCGTGCCGGATCGTGTCGGTGATGTGTTGGGAAAGTCACCCGCAGAAGACGACATTGCTCCGGGTTGCGTGTGCACGAGTTGCGTGTGTGCGTGTGTGTGTGTCTGTGTGTGTTCACGAAAGCTGCGCGTCTGCTTTCTGCTCCGTTGCTGCCAACCCGAAAAATGCTGTCAGATGTGAACAATGAGTTAAAAAAAAAAAAAAAAAAAAAGGGAAGCCTTTGTTGTTTCTTTGCTGTTTTTTGCTGGGCTGGCCGCTCACTCACGCGCTCGCTTGGATGTCACTGTAGCACAAGCAACACGACAAGCACGAAGGACGACGACGAGGAGGACGAGGAGGAGGAGAGCGCAGTTGGAACACAACAAAGCACAAAACGAAAAGGAAAAAAAAAAAAAGAAAAAAACTTGAAGAATGAAAAAAAAAAAAAAAGTTGAAAAAATAAAGAAAAAATGAGTGGAATTTTTTGTGTTTTCCCTGTTTAATGTTTCGTTTTCCCAAAAATGCATAAAAATGGTGAAACGGAAAATCAACGAATCGCAGATCTTGCATAGAAAAAAAAAAAAGTGCGTGATGAAACGGACACAATAACGAACTTGACAAACGTCAGACCAACAACAGAGGAAAGAAGGGCGAGGCACGAGAACCGCCAAGAAAAAAACAAAAAAAAAAAAAAAAAAAAAAAAGAAGGTGAAGCACGATGAGACATACAGTAATGCCCCGTCAAACCCAACTTTGCTTGTGGGCACTGGATACTGTTGCGCAGCATTACTCTATCTCGACGTGGACTGCACACACACACACACAATTGGCTCTCTTCGAGGGGTCCAGCCGATTGTGTTGGCCCAAATCATCTCCGTACCGTTTTTGAGACCTCCTATGGAAAAGATGGTTCGCTTTTTTGTTTGAAGCGTGTTGGATCAGTCAAACCTGCAGTGCGAGGCGGGCTAGAGTTCACATTGATCGGCAGGTTTCACATAACTTTGTCTTGCGATCGACGACAAGCGCCTTCAAACGCTCGAACGAGTTGTCGGCATCATCATCCTCATCGTCGCCGGGGTCAAGCGTTAGACGGTCGAACATGTCGGCAATGTCGGCAGTGTCGAGGTTTTGCGTCTTGCCGTACTCTTCAAATGATTTGTACTGGCGGGATTCTTTGACAGGTGGAGGGACTTGGGGGATGTGTTGAAAGCAGTAGTCGAAAAAAGCGCCGACACGCATGCAGCGCCCACCGCGCTTTGTGATACCGTGGCATCTGCGCATAACGAAACAGTTCCGACCTGGCGAAGGAGGCCATGCGCTTACATCACTCACGCGAAGAGCGGCCATAGTGTTGCGACTTTCAGGTTGCGCGAAGAGTGTAACAACCAAGTGGTGCCCGTCGCCACCCTTTCCTTTGAGCTCGAGGCGGCTCGGAGAGGAATTGATAATCTTTAGGTTTGTAACTTCCCGAGTGCGGCAATTTTCCAGACAGATGGCAGAAACCGTCGAGGGAGAGTCCACAAATCCAAATCGCAACTGCCACGGTGTTGCATCGCCGAGACGCGCATTGACAACGCGGGTCCCGTCGAGCTGCGCAAGTTCAGCCAGCTGCTGAAGTAGCAGTGGATCTACGAAGGCAAGTCAACCCAACATGAGACAACAGCTCACATAGAGCAAAAAAACAAAAGGGAGACCGAGAGAGAGAGAGAGACGAGAAGATCTCCGTAAGCAAAGATCTCCATGCCTGTGTCGTTCGACGTCTGTCTCTTGATGCACTTGAACATGACTGATTGCTTTGATAAGGTCCCATGGTGAGATTTCGGTGGGAGACGAGCGGTATCCATTTAACGACCATTCCTAGTTTTTTTTTTTTTTTTTAACTCGTTTTGGGCTTTTTCTATGACAACTCTGTTTGCCGCTGCTACAGTCGCTGTCCGATCATCAGGATTATCGCTCTCATCACTGTCATTGTCGTCATTGTCTGTACTGCCAAGACTCTCTTCTTCTTCTTCTTCATCCAAGATTTCTCCGTTCGCATCCATGAGCACGAGCCCCAGCAATCCCGCGTCCGCCGCTCCTCCGCCGCTCGTGTTCAGTCCCGCACAACGCGTGTCTGGCTTTGGCGACTCGGTCTTTGCCGAGTTCACTGCGCTGGCGATCGCGCACAGCGCTGTCAATCTCGGTCAGGGCTTCCCGGACTTTGCCGCTCCCGACTTTGTCAAGCAGGCCGGTGCCAAGCACATTGTCGAGTCCAACCTCAACCAGTATGTCCGATCCATGGGCCATGTGAAGCTGGTCAACACGTTGGCCAGGCACTATGCGCCAGCCGACCGCCACAACAACCCGTCCATCAACCCAATGACCGACATTGTAGTCACGGCTGGCGCCACCGAAGGCATGTTTGCAACCTTCCAGGTGAGGGGAATGCATGACACTGTCAAAAGAAAAGGGTGATATGGAGGTTTGATCCATGCATCGCGATGCAACGCAATGTTGTGGTTTACCAAAAGGTGATTCTGAGACGTCTTGAAAATCTGATTGAAATTGTTACGTTGACAGGCCATTCTCAACCCTGGAGACGAGGTCATTCTCATGGAGCCGTTCTACGATGCATATCCTGCACAAATCACCATGGCAGGCGGCGTTCCGCGCTACGTTCCGCTGCGCTTGAAAGCGGCGGAGGCTCGAAACGGCACGAGCGACGACTGGTACCTCGACTTGGCCGAATTCCGTGCTGCCTTCACCTCAAAGACCAAGGCCATTGTGCTGAACAACCCTCACAACCCTCTCGGCAAAGTGTTCCGCCGAGACGAGCTCGAAGCTATCGCCCAAGTTGTTTGTGAAAAGAATGTCATTGCCATTAGCGACGAGGTTTGGTTTGCTTTGCGGCTTTGTTTGTGAAAGACCATGCTACTCCCCTCGTATTGCCAACTGACGAACTGACATGCTGACCACCGATGCAGGTGTACGAGCATCTTGTTTTCAACGACGCGCCCAACCGCCACATCCCGCTGAGCACGCTGCCAGGAATGCTTGAACGCACAATCAAGCTTGGCAGTGCAGGCAAGACCTTCTCGGTGACTGGCTGGAAAGTTGGTAAGCGCAAACTGCTGAGCTTGAGGCCCCTTATCAGTTTCTTCCCGCCAGCATCTGACTTTTCGACACATCTCAGGTTGGGTTGTTGCTCCTGCGCCAATCGCCCGCGCAATCTTCTTGGCACACCAGTGGATTCCGTTCTGCGTTGCCGCACCCTTCCAAGAAGCTGTTGCAGACGCTCTGGAACATGCAGACAAGTCTGGCTTCTTTGATGAGTTTCAGGTAAGTTTTTCGTGATTGTTTTGGATGGGTGTCGTCGTGTTTACTGTGCCCTGCTCATTCCATCGGTACCGGGGGTAGGTTGCACTCTGCAAGAAACGCGATCGTCTGATGGACGGCTTGAAACAAGGCGGACTACCAGGCATTCTTCCGCATGGCGGCTACTTTGTTCTCGCCGACACCTCGTCCATTTGGCCCAAGCTGCAGCGAGACCTCCAATCTGGCGACGCAAATCCGTCCCAGCCTCATGATTATACCGTCTGCAAGCAGCTGACCAAGTCCGTCGGCGTTGTACCAATCCCACCTTCGAGCTTTTTCACTCCCCAGCATCAACCGTCGGTCAAGGATTTGGCCCGTTTTGCATTCTGTAAAGAGGATCGTGTGATTGACGAGGCGTGTCGTCGTCTGCAAGCGTTTGGAGCCAAGAAGTAAAATGGATTTGATGACGCAAGAGTGGAAGTAGGCTGAACATAATGACAGAGTACAGATCCAACATTTTTCTCCTCTAGACCCCACTTTCGTTCTTGAGGTGCTCGTAGGCAGCTCTCAAAGTGACAAACATGAGGCCTTTCTCTCCAAAGCGCACGTCCTCTCCAATAAAATCTTCAATCAGTTGCAGCTCGGCACCCTGTAAAGCAGTCGTTTCAGGTGAGCAATTCATTCAGCAAGCAAGTCCAGCGAATCAAGTGCATACCAGCGAGCTTCTTACCAGTTGCAAAATCCGGGCACGGACCACCACAAACAAGAAAACTGGAAGAATGTCATCCATCGACCTGCACAACCGAAAACATTGGTGTCGTACCAAAGTCAGCACCACAACAACAAGATAACAAAACAATAAGAATAGCAAAGTTCCAAAAGCAACCAAATAAAACAAAGGTTGAACCACTGACACGAGGCGCTCGCGACCCATCGAAAACGCTTGGACAGCCTTGGTACACAGCCGGAATGTAGATTGCACGCAGCGCATCTTATCCGCTGGTGCGTGGAGCTGCGAAATCTGGGAAAGCGTGGCGATCGCGCGGTGGTAGCCGATCGTCTGGGCTGCACGCTCGGCCTCGGCCTTGGCCAAGTCGGCCTGATCAAACAGGCCAGTGTGGATTTCTGGGGAAGTTGGAGACACAAGGTCTTGGGGCACGTTCAAGACTTCCTCATTCAGGTTGGCAGGTGTGTTGAAGGCGGTTGAGGAGGATGTGGTAGGCGCTGGAGGATTGGACGCGTTGGGAAGCACCAGAGCTCGCGACGCCAGTCTTGTTTCGCTGACAAAGCTGCCAGAGAGCCTTTGCTCGGATTTTGACTGAGCAGAGCCATGCACAAGCCGGAAATGCTCGGGAATGCCCAAGTGCGCCATCAGCTCGGCATCCGGTTTCGCATCCAACACACGCAAGTTTGCCCAGTACTTTTCGTCGTCGGCCTTGAACACGAGCGCGTACAGAGTCAACAGCAGGGACTGGACTTTGATAAACACGTGCCGATCGACCAAGTATCGACCAACATTCGAGGGTGGTGGAAGGCCGTATTCCACGGCAAAGCACGCCGAGGCGGTTTCCTGGATGGACGGAATTTCAGATGCTGCCACGGAAGTCGACGCCGTCGCGCTACGAGAGCCCCGCATCGCGCTGGCTACAGACTCGACAATATCGCGGACAACCAACGCATCCGCAGGCGGCGAGGAGAAGTTGTCCGAGGTGAACAGACCTTCAAAGAGAGGCCCTGAAGCTTGGCCGTTGGCGAAATTGTTGGATTCTTCGTACACGGCCAAGTCTTGGGCGAGCAGGTTGAGCATGGACAGCTGCGCGCACACCAACTGCTCAGTACGTTGCAAAATCGACCGGATCTCCTCGAGGGCGCACGGAAGCAGTCGGAGCTGCGTCGCATACCCGACGTAGGACTGCTGGAAGGCATCGGCCATGTCGCGTACGAGCTGTGCAATAGGATGCACCTCTTTCGCGAGCAAGTCATCCACAGCCGTAAACGCCTGGAGCACCGCTTCGAGGCGAAGCGCTGGGGTGGCCAGCGCGCTACGGAGCGTTGCCAAGGACTGCTGAATCACGCCGTTCGTGCGGTCAATGTCTTCGCCGGCAGTGGATGCCGGGATTTGTACAGAAGATTGACGGTGAATCGGCTCGCGCACCGTCGTGGCCGCCAACATGCGAAGGCTCGTTTCTTGAGGCTGCAACACGGAAACGGCGACAAATGGGTGGTTGAGGAGGGCGTTCACAGCCACGGCCAAAAGGGAGCCAGTGCCACCCCGAGCGTTGGCGCCACTTCCAAGCGAGTACGCAGCATCCACAAACGTGGCGGTGGAGCCAAAGAAGCTGGCCAGTGGCGAGGACAAGGACGTGGCGACGAGCGGGATGGGCAGCTCTAGATCGCGCTCACACCGGGCAAAGAGTTCGAGCCACTTGCTCGTTGGCGGCACAAACCCAAGAACTCCAGCAGCGGGAACGCCACTGAGCGCGCAGCTCGAGGCAGGACGCATGAGTTGCACTTGCTGGTGGTACTGTTGATACGCGGCCAGCGTGTCATTCAGTGGAGGAAACAGCAAGTTCACTGCCAGGTTCCGTTTGGCAAGCGAGCCCGTCCCCGAGATGGTCGCCGAGCGGTGATTTCTGGTGTCTGGGGAAAGCGCCAGTTGTTGCTGTTGTTGCTGCTGTTGTTGCTGTTGCTGAGCGATGGCTTGTTGTTGTTGTTGTTGCTGCTGCTGCTGCTGCTTGTCATGCTTCTTGTCTTTTGTGCTGGGCGAAGGCGAATTTTGTGCGGCTCCAGCTGTGAAGGGCGTGCCATCCACCCCCGATTCCTTGGAAAGGGACAGCATGCCGTTGACTCGCATGCCATCCGCCCAGTTGCCGTTGAACATGCCTTGCAGCAGATGGTCGCCAGGCAGAATCAAGCGTCCTTTGCCGTTGATCGTGTTGTCGTTGGCAAACTCGCCGATAAAGCAGGACGATTCGCCGGGAGTCAACAACAACCCTGTGCCTTGCAGCTTGCCTTGCGTCCATCGACCTTCCAAGAAGCTGCCAGAGCCCGTGACCAAAATGCCAGCACCAAAGCGCAAGTCTTCAGCGTGCATGCCAAGGAACTTTTCTTCACGCTCCAGATCCTCGCTCACACCGTAGCCGTCGCGCTTGTCGCTCTTCCAGCCGCCCACAAAGCGATTGCCCGTGTTGCTGACAAACATGCCGTGGCCAGACCTCAAGCCAGCTCGCCACTCGCCATCGTAGAGCGAGCCGTCCGCGTACAGCCTCGTGCCTGTGCCGTGCATTTTGCCCTGGGCCCAATGACCGTCATAGGTCTCGCGCCCGTCGGCGCTCACGAGCTGCCCGAGGCCATCGCGCTGGTGGTTGCGAAACCAGCCGCGGTAGATGGAATGGTCGGGCAATTCCATCTCGCCCAGGCCGTGCAGTTTGCCTTGGAACCACTGGCCGCGGTAGGTCGCATCGGGGTAACCGGTCTTGCTGCTAAACGTGTGCTGGGCGAATCGGTGGTGCTGATCATTCAATGGATGCAGCAGAGTGAACGGCACCGTGCTCGGAGCAGCAGAGCGGGAGGACGTGCCTGTTGCCGTTGCGTCAATTTTCTTTTTGCGAGCGGCGTGTGTAATCACGAGCGCCATCATGTCTCGGAGCCGGATAAAGTCTGGTTGCATGGAGGCGGAGGCGGCAGGATTGTACGACGATGAATTTCCAGCGTAGTGCTGAGTGAATCGACTCAAAATGTCGGACGCAGTGTCGAGCGAGGCAGAGTCCAGCTGCTTCGAATCACCATTGCGGTGCGACGGGTTGGCGTGGAGCTCCAGCTCACGCTCGAGCAGCTGCTGTTGCGCCAACGCCACGGGATCGTGCGGGTAAAAGAAGCTATTCCCTACGTCCATGGCGAATGCCTCGGAATGGAACATGAGCGGCGCTTGAAGTTGCTGTGTCGATGGTTGGGAGGAAGCATCGGACGACGGGGGTTGCTGGGCAAGGGCTTCCAAAAGGGACAGGGTTGATGCGCTCGGCGGGGTGGGCGTGTTTGACGCGATGCTCACACTCTCGCTCTGCTGAGCAAGCTCCATCAGCGTAATGTTGTCCATGGGAAGAGGTGGAAGCATGGTGGACAAGGCGGCCAACGAAATATGGGAAGCTGCCTTGGAGATTGAGTCCGAATGCGATTGCGACGACGCTTGCGACTTTGGTCGAAGGTGTTGTTGCTGTTGTTGCTGCTGCTGCTGCTGCTGCTGCTGCTGCTGCTGCTGCTGCTGGGGCGACGGCGCTGTGATTGACTGCTCAGACTCTTGCTCGGAGGTTGCTGCCAGCAGGATACGCGATGCCGCGGCGTGCAAAATTCGCTCTTCGAGCACAAGCTCGGCGTTGGCACGAGCAATGGCGCCGTCAATGCCTCCAGTGATGGCCTCCATCCACTGCGCCTTGTCCTTCGGATTCGCAGCAAAGACAGTGAACGAGTCGTCAGCAGTGATGATGCGGAATGCATTGCGAAGCGACGGCGTATCTTCAATATCGCCGAGCCACGTCACGAGCAACGGCGCGACGGACATGGTCCATGTGCTGCTGGAATTGGGGCGGCTTGGGATGACCCATTGGGAGCGGACCAGAACATCGGAAAACAAGATAAACCAATGGGTGGACAGGTCCAGGGTGCTCGTCTTGGCAAAGGAAAGGGGATTGGTTTTGCTGTGACGCAGCAAACGCCGATCAGGCGCGGACAGACTCTTGTAGAGCTGCGGGTACTCTTCCCAAAACAGGCGAACGCGCTCCGCTTCGGAACGCGATTGCGAGCAGTGCGATGCGAGGCCGGCAAACCTCAAAGCGAGCGCCTCTGCACTCAAACTGTTCAACGGAGCACGTCGAGGTCGATCAGGAAGAAGGTGGAGGACAGACACGACCGAGGCAGACGGCGTGAGAAGAGGCGAGTCGGACGCGGAAGAAGCCGATGTTGCCGACGCGCCCTGAGCAAACAGCTGGGAAAGAGCTGTACCCGTCGGCGATGTGAACGATGAAACCGCGTTGAGGGACGCCGAGGGGGTCGACGACGTCGCAGACGACGAGCGAAAATGGGACAAGCGCCCAGACAGAGTTGCATAAAAGAACAACCGGTTGAGTGGCAATTCGAGAAGCTCTCGTAGCGGGTCTGGCGATGGCAACTTGACCAGCTGGTCGTTTTCATCAAAATACCGCGCGTTGGCGTCGGCCAAGCAATGGTCGAGGTAGGGGATAAACTCGACAAGCGAGCGCCGGCATTGTTGGAACACATCAACAGCAATGACGTTGGAAATGATACGGATGTAGCGCCGGTACAGGTCGAACGGCGAAGGATCAATCCGAGAGAAGAGCTGGGTGAAGGAAAGCCGAGGCTGCCACACATCCAGCTGCTCAAAGGTCAACCGCTCAACCAGGACTGCAGTCAGCTCGGTCACATGCGCAAACGCCTCAAAGAGAGGTGTCAACAAGGCAAAGTACGACTTGGAGTCTTGAGCGGCATCGGTGCCGACACTGGACGCGGAAGGAGTGAGATTGAATGCGCTCGTGGTGGGGGTTGAGCTTGCGGCAGGCGGACCAACGGAGGGCCCCAAGCTGGCCAGGGAAGAGCTCATCTTCGGCGTCGATGTCAGAGTTGACGAAATGTTGGAGGACAGTTGGCCTGCAGGAGACGACGATGCAGCGGCTGTTGCGCCAGAAAAAGCGGAAGCGCCTGCATGGAGCGAGGATGATATGAAAGAACCGAGATTCATTGGCAACGAGACGAGCTGAGAGGGGAGGTTGCGTAGGCTCGAGACAGATGGTGCCAAGGCAGTTCCGGCGGGGGTCGGAGAGGGCTGCTGTATTTGCGGGTGCGCGTTCTCAGATGTAGATGGCATGGTGAGCAGCCCAGAGGCATGAAGGGGTTTCAAGCAAGCGTCGAGGGCAATGTTGAGCCGCTTCAGATAGGTACGCTCCGCTTGCAGATACTCTCGCATGCTGACGAACGTGTCTCCCGAGGCCATGTCGACGACGCAGGCGCACTGTAGATGGCAGACAAGCGAAACAGAACGGAGAGAATTAGTCGTTGAGAGATGTGGATACAAAAGTGGCTTCTATCCAAGTCATGATATGCATGTCAACAAGACCAGTATCGTACATTATCCCATCCTGAAACAACGCCTCGAAGGGTACCCTCCTTGCTGGACCGAATCAGTCGTGGCGAGTGAGGCATGTGGGCCGTGTTTGCGGCCGTGGTGCCCGGTTGGGGGCTCTCCGACTTCAAAACAACTTGTTCCAGGTGAGGACTGCAGCAAACAGTCGGACGAAAATAGTGAGCGCCAAGCCACAAAATAAAAGGCTACTCGATTGGTACGCATACCTGCGTTGAGGGCCACAAAAGTGAAGCTCCCACTCGTTACTACTGGTGCGCTCGCCGGCAACCAGAGTATGAACAGAGCCCGCAGCAATGGAAAAGATGTTTTTGCCGCGGAGTGCAAGAACAGGCATCGGAAACGACACACTCTTGTTGTCTGGCAGTCCAAGCTGTCCGTGTGAGCCGTTTCCCCAAGCGTACACCTCGCCAGTGTTTGATAGGGCAATTGAGTGCGCTCCGCCTGCCGCCAGGCGAAGGATTCCGCAATTCTGGAGGCTCTCGATGCGCGTGGGAACAGCGAGGTCAGTGGTTTGACTGTGGCCGAGCTGGCCTGCTTCGCCTTCTCCCCAAGAGTAAACCTCAGTCACACGATGGTACATGGCCCGAGGCGTGGATTGCTGCGTGCGATTGAAAGGAGAGGAGTGAAGCACGCACGGTTGTTGGTCAGAATTCAAGCGAACAAAATTTCAGCCCGCACTCACCTCTCCCCCCAGGCACAACCTGCGCTCGGCAACCCTACCTCGTCTACAAATGAATAATTGGCAATGCGGAGCGGGCCCTGCGGCTTGCCAATGGCGAGGGTGTGGCGGTGGCCGCAAGCAATGGCAACAACTTGAATTCCGACAAATTTCTCAATCTGACGCGGTGTGTCGCATCGGGCGATAGCATCAGCTCCATGGCCTAGCTGCGAGCCGGTGCCCCATGAGAAGCATCGACCATCGTCGCTCACGGCCACGGTGTGAGAGTTGCCGCACGCGATGCGAGTAATGACAACGTCCATCTCTGCTCCAACCTGGCCGATCGGACGGTTGCGTTCGTCCATCTGCTGTTGATCATGTTCGCTGTCTAGGAATGACGGATCGCCTCCAGCACTGCCGGCGAAGGGATCCTGAGCGTTGAGGCTGTTGTCGGCGGAACAGGCATGAAACCGGACCCGCCGAGGTCGGAGCTGCATTCGCCTGGATCCGTTGGATGCAACATCGGCGGCAGGCAGCCCGAGCTGGCCGTCCTGCGCGTCGCCCCAAGCGTAGACGCGTCCGCTCGAGCTGAGCGCAACAGTGTGATCGCGGCCGCACGCGACGGCGACGATGACGACGGGCGCGCCTGCTGCAGCTGCGTCTTGCTCGTCGTCAAAGCGCACAAGGGTCGGCTCTGTCCGCGTGAGGGTGTCGCCGAGCCCCAGCTGGCCGTGCTTGTTCGAGCCCATTGTGAAGAGCGTGCCGTCGAGTGTGACGAACGCAGAGTGCTCGCCGCCCACCGCGACGCTCTTGACTGCGCCCGTCTGGGGCAGTGCTCCCGATGCATTCGCTTGAACCGTTGCAGCTGGCTCTGGAGTGACGAGCGGCGGAATTCGCCTGTTGTTCCATCAAACAAGGTCAAAATTTCAATTCGCGTCACTCGTTCAACTAGGAAGGCCTTTTTCCCTCTTCTATCCATCCAGTCATCCAGCCATTCTCCTATCTTCCAATCTTCCATCCATCCATCCCTCTCCTTTGACATGGCAAAACGCAGACGAGAAGGTGCCCGGAAGCAGCTCAACGTCGCCGTTTCGCATCAACATCACACCATTTCTCAGCAGCTTTGGAGTTCAGGTCCGCTTGCTTTCCGTCTCGTCATCCATCATGGAAGCACTACTCCAGGAACCTCTTCAAAAAATTGCATACCAGGGCTGAGACAGGCCGAAGCCCGACCACAGGAAGGCCTCGGTTGGTGAGGCAGCGTGCTCTGCCATACACTCCAAAAGAAAAGAAAACACACAAAGGCAGACTGAGACTCGTCTCGCAATGTAAATGTGCTGGTGCGGTTTGTTGGAGATGAGTGTACGTGATGCTCGACAGTAGACTGCATTATGAATTGCTGCACACTATTGATTGGACAGCTTGCTTTCTGAGCAGATCTGAAATGGGGACCAGTTCCTATTCCCTTTTTTTTCCCCCTTTCTTTCTTTCACTCTCTCATTCTCTCACTCTCTCTCTCTCACTCACTCACACTCTCTTTCTCGAGCAGTCCCTTTTCTCTCTCTCTCTCTCTCTCTCTCTCTCTCTCTCATCGCCACGCAATGCCTGCGACCAAGCGAACGCGCAAGAGCCAGCCGATCGCCCCTGCGAGTGGCTTGTCGCGCCGCAGCAGTGGAGGCCAGAGCGCAAGCACCAGAGCGAGCGACGCCAGCGACGGAAGACCAGCCGACGACGACGATGACGACGACGATGACGACAACGATGATGAGAATGACAGCGACGAAGACGACGACGACGACGACGACGACGAGGACGAGGACGGCGACGAGGACGCAGCGGATGACCGAGCCGGGGCTGCTGGTAAAGGACGAACGACGAGCCGCACTGCCGCTGCCGCTGCTGCTGCTGCTGATACTGCTGCGAGTGCAAGCGCAATGCAAATGGTGGTGGACGATCACGAGGACGCGTCGCAGTCGAGCGTGCAGCTGAAGGGCATCGAGCATGACAGCGATTACGAGGCTGGCGGCGATGTGAAAGGCCGTGGTGCTGGTCGCACTGATCACGATGACGACGGACGCTATCACAAGAACAGCAATGCTGCTGCCTCAGATGACGATGACGACGACGACGACGATGATGATGACGATGACGATGCTGATAATGATGATGACGAGGACGAGGACGACGACGACGAAGACGACGGCGAGCACGAAGACGGACGTACAGATCGGAGAGGAAACAGACGGCGGTCTGCCGCTGCTGTTGCTGCTGTTGCCAGCGCTCGAGGCAAGAGCAGCACGTCGTCCGCTCGAGGGAAGCGACCCGCTGCCACTGCTCGTACCGGCGCGGCTGCAGGTGCCCAACGAACAAGCCAGACGGCTGCCCGCGGCGGAGCATTGGGCAAGCGAGGGCGAGGTCGAGGAGCGGCAGCGTTAACAGCATCTGTCTCTGCCAGGCAGCAGCAGCAATCACACGCTGTCGCTATGGACGAAGACGGCAATGAGGGGTCGGACAATCGTGAAGACAATGGCGACCGTCGAGATGCAGCGTTGGCAGCCAGCAAAAACCCTGCTCAACCTGGAGCAATCACAGTGGAGCACCTGCAGCTCCAAAAGAAGCTCTTACAGGCCATCATCGCTGGCACGGGATCTGCCGTTGGATCGGCAACCTCGTCGCTGGAGACACTGCCACTGAGTCGCGCTGCACTAGTACGCATCCGTTACGTTGCAGCCTGCTGCAAAAGTTTGAGCACAGCCGCGAGATGACTTATTTTTGGTTGTAATCGTCCACCTCCTTCTTAGGTATTGGAGCTGTATCACGATCTGCTCGAAAAGGTGTTGACCGAGGTTGTATTTTCAGTACACCGGCAAGCCAAGACCACCATCGTCCCAGAACCCAACTCTGCAGCCTCCGCGGCGGCCAAACTTGGTATTACTAGGTAAGTACCTGAACTCTTGTTGCATTTGTGCATGTGTACATCTCTTTGGCATGCTGGGAACCTTGTGTCTCACTGGTGTTTTCGCTTTGTGGCAACCTATTTTGTGTGATTTTCCGTCGATTTGGCTCTGACTTGATTGTGCTCCTGACCTATAGCTCCCGTATGTTCTACTAATCGTGTGATGATGGTACTGTTGTGCGTGTGTGTCACTCCCATTCGTGCTGACTGGCTATTCTATTTGACAACTTTCTTTTTTGTTTTACCAGGTCCGATTGTCAACCGATCTGGCTTGGATGTGTTTGGCAATGCTCCCAGCACGATTGCAAACGAAACATTCGAATGCACCAACTGCCGGAGAATTGTTGTGGCCTCGCGATTTGCCCCGCATCTTGAAAAGTGTCTTGGTGTTGGCGGTCGCAGCCGCGTCAGCAGCAGGCGCTACATTCCACACACAGGGTCGACATTCCCTCCATCCAAAACCACACCAGCACCCGTTGCGCCGACTCCGACACCACCCGTGCCTCCTTCTCCCGCTTCAGCAGCTTCAGCAGAGCCGGCAGCTTCATCGTCGTCGGCCAACGTCAACAGCAGCAGCAGCAGCAACAACAACAACAACAACAACAACACCCACAACAGCACATCTCGAAACAACACAATCAGCCATGCTGACGACGCCGGCAATGTCTCTGACTCTTCCATTTCAGAGTTGGAGGACACAGATTTGAGTGAAAGCACTGGATCACTGGCATCCTCTTCTGCCAAGCGTAAGGGGGTTTTTGTTCGTTTCTTTTTGTCCATAGATGGTTGATGTCTAAAGTCGCAGACAACTTACTTTGTGGTTTTTATGGGAAAAACAGCGTCTGCAAAGCGACCAATTGGCCGACCGAAGCTGTCAGAGGTACAGTGTTCTGTGTTTGTGATTGGTTTTGTGCGAGCCTGAACATGCCTCGGCTCACGTTTCAAGCACGCCTTCTTTTTTGCAGATTTCCAAAGGAAAAACCATTGCCCACAACGTTGTGAGTGGGAGCTCGGCTTCCCCACTTTTGGTCGCGTCGGCGGCAGCGCCCGCCACGTCGTCGGCTGCCCCTACGCAGCCACCATCTCCATGGAAGGGCTCTCCACAGCCCGCCACCGACTCGCCATATGCTCCGTATAGTTATCCGCTTCCACCACGAGCAGCCCAGCCGATCCAGCCACCGGCGATGGCTAGTGCCATGCATAGTCCGTATGCCATGCCAGCCCCAAGCATGTTTGTCCCCTACTATGCGGCTGGCGTCAACGGCTTGCAAGATCCGCAAGCTCGCGCCTCGCCTTCAATGACCCCTGCCGGGAAATCCTTGGCCGAACTTCAAGCAATATTTAATCAGGTAGAGTTTTGTTTTGTTCTTGTTGTTGGTTGAGTGGCGGTGATTTTGGGAGTGAGGGATGAATGAGACTTTGCGCTGTTGCCGACTCGCTCAAACTCGGTGATGGACAGAATTGCGGTGTTTTGTCAACCAACACGGGCAAGCTCTGCTCCAAATCTCTCCGTTGTCCACAGCACACGGACGAACAGCGCGCTGCAGTTCGCGCCCAGTTCCTTGGTACGAGACTGCTACTATGATGAGGCGCGACGATGAAAAAATGTCCAGTTTGGTGTGTCTGACCATGTTGTTTGTGTCATGCAGATTCCTATGACACATCCTCCGTGGCCCTATCGGCACATTACCTTGGGACACAGTCAGGTTCTGGTACGTACCACCTCTCCCGGCAGGGATCCAATGGCGTGTTTCGGATGTTTTCTCACATTTTTTTATCTTGCTTGGATTTCCCAGATACTGCAGATTTAGGTGATCGGAGCTCCAATAATTCGCCATTTTTGACGTCTTCACCAACCGGCCAGCCAATCAAGAAAAAGAAAGGCCGCCCACCGAAGAAGGCTCGCCTTGGTGGGTATTCTTGCTCGGTGTCTTTGGACGACATCATAAGTCCAGCTTGGCACTGACCTGTCCAACTTTTTGTCAACAGACGATTCTCTTGTGGTGCGATCGACTCCGTCCCCACTGCACATTCACCCGCTCGTTGCACCTGGTTCGCATCGGCGAACGGTGAGCGTATCTGATGAAGTGGTCGACGTTGTTGGGATTCATTGAAGGTCCAGAGCGCAGCGTAACCCTTTTTTTGCAGCTAGAGTGAACGTGGATGATGTATCGTCACGCGCTGTAGTCTTTGTGTTTTGATGGAATTGACGTTATGTACAATAAGATATGATATTTTGACAACGACGAATCGTAAAACAGTCTGTACATCCATCCAAGATAACGCATATCGAGGCCGGCATGGTCTTCTAAAAGCTGTGCAAGTGCCAAGCGCAGAGCTTGTGCAGTGGTGGTGGTGTGTGGTGGTGGTGGTGGGTGAATTACAGAGCTTGGGCCAAGGCAGACGATACAAGCAAAAGCCGCTCGCGAATCACACGCGTGTTGAGCAATTGCTGTTGGCGGTAGGGCGAGAGCTCGCATGTGGCGGAGGTAATCCATGCAAAGTAGAACGACAAGGTCGACAGAGTGGCATGGAGAGAAGCCGCGACGGGCGTCGGGCCGCGAGTTTGCAAATCAGTCAAGGTCATTTCGCTGAATTGGAGCGCTTGGCGCCAAGCAGGAAGGTAGGCATCGACGGCGGCGTTTCCTGCGGGCATGCTCTGGACTCTTGACAGCAGACGCGCGCAAATACTCTGAGCCACCGCGAGTGCGTGGGCGGACTCGTCCGCGGACTCGAACGCAGCGTCTTCCATCTGGTGGACGCCGCATCGCCAGACACCTGCATCCGTCATACGGCGCGAGTCGATATCGATGCGATGGGTGGCGCGAGCGTGGACACGCACCGATCCGTCCTGGAGCGGTTCGACGGACTCGAGCTGCATTTGGCAACCAACGTCAGGGGCTTGAACGCGGCCGAGATTGTCGAGCAGCACCTTGACGGTCTGCCGAGCGAGCGTCGGGTCGTTGGGCAGGACGCTGGCGACACAGATGCCGAGGCTCGCGCCGTTCGGTTGCGCAGATGATGATGAAGCAGGTTGTTGTTGTTGCTGGGTTGAGGGTGCTGGCTGAAACGCCGACAGCCACACTGGGGTCAGCTCGCCCTCAACAGCAGCATCAGCATCCGCAACATCCGCAGGCGCATCGGCAACGTCAATGTCAGTGGCTTGGATGTCACGGATGGCAGTGGCGACGTCGGTGGCGGCGGCGGCGGCGGCGAGTGACGCGGTGACCGCAGCCGAGCCGAGCGTTGGCAGGTCGCCGACAGTCGGTTTGGGCAGCCCCGCCGCGTACCCAAATTCGAATCGCGATGCTGCTGCTGTGGCTGTGGTGGCCGTGTCGCTGCTGCTTGGATGACGCAGAAGCTGTGGCTGGGCACCGTGGTTGCCGGTGCTGGTGAGATGCGAGAAGCGGGACGATGGTGCGGATGATGCTGCGGCACTGCGCAAAAGCCAGCGCGCGACGGCGGGCGCTGAAACGACAACGGCCACCGCTTGTCCCGGAAACACTACGCCAGGCAAATGCACAAAATCTGATGACGAGTGGCAGAAAAAAAAAAGAACACGACCAGCAAAGTAAAGTCAGCGGGAAGCAAGGCCAAAGACGAGCAGAGCCAACGCAGATGAAGGGGACGGTTGAGGAGTGAAACACAGTGAATGAACGCTGAATCATAAAGAACGCCTTCTTGTTGTTTTTTCAATGACAGCATTATTTTTTTATGATTGTTTTTTTTTTTTCGATTGTTTTTGGCTTTTTTTGTATTTTAAAAGGAGTTGCGGTCAAACCCAACACGATCGCATCGATCGAAGGAGGAATGAGAGCGACAGAAAAGAGTGTGCAGAGGAGGCACGGACGAGAATGGCGTACCGAGGGAGTGCAGTGGGGCATCGGCGCCTGCGGAGGAGCTGGAGGAGGATGTGGCTGGGAGGATGAGTTTTGGCGTTGTTTCGCTCGGGTCTGCGTATGCAGCTGTTGCGGCAGATCGCATCGTGGAGGTCATTGCAGGCGACAATGAGCTTGCTCGGGCTCGTCCGGGATAGTTGTGAAGAGTACGCAGTGGCATCCGTGCGACTGCACGACGGCAAGTGGCAGAAGGAAGTGACAAGGCAAACATTATTTGGGGCTTTTTTTGTTTTCAACAATTCTAAAAAAGAATAAAGACTAACCTCTGTCTTGACTAGAGTGCACACAATCGTATAGTGTTGCATGAATGTTGCGACACCTCCGATGAAAACCGATTTTTGTAACTTGTGTGACGCTTGTTTGATGCGTCAAGCGCAGCAAGTCGGGCTGTCATCAAATCAAAAGCAATAGAAAATGCATGGTCTGTTTTGACTGAAGTTTTGGTTGTTGGACAAGAAAGCTTGACTATTTCGACAATACATGGTACAAGCTGAAAATCGACAATGAATGCTAACACTCCAAACGTGAGCAAAACGTCGGCGTTTGGGAGTATTTTTTTTTGTTTTTTGCGCTGCTGTGACTGGAGCGTTGTGCGCCACAATAAACACAGCAAGCACACACACTAAACACATAACAATCACATTGAAAAAGGGGGAGCGCTGGCCGCTCATCCACTGGAAACGCCGAGCTAATTGGACGTGGCGAGCTTGTCCTGAGCCGCTGTTTCATCCTGCGCCTCTTTCTCAGCGGGCTCGGTCTCAGCTTCTTGTGGTTTGGCGTCGCTTTCCACAGAGTCTTTGGACGAGGCCAGTGTCTCTGTTGCAGCCTGAGCCTTCTTGTCGGCTTCGAGCTTGTCCTGAGCCGCTTTGTCATCCCGCGCCTTCTTTTCAGCTTGCGCTTTCTTTTCAGCTTGCGCCTTCTTTTCGTCCGCCTCTTTCTTAGCCTGCTTGGCATGTATTCTCCAGCCAGCCACCGCCAGCACCGTAATGGCAACGGCACCACCGACGACTGCCAACGGACCCGCTGCAGCGACCAGTGACACTGTGCCAACCGACTGGAGGGTGGCGACGAGGCTGCCCGCAGCAACGCCTCCGCCGTTGGCAATCGCCGCTGCGGACATCATGCTTGCCGCAGTCGATCCAGCAGCGATGCCACCGGCGCCAAAGCCGACTGCATTTACCGCTGCGACGACCGCCACGGGAGCTGCAGAGGCCGCGACCACGCCGGTGGCGGCAACTTTCTCGCCGGTTGAGAAAGTCGGATCAGAATCGTTGTCAGAATTATTGGACATTGTTTCGAAATATAAAAGACTGGCTTTTTGACCAAAAAAAAAGTCGACAACAGCAGAGATATTGACGATATTGTCGTACTTTCTCAGCACTAAAGTGCTAGCCTGGTTTGATATGGCGCGGGGTATTGTACTCCGCTGAGAGCAGAATTCGGTTTTGTGGTTTGTTTCATTTGTCTGAAAACAGTCCATGCTACAGAGTACACTGGAGATCTGCACAGTCACATGCACGCTTGGATTGGATTGATTGCAGGTTGGTTGGATAACAAGGTGGACACGGAAGAAGCTGAAAAGCTACAGATCGACAAAATCAAAAAAGACAAGAAAAACAAATATAAACAAAAGCACTTCGTTTGGAGTACTTCAGCCAACAATATCGCCTTGCTTGAGTCTCGGCCGGAGCTAAGGATTGACAGGCTAAGACGGGACAGAGGCCTCGACCTCCTCTTCCGCCTCGACCTCCTCCGCCTCTGCGGAACGAGCTGGAGAGGCCGCGGCTGTGTCAGCATCGCCTCGCCGCCAGACGTAGCTCGCCGCCAGCACCAGAGCGCCAGCGATACCACTGGCTACTACAGCAGGGCCTGCTACAGCGGCTGCTGACATTGTACCAACCGACTGGAGAACGGCGACGAGGCTACCTGCAGCAATGTTTCCTCCATTTGCGGTTGCCGCTGAGGACATCATGCTGGCTGCGGTCGATCCTGCAGTGATGCCATCTGCGGTAAATCCGATCGCATTTAATAGCATTGGAATTGAAGAAATCGCGCCAGCAACGCCGCCAGCAACGCCTGCTGCAGCGGCTTCGGGTGATGGCATTGAAGGTGAAATCGACTGAAAATACAAGAATGGTCTCAGCGCGGAAAAGATACATAATAGGGATCAAGCACTTTGGTGCTGGCTTGGTTTGATATGGCAAGGGGTGTTCCGTTGGGAAGAGGATTCAAACAGCACTAAAGCGCTTGGTTTGATATGGCGAGCGGTGTTCCGCTGAAAGAGGAAAATTCAAAGATTGTTTTGTTTTTGTTTGGTTTTTTTTTTTTTTTTGGTTTTTTTTTTTTTTCACTGAAACCGGTTGTGCATGCTCCAAAGTACGTAGATCTGCACAGTCACATGCACGCTTGGATTAAATTGGATTGACATTTGGTTGGATAACAAAGTGGACAATACATGCACACGTAGAGCTCAAAGCTGAAACAAAAATGACGAGAAAAACAAACATCAACAAAAGGAATCAAATTGGAGTACTTTTTCTTTCTTTCGTAATCTGATCCACCACAGAAGCAGCCAACAATGTCGCCTTGCTTGAGCATCGGCTGGGGCTTGATGTTGCTTGGCATTGCCTTCCGCAGAGTCTTTGGACGAGACCTCTGCCTCTGTCGCAGTCTTAGCCCTCGATATTGCCGGTCTAATTTCAATCCTGAGCGGCCATGTCGTCATCCCCAGAAGTACCTCGCCCCTAACATAACAGCGCCAACGGCACCACCGACTGCTGCGGCAGGGCCTGCTACAGCGACCGCTGACATTGTACCAACCGACTGGAAAGTGGCGACGAGGCAACCCGCAGCAACGCCTCCGCCATTGGCAATTGCCGCTGAGGACATCATGCCAGCTGCGATCGATCCTGCAGCGATGCCACCGGTGCCAAATCCGATTGCATGTAGTAGACCCAGGCCCACCGTTGGAAGTGCAGTAACGGCGACAGCAACGCTGCCAGCAACGGTTTCGGTGGATGCCATTAAAAACGAAATCGACTGAAAATACAAGAATGGTCTCAGCACGGAAAAGATACATAATAGGGATCAAGCACTTGAATGCTGGCTTGGATGCAATAGCGAGGTACGTTTTTTTTTTCTCATGTACAACATTTTGACAACAGCAAACCATGAACAAAAAAACCAAAGAACAAAAAAACAACAAAAGAATCCGTCCAAGAAAAGTAGAAATTACTTCTTCTTGGGGTCGGCAACCTTCTTGTGGGCGTTGAGCTCTTCGGCAATCTCACGGACCTTGACAGTCATCAGTTCGACCATTTGGGACTTTTTGGTGAGAGCAGCATCGAGCGTGGTAATCTTGACGGCTTGAGCCTTGCTGAGCTCCATCAACTGGATGATGAGCTTGCGCAGAGCCTCGAGCGATGGCTGGCCAGACAGGGTCGCCTGGAGAACGGCCGAGGGATCAACGCCATCGAGCTTGATTTGCTGGAGGTGAGTCTGGACGAGCTCCATCAGGCCAAGCGTTGTGGCGTCCTGTTGGTTGCGGTAAGCAGTGGCCGAGTCCTGCGCGCGGGCCAGGGCCGAGGCATAGCCGCCGAGCAAGTCGTTAACAAGGGCATCGTGCGGGCCCAGCGAGATGAAGCCGCTCTGCGACACCTGGTACGGGGAGGGAGACGACGGGGGCAGGTCCTCGGCGGCGAGCACGCTTTGGCGCTTCTGGAGGGTATGGGCATCCGTCAGAGTCTTGAGGCGGGCCTCGAGGGCGTCGCGCTCGCCAATAATGCTGCCGTGGCGGGCAAGGGCCTCGCGGAGCATGTCGCGGTGGCGGCGGATTTCGTCAGCCTGCTTGCCAGCGGCCTCTTCTTGGGCGGCCAGCTTGGCCTCGGCTTCCTTGAGCTTGCCTTCGAGGTGGGTGGAGAAGCTTGCGCCAGAGGCAAACTTGGAGGTGACATCGTCAAGCGCGGCCTTCATCTCGGCCAGCTTTTGCTTGTTGGCCTCGCGCTCGCTGTGCAACGTCTCCTCGAGCGTCTCGCCGACAGTCTGCAGACGCTTGGCCTCGAGCTCGCCCTTGGCAATGATGGCCTCAAGCTCGGCAACCTTGGCCTTGAGGGCGTCCAGCTCGTCGAAAATGGCGGCAATCTCCTCCTCGGAAGGCAGACGGATGCCAATGTTCATGTTGAAGAGGGTGGCCGTGAAGGCCAGGTTGAGGCGGGCGTTGCCGTGCGCAATGTCCTTGGCGGTGACAAACTTGCGCGAGTTGAGCAGCTCGGCGTTCTTGAGCACCGCGGTGGCACGGCTCTCGAGGTAGTTGTCACCGTCGGCCGCCGAGAGCTTGAGGGCAGCGTCGAGCAGCTCGTGGTCGCAGCGACGGGGAGCAATCTGCTTCATGAGCACAATGTAGTTCTCGCTGTCGCTGACATCGCTGGCAAAGTTGCTGACGGTGCGCTTGTGGCCGGCGCGCTTGAGGTGGTAGTTGAACCAGCGGAGGAGAATCTTCTCGGACGACAGCTCGAGCAAGGTGGCAATGGTCTCGCCCTTCTCGAGGAGACGGATGAGCTCGGGGTGCGAGACGACGTTGACCGACTCGAGCAAGTGGTAGCGGATGAGCTGCCAGACAATGCCGAGGACGAGGTCGACGCTCTCGTTGAGAATGTCGTCCGAGCCAATGTTGACAATCTTGACGCCGTTGAGCTTCTTGCACGCCTCGAGGAAGGCATTGTTGTTGGCGGCAATGTCCCAGGCGTCGGTGGTTCCGGGCGTGGAAATGTTGTCCTTGTGCGCCTTTGCCTTGAGCTTGCCCGTGTCGATCGTGCCCGGCTTGATGGCGTTGAGCAGCTTGGCGAGCAGGAATCCGTTGTGCGACTGGTGGAAGAGCGTCTTCGGGTCGGCCAGCGGGATGACCTCGACCAGATCAGCGTCACCAGCGAGCAGGTTGTTCATGTGCTCGACGAACGCCGCGACTTCGCGCTCGGCCTGTTCCTCCTTGGTCTCGTGTGCGGGCATCTGTTTTGGTTTGTTGTTGTTGTTGTTGTTGTGTGTTTGGAATGAAAAGAATCTGAACTGTTGAGGAGCTCAACTGAAAACGAAAGCGCAAAAAAAAAAAAAAAAAAAAAAAATGAGTGAATTTCAAATACACAAAAAAATAAAATAAAATAAAAAAATGAAAAATGGAATTATTAAACTATGGAATCGAAGATGTGGAATGGACGAAAAAAACTGTGGAACTTGTGAATGGAAGATGGTTTGGAAAGTGGGGGGGGGTGCAGACAGATGTGGGGAAAAACTGCATGCAACATGGAAACAGAACGAGGATGGCAAAATGATTGTGTTTGAGCAGAAGAAAGACGAAAGAAAGAAAGAAAGAAAGAGAAGGGGATGAAAAAAAAAAAGCGAAAGAATGCGAAGAGACAAAAAAGAAAAAAAAAAACGCATTTGCCTTCCAAATAGAACGAAGGAAGGGGGGAAAATCGACACTGCGAGTGAAGCATGGACAAGCATGCGGCAGGATGGACACGCAGATGAAGCAGATAGGACGAATGAAAGAGTAGAAGAAGGGCGAGAGAGCGAGAGAGCGAGAGCAAGAGTGGCAGAGAAGAAAAAAAAAAGAGGGCACAACTGTAATTTTCAACAAACAAAAAAAACGCAGTTTCGCGTTTGCCGCAAGCGCACTCGCTCTGCCAGTGTCACTGTCGCATCAGAGCCTCTCTCTCTCTCTCTCAAAAGCATTGAAAGAACCAACCATCGTTCTGCCGTGCTGCTGCTTTATCAATCGCTTCCGATCCGATTTGTTCTGCCCTTTTTCTTTTTTTTTCTCACTGGTTTTTTTTTTTTTCCCAATCCATCGCCATCGGAAACCACAGAAAAACCACATCGAAAAAACCACAGTCGCACACAAACCCACCAAAAAGTGAACAACAGGAATTCTTACACTTGATCTTGGACAAAAAAAATAAAGAGTGGTAAAACGAACAAAACTGAAAACAGATGGAAAACAGATAACGAAAAAAAGAACAAAAAGGAGTTTGTGCTTCATCAGAAAAAATCTTGCATTCGAGCTGAACAAAACTCCCACTGCTCACAACAACCACCACAACGAAAAACAAAAACAAAAACACAAAAGAAGAAACAGCCGCACATTGCTCAACAGCATCATTCATCGGCGACCGCCACGACCGCCACGACCGCCTCGGCTGCCACCACCGCGACCACCACCGCCGCCGCCGCGACCACCGCCGCTGCCAGAACGCTTGCCAGACTTGGCATGCATGATACGAACGCGACGATCTTCGCGATCCTTCTTCTCACGCTGCTTGAGCAGCTGCGAGGTCGGTTTGAGCTCTGGGTGCGCCGACCCGCCCTTGGCCGGGCCTGGGGTGGCGCTCTTGTAGCCAGGAGTGCCCTGCATGTGCTTGAAGCGCTTGCCGACACGCTGGGGTCCGCTCGTGTCCACGCCAAAGGCGGACTTGGCGTCAAGCTCATCGCGGCCGGCAATGCCCTGCACATGGTGCTTGTTCTTCCATTCCTTGTACAAGTCCTTCTTGTAGCTGGCGGGCACCAGGGCGCCGCTCTCGGTGCGAATCATCTTGTTCTTGCCGTCGTTCGACTCGTTGGCGTTCACGCGCACAAACTTCTTCTTCTTGCGATCCCAGCGCATCAGGCTCTTGTGCGCACGCATCGTGTCGGCGTCCTCGCCGCCCAGGTCGAGCACAGCTTCAGAGGCGGCCGTCTCAAAGCCAGCGGTGCCTTCGCGCTCGCGCATCGAGTAGCCGCCCTCTTGGTGGGCATCCTTGGAGCGGTACGGAATGTAGAATTCGCGATCGCGCATGCGACCAGTGGCCGCAAGAATGGGGCGGTTGCCACCCCGACGCAACGCAGGCAAAGCGGCAAATCGGTCGTCGTCTCCTTCGCTGTGCGCTGCATTCGCACTGCTACGAATGTGCTTGACTCGAGGATCCTCATTGTCGTCATCGTCGTCGCTGTCAAAGCGCTTGGCGTGAGCCTTCTGGTCTTGCTCGTGATCAGCAGCCTCATCGTCGTCGTCGTCCGAGCCTTCGTCCGAGTCTTCGGGCTCCTCGTCAAAATCGTCACTGTCATCGCCGCTTTCGTCGTCGCTCTCGGCCACCTTGGTCTTCTTGCGAGCGTCTTGGACAGCTGGAGTGTCGGTAGTGGCAGTCCGCTTGACACCCTTGCCAACTTGTTGTCCAAACACTGCACTCAGTTCGGCATCCGTGCTCATCTCGAGCGTGCGACGCTTGGCACCGCGGGAGACGGCGTCGTCATCGGCACCATCATCCACAGCCATCGCAGCAGGCACGTTGTTGGAAGCGGCAGGCTTGCTAAACAGAGTCGCCAAGCTGGAGAATGCTTGGCGGCCTTCGCGTTTCTCGTGAAACCGGCTGATCGTGGCAGCGTGCTCCTCGCGCTTGGCAATCATGACCATCTGGTCCTTGTTGTTCTTGCCACCGGCACCAGAGGCACTGGATGAGCCGCTGTTAATCTCAAAGATGGTGCCTCGAGGCTTGAAGCTGTGAAGCTGGTCGAGCACGGTGGATCGGGCAATTTCAGCGTCATCCATCTCGTTCAAGAAGCACGGGTGGGGCGGAATGGTCCCGCTCATCATGTCCTTGGCACGCCCAACAGACTCGGCCGCAGGCAGGGGACGCGACTTTGAATAGAGCTGATAGGCGTTGGTGACCACACGCACCAGCGATTGGATGTCAAAGGAAGCGGCAATCTTTTGCTTGGACTCTTCCACAGCATCGGCCAGCAGCACGTTGGGAATGCTGCCGAGCACGGTTTCGTCTGGGGAGATGCCCGGCAGGATTTTCTGACCAGAGGGGGTTGCTCCAGACACGGTTCGTCGCTCGCCAGTGGACAGGACAAGCGGGCGGCCCAAAAAGAGATGCAAATCGAGCACATAGGGAAGTTCGTCGGGCTGGACGAGGGAATAGGCGACACCGGTTCGGCCAGCACGGGCAGCACGACCAACGCGGTGAATAAAGAGCTTGGGCTTGGCGGGGAAGTCATAGTTGATGACATTGTTGAGCAAGGGAATGTCGATACCACGAGCAGCAACATCTGTGACAACCATGACGCTCGCTTTGTTCAAGCGGAACTTTGCAAGATTAATTTTACGAGCAGCCTGGTCCATGGAACCGTAGATGGACGCCACCGACAGGCCGAAGGAGGTCAGAATCAGTGAGATAAACTCGACGTGGTGACGCGTGGCGACAAACACAATCGACTGCTCGGTCGTCGTATTGATGAGGTTGGTGAGAACGTGAATCAGCGCGCCAATCTTCTCGTCCTTGCGCACAATGAAATGCGCCAAGGAGAGATTCTCGCTAATCTTGGTGTCCACGTCGAGACGAACGAGCACTGGATCTTGGAGGCCAGCACGCGCAAAGTCCACCAACATGCGAGGAAGCGTGGCCGAGAACAAGCATGTCTGACGACCTTCGGGCAAGCGGGCCAGCAGCTCGCTCAATTGCTCGGCAAAACCCATTTCGAACAGACGATCGGCTTCGTCAAAGACCACGTACTGCACAGCCTGCAATCGCAGGTTCATTTCCATCACGACGTGCAGGAAGCGACCGGGGGTTGCAATCACAATGTCGGGGTTTTCGTGCATGGCAGCAAACTGCTGTTCAAGCGACTCACCACCGACAATCAACCGGGTGCGCAGGTTGGTGAACGAGGACAGATCGTTGCAAAACTTGTGTGTCTGCATGGCCAACTCACGCGTGGGCGACAGGATGAGTGCTCGACAGCCAGTGCCGGGAACGTGCGACTGGAGCTTTTCAAGCAACGGCACGAGGAAGGCGGCAGTTTTGCCAGAACCAGTGCGCGCCATGGCAACAACGTCCTTGCCTTCGAGCAGCAAGGGCATCGTCTTGCGCTGGATGGGCGTGGGAACCTTGTAGCCCTTCTTGCCGATCGCACGGAAAATGTTGTACGACAATCCCAGCGATTGGAAGCCGCCGGATGACTTTTTGCGATTCTGGGCTTTGGCGTTGTTGACGGCACTTTCGTCGTCGCTGCCATCCTCGTCTTGTTTGCCGCGGCTCTTTGCTTTGCTCGCTTGCTGCTTGCCCGAGCCCTTGCCTGCAGATGGGAAGGCAGGGAGGTTGGCAAACTCGTCGGTGTCCTCGTCGCTGCTGCCATCGTCCTCGTCGTCGTCGTTGCCATCCTGAGCTCTTCGCTTGCTGCCCTTGGTTGTCTTGCCAGATCGGCCATTGTCGCCGTCGCTACCGTCGTCATTATCGTCATCGTCAGCATCGCCGTAGCGCTGTTGGTTTGCGTTCGTCCACGCGTTCGGATCAAACGAGCCAAAGCCGCCATCGTCGTTCTCCGGATCCTCGTCCTCCTGCTGCTGCTGTTGGTGCTTGGATCCGCCGTTGCCCGCGAAACCAGCCGCATGTGTGTGATTGTCTTGGCGCACCTCTTCAAAGTAGCCATCGTCGTCGTCGTCATTGTGGCCGCCGTGCGACTTGCCGCCTCGACCACCGCCGCGACCGCCTCGGAATCCGCCTCGACCGCCTCGACCGCCGCCGCCTCCAGACGACGCACCTCGTCCTGCCAAGTGTGCATCAGTGCAAATGTTTAAAGTGCAATCCTGTCGAGTGAGTGACAATCACACCAAGTCACTGCCAAACTGCTCTGCCAGTGTGCGCCTTTCCACGTGGAGCAATGATGCTTCACACTGGACGCCGTTTTCCGTCCCATCGACGCCGAGACTTCCGCGAGCTCTCTCTCAACTCTTGCAGCAGTAGCATCAGATTGCAGATTGCGCCGGATGAATGGCCACTGAGATCCTTTGGAAACGAAATGGGGAGCTCTGTAACACTGACCTCTGCTGTTGCTGCTCGAGCCGGATCCGCGACCGCGACCGCCTCGGCCTCGACCACCGCCACTACTGCCGCTACCACCAAAGCTGCCGCCTCGGCTACCACCACGGCTACCACCACGGTTACTGCTGCTGGCAGCACGACCAGCGCCTCCGCCGCGCGAATTTCCACCACGCATCGTCTGAGTTGATGATGCTGTTGGAACCAAAAAGGGGAAATGGCTGGCTGACTGACTACCATTTATGAATGAAGAAGATAGTGTGGTACTACGACGATCATCAGCATCAGCAGAAAGTATTTTAATGGGCGTGTGAGCAAGAGTAGAAGCAAGATTATCCAAATCATTCACAAAACCAAGGTTCAAGCCCCATTCGGTCCCTTCGGATAGACCTTTGGTTTTGAGTGGCATCTCGTGGGTTGGACGAGCTACGACATGGAACGGACTGTTCGCTGGAAAGTAAATTTAATGCTGCCACAGCTGTGAGAATCGTGCACCCCAACGACTGGCATCAACAAGTTACGGAACGAAAACCGGGATCTTTGCTGACATTCTCCCCCCCCCTTCTTTGAATTCCCAAACGTCAATACTTGAGTCGTGAGATTGGGCCTAGCCAAAATACCCAATGATCTTATGCCGTAAACCGAGCAGGTTTTGGCCTCGCAGTTCCGCAAATAGCGCGGAGGGTGTGTTGTGATGCGATTCGTTTTATTGTGATTTTGTTGTGTTGTGGCGAGAAATGAAAAATGCCACACTCCGGAACAGAACAGTGTGAAGATTTTTCAAGAACAAACAAAAGAGACAATACCGACACTCGGCAGCACACATCCGCCAGGTCATGCGACTCTGCAAAGTCGGGGGGGAAAAGAACTCGTTGAAACAAAAACGACACCCGACTCTTTTTTGTTGTTTTTTTTTCCAGCTTTTCCCATTGACATGGACGCTGTGTCGCGCAACCCACCCCACCCTACCCCTCTCCCACCGAGTCGCTTTTCAACACTTGCACTCTGCGCTGTGTCCTGCCTCGAGCCACAAGCCCCCCCCCCCATCGAACAAACCAGCAAAACAAAAAGGCAGAAAGGCAACAAAGAGGTCACCCCAAAATGAATGTTTTTTAATTTTAATTTTCTCGCTATCAGCCTGTTTGACTTTTGCTTGCTCTGTTCCTGTCACGACGGGGATGGCGGGGTCTCGTCTCTGTTGCGAAATGGTGTGTATCTGCAGTCCTCTGCTCCCCTCTGCGCTACTCGCAAGTGCCTCAACATGCGTGTGAGAGTGGGCACAGCAAGTGGGAATTTCTCTCCCACCGCCTTTCGTTTTGATTCTCACTCTTTTTTTTTTTTTTTTTTTTTAATCGCTTGCTTTACTCGCTTTCCAGCAGCCCACTTTGCCCAGTCGCACAGCAGCTTGGAACGCACATTCACACTTACTTGTACCTGTCACCCTTGAAACAACAAGTCGTCAAACCCACGTCCACAAAGGAGTAGAAAAAGAAGCAACATATGGACGAGAGGAAACGAAAGCTGTCCGTCTCCGAGGACACACCGCAGCAGCAGGCCCTGCTTGCGCCGCAGTACCAGTACCAGTACCAGCAACAGCAACAGCCACAGCAGCAGCAACAACAGCAACAACTCAACTACGCGCCTCACTACACTGCCGCTTCACCCGCTGCCGCACAGCCCCAGCAGCCGCAGCAGCAGCCGCCCCAGGGCTATGTGCACTACTATTCACACCCTGTGCACCACGCGCCGCCACCCATGGCCGCTGGCGCGCCAATGCCCATGTACTATGGCGCGCTTTCTCCGGCAGCGCCTCTGACTGGCATCGCTCGGGTGCCGTCGCAGCAAGCACTCCCGCAACCACAGCAGCAGCCGCCGCAACCGCAGGCGCAGCAGCAGCTCCAGCTCCATCCGCAACAGCAGCCGCAGCAGCAGCCCCAGCAGCAGCAGCAGCAGCAGCAAGCGCAGCCCCAGCAGCAACAGGCGCAACCGCAGTCTGGCTCGATAGATCCTTCTCTGCTGTTGTACAACGTAAGTTTGCCCGCGGCTTCTTTCTTTTGTCCCCCATCCTCGCTTCCCGCCCCCAACCCAGCTGTCCCCCCTCACAGCTCACACACAGCCCCTGTCTGCACGCTCGCTTCGTCTGCATGGGCTCTGGCTGCCAGCGACCGCCGTTGTCAGACACCAAAAAAACAAACCGTCCGTTTTGCCTTGGCGCCAGCTTTTTTTTTTTTTTTTTTTTTTTTTTTTTTTTTTTTCTCTCGTAAACTGGTTTTGATCTATGACTCTTTCTTGGCTCTGCTGTTGCGCATTGGCTTTTGAGGGGGGGGGGTTCGCTTCTGTCGTGTCGAGCATTGCACACGAATTATCAGCAGCAAAAAAAAACATGATACTTTGTGAAAGCAAAATCCTCTGCTCGTCACGATGACAAAGACCGCGAGTTCTGGTGAAAGTTGCAATTATTGAAAAGCGACTTGAGGACTTGAGGACTTGAGTCGGGCGCGCTTCTTGCCTCTTGTACCAGCCACTAGAACATGTTCCTACTTGCGTCATTTTCCGTGTGCGTCTATCTGCGGAGCGCGAGAAGGCGTGCTTTTGGATTAATTTACGTGATCTCGGCGCTTTTTTTGTGAGGGGGGTTGCTGCTCTTTCTTTCGCTCCTCCCTGTTCGTTGCTCGTGTGTCGCAAGCCTGTGCTGTTGTCCGTTCGCTTTGCTTGCGTGTGCGTTCCACAGAGTCCGAGTGCGTGACCGCGGTCGACCGATTCCACATTTTATTTACATTTTCCCCCTTTATTTACCGTTTCGTTCGGGTGCCGTATTGTTGTGGGAGGGTGACACTTTGACCCCCTTGCTCTCTTTGACCCGGCGCTCGGCTGCACTTCCTGTCTTGCTTTACTTTTATCATTTCGCTTTTTGCTCGGATTGCATCGCGCTCTTCTCTCTTGAGCGAATCTCGGCGATCTCGTTTTTTTTTTTTTCTAAAAGCTGTTTTTTTCGTTTACATTTCGTCGAGGTCACCCATTTGCATGTCGTTGTCAACATCACCCTGCGTCACTCACTCACTTCCCCCCCCCCTTTTTTTTCAACATCTCGCCATCCATCACACCTTCGTGGAATGCTATCTGCTACTTGTGTGACCACTGGGTCGCTTTGCCAATTGACTTACATTGCTTGTTTTTGTTTGGGTTTTTTAACCATCCTACGCTGTGTCACCGTCTAGTACCAGCACATCTCTCCGGCGATGGCGCAGTATGGTCAGCCAATGGTGATGCACGCGGCACCGCAGCAACATCAAACCATGGGCCATGTGATGAGTCCGTTCTATTCCGTCCAGCAGCCTCAGCAGCAGCAACAGCAACAACTACCACTAGCCCCTTCACGATCGCCCCTGCCAACCGACGCTCAACAGCAACAGCAGCAGCAGCAGCAACAACAGCAGCAACAGCAACAACAGCCACCACAACAACAGCCACAACTCCAACCGCAACCCCAATCTCAGCCCCAGCCACAACTGCAACCATCGGCGCCCCAGCAACAACAACAGCAACTGCTCATGCCAGTACACTACCACCCCGTGCCTGCTCAGTCTCAGTCCTCGTACATGGCGCCAGCTATGCCGCCAATGCAGCAGTTGCAACCGCAAACGTACCAAATCCAGCAGCAAGCTTCGTCCCAGCACCTCATGATGCAGCCTCGCATCATCCAATCACCCCCGATGCAGCAAACGGCGTATGCAGGGAATGTGCCACCTTCGTACGTCGTCTAGTTTGTATCATTGTGATTTGATTTGCGAGTACTCACCAACGTTTTCGGGCTTGATAATTTGTTTTGTTGTTGTTGGCTTGTTGGCTTGTCCATCCACAGGCTTCAGCTCAAACCCTCACGGTACGTCTCTTTGGATTATTTGGTTGCTGCAGTGGGTTGTTGGTGTCGCCCTTGCTCATGAACTTTTTGCTTGTCCGAATTCCAAACAGTGCTGAAATGCGCACCTACTTTGAGCGTGCTGATCAAGCCAACATGTCGGTCGTTATTTTCAGCTCGCGTGTTGCGCAAAAATCTTACGGCAATGAGAAGCGGTGAGGATGCAGAACCATGCTGATTTTCTTGTGTTTGTTTGTGTTTGCTTTTGAGCAAACGCCTCTCGCTCACTTCTTCTTCTTCTGCTCTGACTACAACGCCCTGCAGATTCTTTTGCCCGCCCCCAAGTGTCTACCTCTCTGGCCAAGGCTGGAACGGTCCTGAGGGGCAAAAGCCGTCCGTTTTGATTGGAATTGAAGATTCCGGCAACGATCTCCAGCCCCTCGCCATGGAAGAGGGCTTTGGTGCTGCGAAATCCCTGTTCATTTCCGATGCAGACAAGCGAAAGAACTTTTGCATTTATGTCAAGGTACAGATTTCCAGTCGTGCTGGCGACGAGCAGGACACGTGGATGCCCAGAAAAAAAAATACTCATCGCTGCGAATGTTGATTAGATTCTTTCATACACTGGTCGAGAGTTTGGCGTATTCAAGTCAAAGCCCATCAAGGTTATTTCGAAGCCCTCCAAAAAGAAGCAAAGCTTTAAGAGCATTGAATGTATGTGCGCACGCTCGTTGGTTTTGCAGTGTTTTGAATTTTAGTGCTCACCTTCCCCGACTGCCTTCACAGCTGTAACGATCAAGTCGGGCTCTGAGGTCGCCCTGTTCAACCGCATCCGCTCCCAGACTGTCAGCACAAAGTATCTGCGAGCAGACGATAATTCTCTGGTCGCCAGCTCCAACAAGTGGGGATCGTTTGTTGTCATGTTGATTGGTAAGTTGGTTTTGTTTTTTGTTTTTTGTTTTGTTTTTTTGGTTTTGTTTTCATGTCGACTTCCCCGCCCCCCCCCTTCATCTGCGGAAATTTCTGACGCATGTTCTCACTGTATTTGCTCTGTCGCGCAGATCCACCGGCGACAAACGACGGCAGCATCCACTACGGCATGTCTGTTGTGCTCAAAGATCCAAGCAGCTCTTTGACTTCTGATGTCTTGTCGATTCGCAAGGTCGAACGCAATACCATCGTCACCAACGCTGCGTGTATGTTTGAATTCTGGTTTTGTTTGTTTGATGCTTGTCGGTGTGACTTTTTTGCATTCACTTGTACCCTCTTTTTTTTTTTTTTTGTGCAGCCGAGCCCGTCTCTCAGCTTCACAAGATCGCCCTCCAGGTTCAGTCTGCTGAGCACACCTTCCTTGCGCTCATTTCGGACGGTTTGGGTCTGGTCAAGCTAAAACCTGGGCCCTCGGGGCAATTGGACAGCATTGAAGACATGAACACTTGGACAATCATCAGCTCTGGTATGTTTGTGCCTTTGGTCTCCTCACAGAAACCATGGTCACTCATTGACGATGTTTTTTTTTCTTTCTTTTCGTTTGTTGGCAACCAGAACGTGTGCAGTATACCTTCTGCGAGCCTGCAGAGCCAATTAGTGGTCCCGTCACGCCGGTTCCGTTGGTCGAGTTTGTCAAGGTGCAAAACCGCCGCATGGTCGAAATCCATGGTGAAAACTTTGCTCCCAACTTGCGAGTGTGGTTTGACGATGTACCTGCCCAAACGCTCTACCGTTGCGAGGAGTTCTTGATGTGCACTCCGCCAACGTTTGCCGAATTCACCAACGGTGCATCCACGCATTGTCGCAAGCGCACTGTCGCGCAGCTGTCACTCGTTCGTGCAGATGGTGTTGTATTTGCGCTCGACAAGACGTTCGTGTACGAGCCCGAGCCAATGGGTCGCTGATCGTTGAAGGTGTTACATTTCTTTTTTTTGCGTTTTCTTATGACATGATTTGTATTTGACCAACCCGCTATTCATTGTAATGTACTCTCTTTTTTTTTTTCCGATTCTTGATTGTTTCGCTTTGGATACCGACACAAAGAAGCAATAGCACTCTCTTCATCTTTTTTTTTTTTTTTTCCTTCAACGCTTTCTTCATTGAGCTATGGCTGGTGAAGCCGCATCGCTCGCCGTCGGACCTGCCGACCTCGCGACCCCCACCCGCGCTCCAGCCACGTCCTCGTCGTCGTCGTCAGCAGCAGCAGCAGCAACAGTTGAGAGCACAAGCATCGAGGTTCCGGACAGTGCTGCCGCGCACTCTCCTGCCTCTGCGGGCGGTGCTGCTGAAGGAGGAAGTGGCGTGTCGTTGCACAGCACTCCGACCGGGTCGCTGGTGCCACTGTCACAGCAGTCGCCCGCGTTCACTGGTGCAAGTGCTCCAGCAGCGGCAGCAACAAGAACGGCAGCAGCAGCAGCAACGACAGCATCCCCATTGGCGTCGCCGTTGGACGGCTCGGATGCACTGCCTGCTGCGACTGAGCAACGCGAACAACAACCACAGGAACAACAGCAACAACAGCAGCAGCAACAACAGCCTCCTCCGACGCCGTCGCACTTGTCCCATCTGACAACGCGCATGCAGCTGCACGTGTCACCAAGCAGACGACAGAGCTCGCTGAGCCTGACGGAAGCGACTGCCGGTACCCAATCGCCGCGAAATGCGTCACCCGCAAACTCCGACGGCTCCCAGAACAGCCCCAGCACGGCCACCGCCACCGCCACTGCGCCCATGGGAGACCTCCCAAAGCGGCGATCGTTCTGGGGTGCGCTGACTGGAGCGCCGCAGGATGCGCTGTCGAGTACTTCTGCCGCCGCCAACTCCCTGAGGCCGAAATCCCCGCCGAATCCCAATCTGAACACTTCACGAGCGTCACTCGCTGCTGCGACCTCCACGACGGCTCTTCCGCGGGACGACGCACAAGAAGCAGTTCACGGAGCAGAGGGCAGGCCTTCATCGCTCCACTCCGCCAAGTACAGCCGATTCAACTCAGCCGCGACGGACACGGAGGGCAGCTCCGATGACTTCGACGACGACGACGACGATGATGATGATGACGACGATGCGTATGGCACGCGCGTGGATCTCCGACGAGCTGCACGCGAGTCAGCCTACGTGCAGGCAATGCGCGACGGGCGACGTACTTTTGCCTTCCGCCAGGCCATGAAGGTGAGCAGAAGCCTTCACGCGTCGGACGAGAAGGGTCTGCACAGCGCGGAAGCCCAGAAGAGGCGCGAGTCTGCCTTGCTGCAAAACCTGCCAAGGCCGTCGTCCGTCCCGCTGGCCGATCGCATTGTTGTGACCGAGGCCATTCCCAACGTGCGCGACATTGGCGGTATGGCCTCTGTCGAGTTTCCGTGCTTTGCCGTCCGTCCAGGGCAGCTCCTGCGCTCGTCTCGCCCGGACTTTGCCACCCGAAACGACGTGGCCATGCTGACCGAGCGCATCCATCTGCAAACGATCATTGACCTGCGTGGAAAGGAGGAAGGCACGGCGCAATCTGGCAGCATTGTTGGACCGCGCCTCCTCGATGCCATCTACTATGTGCCCGAAGACCACCGGTATCGTCGGCACCACCGGCAACTCTCTGGCAACAGCAATCTGCTGACTATTGCAGAAAAAGCCGGCCCTGAGCAATCCGCGACGAGGAATGAGGCTGCCATTCTTGCGCCCCAGGCCGTGTCCCGCCACATTCACGCAGACGTGATGAACGTGGTTCCTCCGCCCGGAGCACCCCTTCCCACGCCCGCCCCAAGTGCTGTCGCGGAAGGTACATCCCCGACCTGCCACGCCATTACTCTTGCGGGCGAAGAGTGCGCATCCCGTGCAAATGCCGAAACAGCGCCTTCAACTGCTGAAGGAGTCGCATCAGAATCGACTCCTGGCTCGCCCCAGCCGCGAGCTTCGGATGGAAGGCTGTCCACCAGTTCCTCGCGGCAGTCTGTCGGCGGCGGCAGCCTGTCCAACAGCTCGTCTCAGAACAGCATGGTTCGTGCGATTGGCAAAACGATGACGCTTTCCCCTCCCGCTGTGCTCCAAGCGCGAAGAATGTCGCTGATCGAAATGGAGGGCCTTGTGCGGAAAAAGTACCACATTCAGTTCATTGGCCTCGGCTTTATTCGCAACGCCGTTTGGGCGCGAGTTCCCATGCTGACCAAGGTCGGCGTTGTTGGCTTTGGCATCATGGACAAGGTGTTTAGCACAAACAACGCGCGCACGCTAGTCCTCAACTCGGTTGTCAACAAGCGCGGCATTGCCCAACAGTACGAGGATTTTGTAGATTACTGCGGCCGCAACATTGCTCGTGCGGTGGCCGTGCTCGCGCTTCCGGGAAACTTGCCTGCCCTCGTCCACTGCATGCACGGCAAGGATCGCACCGGCATTATTATTGCGATGGTGTTGGGGTTGCTCGGCGTGTCGGATGAGGACATTGCCGATGACTATGCTGCCACCGAGGAAGGACTTCGCCCGATCGAGGACCGCGTGCGGACTGAAATCTGCGGTGTGGGCTTGGCCGACGAGTTCCGCCACGCTCGCCGAGAGACAATGCTGCATCTCATGCAGTACCTGCGCTTCCGGTACGGCAGCGTCAGCGACTACCTCACCCTGCACGGCTTTGCGCTGCTCGATCAAAACCGCCTTCGCCGCAAGATGCTTGTGGACACGACGGACGTGGAGAATGCCAGCCACAAACGGCAACGTCGCGCCCAGCGCCGTGCTTCTCGCCGTGCGACCGATGTTGCCCGCGCCTCCGCGCGTGCGGTGACGCATGCCGCAGAGCAGGCTGTCCAGTCTGTCGCGTCGCCGGCCGAAAAGCCCAAGACCGAGGCCGGTGGCTTTTCCATCGAGACGGCGCTCGCGTCTGCTGCGACAAGCATGTTCTCAAGTGCAGCAAATCCGCTCGCTGTGGCTGATGGGCCAACGCAAAAGATCCTCCACCATGCTCCAGAGCAGTTTGCTGACGCTGCCCCTGCAGGCCCACGCTCTGCTCTTCATTCTGGTACAATGTCCATCCAGACTGCGCTTCGCTCTGCAGCCTTCCCAATGACTGCAGCGCTGGCTGCTGCGCCGGTCGTGGCCGACACCAATGTCCATTTCGGTGTGGTTGCTGAGCATGTTCTGGATGAGTCTGGCAGCTCCAGCAGTGAATAAGGTTTGGTGGTTGGTGTTGTTGTTGTTGAACTAAGGTTTTTTGTTGTTGTAGTTGAACGAAGTTTGGGTCGAGTTTTTGTCGTTATGGTGTTGTTCGAGTGCTTTGGATTGGAACAAAGAAAAACATCGGTAGAAAAACAGACAAGTGTATTATTATGATGCAATGTACATGCGGTGCGGTGCGAAACAGAAAGGAGGAGGAACCGAAAAAAAATGCAAACAAAAAAAAGGGGGGTCCGGATTTTTGTTCCATTCACATGCGATTTCAAAAGCACGCAGCAAAAGGTATGGCACGCTCAGAAACGGTGCGAAAGGAGGGCGTGCACAATCGCATTCAGCTGATAGTGGTGCTGGGCAGCGAGACGCAGGTTCAGATCGGTGTCGATAAAGCCCATCTCGAACAGCTGCACGAGCACAGCGTCTTCGGGACGGATCGGCTGAGGAACCGGGGCGGGAGCAGGAGCAGGAGCGGGAGCAGGGGCAGCGACTGGAGCAGGCTGAGAAACGGCAGTCAGGTGAGGGGGCAGCTGGGGCGACGAAGAAACGTAAGGAGAGAACACGGGCGAGTTGGAAGGGAGCTGGACTTGCTCGGGCGCGTTCATGCTGAGGCGCAGCTGCGAAAGGTCTTCTTCGTCGTTGTCGTAGTTGCCATCGTCGTTGTCGTCGTCGTTGTCGTCGTCGTCATGGTCGTGGTCGCCATCAGCTTCATCGTCGCCATTGTCGTTGCTGCCGGGCAGAACAACAAAGCCGTCATCATCGCTCGCGACCGAAGGAGTGGTGGCAGCAGATGCAACGGGAAGAGGAGCGGGCACAGGGATCAAGGGCGCAGGCAGCGAGCGGGGAATTTCAGCGACGGGAGCCTTGACGGAGGCGGGAGCAGCAACGGCGGCAGCGGGAGGCGCGATCGGTTGAACGGGAGCGGGGGTCACGAGCACATCGCACCAGAGGTTGTCGCCAAAGCGCTGCGCGGGCTCGCCATGCGCGAGGTGGAAGTAGGCAGCACGACGACCAGCGACAGCGGGGGCAACCAGCTTGACGCCGACCACGACAAAGGCACCAGGAGCAACGCCGCCCAGGTTCTGGACTGGCGCGTTCGGGGCGCAGCGCAGCGCGGCCGAAATGCTGGTCGCCTCGACAATGCGAGTGCCCTCGGGCCAAGCCTCAGTGCCAGTGTTCTTGAGACGCCAGAACTTGTCAAACTCGCTGTTGGCCACCACGGCAGAGCCGTCCTGCAGGTTGACATCGTCGACAAAGGTCATGTTCATGATGGGCAGCTGGACAGGCTCGGGGGCGCGGGCAGAGGTCACACACACGGACGAGGGCGAGATGGCGGGAGCGGGAACGGGAACGGGAACGGGAAGGGGAGCGGCAGCAACAACAGCCGGGGTCGTCGACGTCGGAGTTGCAGCGTTGGAAACGTTGGCAACGGGAGCAGGAGTGAAGGTGGGCAGGGCGCCATTGGCCACGGCAACAAACGCCTGCGTGGCGGCCTCGCGTTCCTTCTGAGCAAGATACGGGCACTGGCGTTGGCCAGTCTGGGGATGACTCGCTTGCTGCTGCTGCTGCTGCTGCTGCTGATGCTGGTGGTGGTGGTGGCGATGGTGGCCATGGCCATGACCATGTCCGTGATGAGAACGGTGGCCGTGCACGTGAGCGTTCTGAGACTCGAGGTCGCTGTCGGTCGCGTACTCGCTCACGAGCGGGGGCAGCAGCGGCTCCTGGGTCGACAGCTGACGGCCAACAATGGGGTGGCGAATCTTGATGAACAGATGGGTCGGGTCGTGCGCGACCGTGCCTTCGCAAGCGGCGCACAGGTCAAAGTCTGAGCAGTGTCCGCACTTGTAGCGAATGCCACGAATGGCACTCCGGCAGCCGTCGCACTGCACGCGCGGGTGGAGCGCACCTGTAACAGATATTCATCCATGGGGGTTGAGTGCAATTGGCTCAAAAGTTGAATCAAAGACACAGAAAACGAAAAAAAAAAAAAACGGAAAAAAAAAAAACAGTTTAAAAAAATGGATGAAAAAGGAAATTGAAAACAAAAAACTGGTGACGGAAAATCCAAAGTCAAGAAAAACAAAGCAAAACAAGGGCAAAATAGTGGAAATTCGTATGGTTTCGAATCAAAATAAACCGATACCGAAAGTCGCTCCGAAAGCGATTTTGTTTACCAAATAAAAAGAAAAGAAACGAAAAAAAAACGCTTCACGTTCATCATCGATTTCGAATTGGTCTTTTGCTTTGTATTTTTTTGTCTCTCTTTTTGTTTTGAGCTCAAACGCTGCGATAATTGTGTTTACCTGCATTCGTGGCGGAAGCGGTCGTTGTGGCGGCGGCGGCGGCGGTGGTGGTGGAGGCGGAAGGGACGGCGGCAGAGACAGCGGCAAGGACGCCGCGCACAATGGCGGGCACGGCAAGCGCTACAATCTCGCTCGCGGTCGCGCTGGCACTCTGGGTGTCCGCAGCCACGGCGCCCGTGGTCGTGGTGGTCGTCGCAGCCGCCTTGTTTTGGGGGGAGGCCGAGGCCGAGGTCGAGGTCGAGGTCGAGGACGAGCAGAAGGAAGCAGCTGAGGCTGATGACGTGAGCTTTGGCGAGACGGGACCGCTGTTGCTGCTGACGCTGCTGCCGCTGCCCGCCGAGCCGTCCTGGGGCTGCTGCGAATGCTGGTGGCTGCACGCCGGCGCAGGGTTGGGGTTGACGGCGGCGGCCACGGCTGAGGCGGCGGCGGCCACGAGGGACGCGAGCGCGGGCAGCGGCGACACCAATGCCGACGACGACGATGACGACATGTCAGAGCACAATTGCTGAGCCTGCGCCTGAGCCTGCTGCTGCTGCTGCTGGTGGGGAGCGACAACCACAAGCTTAATCACACGGTTGCCGACAACGTCGCGGCCGGCGCGGTTGATGGCGGCCTCGAGCTGCGCGTCGGTCGACAGCGCGCCAAGCTCAGGATAGTCGGCCTCGGTAATCACAAGCGACTCCACGTTGCTGCGCTGGTAGAAGAAGCCGATGCGCGCGCGCAGAGATGCAAGGGGTGCAGTCGTGGGGGGCTGGAACGTGAAGCGACGAAAGTCCAGGCCAAAGCGTGCCTTCACGGTGATTTCGCCGGGCATTGTTTGCTGAAGTTTGAGAGTGAACGTCGAACGACCCGACAGCAACAACCAAAAAAGAGTGACTTGTTTCCAGAATTGATTTGTGATGAAATAAGTAGTTTTTTTTTTCGCCAAGCTGTTTCTGGAAAACAACAAGCAAGCAAGCAAAAGACGAAAAAGCCGGATATGCTGTGTGCCAAGACGTCTCAGGTTTGTTGTGCGACAGATGTGCTGTGTTGTGGTGCTGCGTCGTGGATGCGATTTGTCCTTGGTTGGATCTGCATGGGTGCTGCGATGATTTTTGGTGAACGAGGGAATTGGTAGAATCGATTTCGAGAGTTTCGGAACAGAGTTTCGAGAAGCGTTTTGTGCTCGGAGTACTGTTCCGTTCTGTACTTTGGCTGCAGGCTCGTCCGCCGGATGCGCTTGTTTGTTGATTCAGTCTGCATGTGCGCTGCAGCGATTTTGGTGAATGAGGGAAGCGGGAGAGATCGACTTTGCGAGTCTCGGCACAATTTCGAGCAAGCTTGACGCTTTTCGGAGCAACCGTTTTGGCTGTATTACTCTGCGTGCCGATCGGAGCAGACGTGTAAGCTGCATAGCACCTTGTTCGCTGTTGGCTGTTTGCTTTTATTTATGCTGCTTGTCTGAGTCTGGGTGTTATGGGAATGCAATCGTGCTCCATCTCAGAGTTGCCGGACTTCCAGCAAACTCTAGCTCCTGTTCGCCCTTCTTTGATCGTTTGTGTGGCCAGGATTTTCAAAATGTCACCTGTTGCGTCTGTGCACTAGCTCAATACATAAAAGCACTTTCCTATGAAACTAGAAGTTTCAACTCTGGTTGCAAACCTGACAAACAGCTCAATTGCGGTCAAGAAGAAGCTGCGGAATCCCTCTATTGCGTGTATGGCAAGCTCTCTTTGTGTTTGTGATATGCCAGCTATCATTGTTTGCCAGGGAGGAGTTGCTCTGCTGCGATCGCCATCCGAGACAAACGATCCGCCGCAAATCGTTAGTTTCCAGTCGGCCCTTAACGCCAATTAACCTACCCTGTTTTACCACTGCTCCCAGACGAAATCCAACCATCACTCGTTGTAGCAAATGTCGACAAAATCATTCCGTGGAAATGGCATGGAGCTGAAGCCATGTGGTCATCCTGATTCAGCTTAACAAAACACGCTGAAACTTTGTCGTGCAATAATTCGGTAACTACACGTCTACGCCTAGCAACGGCGACGGAAAAGCACAAATAATGATATTTGTCATATAGGGATGTTAACGCTTGCGGAAGTGATGGCGCCAAGTTGACAATGCGCACCAGACAAAAGTCGGCGTTGAACAAGTAGTTGGCGTTCTTCTCGATCCCTGTTTTCATCGATTTTCTGCCCCCGATCACGCTGTATGTCAATAAAGTGCAAAAAGCGAAAGCACTCCAATAGACCGGCAGTTCGATTGGAACGACCAAAACAAAAATGCTCTCAAGGAACGACGAAATGCGAAAAAAAAAAAATCGAGCAAAAACAAAAAAATGGACTTGAACGGAGTCGAACCGCTGACCTCATCGATGCTAACGATGCGCTCTACCAAATGAGCTACAAGCCCTTAGATGCATGTGCTGGTGGGCAGATTCCTAGTCGATTTATGACAAGAAGCAAGTCAAACACTTTGCAGATTGTTTGTGCTATTCTGCGAGACACTGTTGATCCAATTCACCAAAAAACCCTCTCTTGCACAAATCACACAAAACAAAACCATCACCAGAAAACGACCAACAATTGCCGCTCTCGCTTCAGCTTCGTCGCACACTCTTTTTTTTTTTGAATCCCATCCAGTTTTCACGCGAAATCCATGTCTGTCCCTTCCGTCGGTGACGCATCGCTCGATCAACTCGTGCAGCAGTGGCTGTCGCTTGACCAGGTCCGTCGATGAGTGCACCTGCTTGATCGACTTGTGTGTGCTGCATTCAATGCCAAACAGTTCACTCACTCGCCGATCTGAACACCATTGCTGCGCCGCAGAACCCCAAGACGCGCAAGGAAATCACCGATCTCGTCGAGGCCGGCAACAAGGCCGAGCTGCACACCCGCCTCGACGCCCGGATGGAGTTTGGCACTGCTGGTGAGTAAGGAGCGGGTCATCACTCGACGAGCATCCTCGCACCTTAGCGCCAAAGCACGGGCCTGGCTGTGCGCAAATGCTCGATCGAGTTGTGTACAGGATGCAGAGTGCATTCTCCGAGGTTTGCTGAGGGATTGCTCAACGCTGCATGGCCTCGTTCTCATTCTAGGTCTGCGCGCTGCGATGGCCGCTGGATACTCGCGCATGAACGATGTCACCATCATCCAAACTGCTCAGGTATTGACAGATCTCGATGTCAATGAAGGAAGTTGGCACGGGTTTCTTGAGGGAAGTTGGGACGAGCTTTCTGCTGACAAACAACGCTTCACTTTTTTCCATGTTCAGGGTTTTGCTCGATATGTCGAGGACGTCCAGCCCGATGCCAAGTCCATGGGTGTGGCCATCGGCTATGACGCTCGCCACAACTCGCAGCGATGGGCTCAGTTGTCTGCTCTCGCGCTCGTGGCTCGTGGAATCAAAGTCTACCTGTTCAGCGCCATCTGCCCGACCCCGTTTGTTGTAAGATGGCTCTTGTTTTGTTAGCCTCCGGTTTTCTGGCACACAGTCATCCAGGTACTTTCCAAAGGGTTTATAATCATCGCCACTCACAATTGTTTTTCGACGATTTTTCGGCGTTGGGAACGTATCGCAGCCGTTTGCCGTGTGCAAGTACAAGACAGCGGCTGGTGTGATGGTCACGGCCTCGCACAACCCGAAGAACGACAATGGGTACAAGGTGTACTGGGGCAACGGTGCTCAGGTAGGAGGTCGCCGCTCGTGCGAATTGGGTGATTGTTTTTGACTTTTTCGCCGCGCCCTGTTCCCGCCCTCAGATCATCTCCCCGCACGACAAGGGCATTGCCTCGCACATCGAGGAGAACCTGCAGCCCTGGCCGACGGCATGGGATGTGAGCGCGCTCGAGTCGAACGATGCTTTCCGAGCTCTCGTGGTCGATCCTCTCGCCGAAGTGACAGCGTCGTACATGGACGCCATCCGCGAGCACTCCATTGAAGGGTATGGACTGTTGAACAATCATCGTATGATCATGGTTTGACAGCGCTGAATCTCTGACGGAAACTGACTTCCATTTGACTCTGTCAGCTCGCCTCGCGATGCGATCAAGATCACGTACACTGCCATGCACGGAGTCGGTCTTGAGTTTGCCATGAAGGCCTATGAAACCTTTGGACTGCCTCCTTTCGTTCAGGTGGCGGAGCAGGTGAGTTTCCGGAGTTTCGTCCTCAAACCCGTTGGTATTTTTGCGGCTGAACGCCTCTTGCTGCGCTGTGTAGGTTCATCCTGATCCTGAATTCCCGACTGTCAAGTTCCCCAACCCCGAAGAGGGCAAGAGCGCGTTGGTATGGCATGATTGATTGACTTTATCTCACATTTCCGTCCACTCTCACGCTCACGCTCACTTCTGACATCTTGCTGCTTGTTCTCCCGGCTAGGACCTGTCGATTCGCACCGCCAATGCAAACGACAGCCCCGTGATTGTTGCCAACGATCCCGACGCCGACCGTCTGGCAGTGGCGGAGCGTCGTCCCGAGTAAGTGCAAAACGACGATTTCGCATGATGAAACCACAACCTGACTCCAAACTGACCATCACACGTGCTGCAAACAACAGCGGATCGTGGAAGATTTTCACCGGAAACGAGATTGCAACGATCTTTGCTGGCTGGTTGCTCCAGCAGTATCTCAAGACGCATGCCGACGCTAGTAAGTGGCCGTTTTCTGTATCTGTCACAGATCTGGTAAATCGTGTCTTACCGTGGTTTCGTCGCACACTGTGACCAAATTTCCCTAGAGAACGCGGCTTGTGTGGCCAGTACCGTCTCATCCAAGTTCCTCAAACGGATGGCGGAAGTCGAGGGCTGTTATTTCGAAGAAACTCTGACGGGCTTCAAGTGGATTGGCAACAAAGTGATTGAACTGCACGCCGCTGGCCGTGATATCATCATGTCCTTTGAGGAGGCCATTGGTAAGTTGGGCAGAACATGAAAACAACCGATCAATTGTCAAAAAAAAAAAATAACCAGCTTCTGACCCCTCGGCACCTCACCCTGCTTGACCAGGCTTCTCCGTGGGCACTGTCGTGTTTGACAAAGACGGCGTGTGCGCATCTGCAGTCATGGGCCTTATCGCCAACGACCTCTACAGCCGCGGCAGCACCCTGATGCAGCAGCTCGAGGCCTTGTACCTGAAGTACGGCTACTTTGCGAGCTTGAACTCGTACTATCTGTGCTACTCGCAGCCCACCATCCAGAAAATCTTCCAACGCATTCGCAAAGACGAGCAGGTCAGTGCGCTGGCCTTCGAGAACCTTCGAGAACCGTCCGCTCAAACATGACTTGTTGACTTTCTGTTGTGGTTTTTTTTTTGTTTGACTTTCCTCTGCAGTACCCAACCTCCTGCGGTGGCGTGGCCATTCGCCACGTGCGTGACCTTACCACTGGATATGACAACTCCAAGCCCGGAAACAAGGTGAGACATCTGAATGTCCATGGTGCCTAGAAAAAAAGCACTGACGCGTGTGCCAATTCATGCAGGCTACGCTTCCCACCTCGTCCTCGAGCCAAATGGTTACGTTTACGTTTGAAAACGGCGCTGTCATTACCATCCGTACCAGCGGTACCGAGCCCAAGATCAAGTACTACACTGAGCTCCGTGGCGACGCAAGCAGCGTGTAAGATGTCGGCCGTTTCTGTCGCGCAACGACAATCCCAAAGCACTGCAAGCGCTGATGACTGTATCTCATGGTGTTGACTTCGGCTCGGTTTGTCAGGGAGGACTTTGCCAAGGTTGAACAGGACCTCAAAGCGCTTGTCGAGGCCGTTGTCAAGGACATGCTGCAGCCCGAGGAGAACGGGCTGATTCCCAAGAGCGACTAACAAACTGCTTGATCTGAACATGGTTCTCAAAGCGACAACGTGCTCGTCGGCAAATATTGTAGTTTGATTTGGAATATCGGTTGTCATTTGTTTCAGGCATCTTAAAAAAGCACGAGCATTTTTTCTTTTAAAAACAGAAGTTTCAGCAGTCATGTATCTACAGGAACATTTCGGTCGCGACCTTTTCTCGAAACTCCGCCGGCGACTGCGGAAGAATCTTGTGGTTGAGAACAGAGTCTGGGGAGGCGACATGTCAGTTCATAATCAGAAAAACAAAACCAAAAACTAGGCCGTTCCTTACCCAACAACCAAGCCTCTTTGAGATGGACGCATTTCGAGGGAATACGAGCAGAGGTCGGTCCGATGCAAGCAGAAGCATCTTCGAGTTTGTCCACCACCTGTCATGTTTGGATAAAAACACCCAATCAAGACACAATGCAGGAAATAACATTAAAATGAGAACAGGGACACAACAGCATGTGCAACCCGTTAAACACTCACCTCGCCGCCTCCAAGAGAAACAATGGCGGCCAGCTCCTTGCGGGGAGGGTTGCACTCGATGGAGATGAACGCTCGCAGCCCTTGAAACAATCGCGGTTCGGGTTCACCTTCCTCGTCGTGAGTTGTGGACTGTTCGAGGCGGTAGACTGGCGCAAACTCAAAGGCGCGCTCCATCTCGAAGGGCTCTTCGGAAATCCACGAGCCGGCCTCAATGGACTGCAAAACCCAGTCAGGGCTCACAATCCAGCACCCAGCCACCAGACCCTTGTACACGGCGAGTGTTCGTCGGGCTTCACCCACCACAACGTGCGTTGTGTCAAAGCGCACATCATCAGTCAGCTCGTACACTCCGAGGTGAGCGATGCCAGCCTCGATTGTGTCGCGGATTCTGTTCATTCATCGAGTACCACAAAATGGGTTGCAAATTAAAACCCAAAGCGCAGTGCAAAGGCATCCCCCCATTCCAAAAACCCTTTTTGCGTCTTACTCTTGATCCAGGCTGGTCAGAGCAATGCTGTGCTCCAGACGAGGTCGGCGAACATTGGCAGGAGAAAGCTGGGGCTGAGTTCGTTTGCTCGGAGAGACATGTTCAACCTCGTCCGATTCGACAATAGAGCTCTTGGAGGCAGCCTTTCGCCGAGGCGTGCCACGCGCAGACACGCCAACTGGAGAGATTGAGCTTGCTGGCTCAGCGGGGACTTCGTCAGCTTGAGATTCAGCAGCGGAGGCGGCTCGGGCGCGTGCCGCTACCGCTTTCTTTGAGTCTCCGCTGTCGGGGGTTGTTTGCATCTGCGTCTGCTTTCGCGCCCGCTGAGCGGTACGAGGGGACGAGCCAGATGTAGAGGCCTCCGCAGCTGCTGGGGACTCGACCACTTTGATCGGGGGTTTGACACCTGTTGTTGGCGTCTGCTGCACGTCATCCACTTGCATTGGAGAAGCGGTAGACGGGACACTCGTCTTGTCCGCAACGACAGGAGCATCAGCAAAGGTCACAGAACCCTTGGGCTTTCGACCGCGGGGGCTTTTGCTCGGAGTATCGTCACCAAAGGCGGGCTGGGGTGCGACCTCCTCGTTTGCGCCGTCGCTTGTGCTATTGATGGGTACCGGTGATGGTTGCTCTGCAACAGCGTTTGTAGGAGCTGCCTTGCCACGGCCTCGACCACGCTTTGGAGGGGTGGCAAGCTTGCTCGACTCTGCGGGATCGTTGTTCTCCTGGTCGCCGACTTTCTCCACTTGCTCCTCTTGACCACGCACTTGTGCAATGCTCTGCGGGGCATCGTCGAGAGCATCCAGGACTGTGACAACTCGAAGCGAAGTAAGCGCTGCTGCTGCGGTCTTGGAGCTGGAGGGAGCGCTCGGTGGGGTTGATTCGTCGCTCGGTGGGGTTGATTCGTCGCTCGGTTGACCAGGAGCGGAGGCAGCGTTGCTCGTCGGTGGCATTGTCGCATTGGAAACTGCCGTTTTGGTTCCAGCGAGGTGGGCGGCGTCAGGTGCACGGTACTGGTCCGTGTCGGCGACCAAGTTACCCGACTCGCAAGCATACACCCACTCTGGTGTGACGACGGGAATTGCGTTTTCTGTAGCTTGCCTCAGCCAGCCCTTTTGCCCAGAGCGGAAAACGAGATGGGTCGTTTGGCCGACGATGACACGCGGGGTAATCTTTGCGCCGAGGTTTCCGAGGATGATTTGCAAACGATCGCTCTCGTCTTCCGCATCTTCGTTTTCGGCTGCGCCTGCAGCATCCACGACAGAGACTGCCGCAGCAACATGTTCCAGTGGCTTGGCGGAGGAACCACCAGCGCCAGGACTTTGCACGAGCGCATCAAAGGCAAGAGCTGCGCTGGACACGGGTGTCCGCCCTTTGGCAGAGCCGTACGTGTTCTGAACCGCCTTTGCTGGGCTGCCAAACACCTCGCGCGTCGCGTCTGGTTGTATGCGAAATGTCGCCAATCCCAAATGAGGAGAATGTTTCACGGCAACAACAACAACAACAAAAAAAAAAAGGTGAGACATGCTGCCACAAGAGCAATCTCAACCAAAAAGGCGAAAACTAACTCCATACCGGATGGTGGTGCATCGTCCTCGGCGGCTGGCTTTGTCGGCGTTGCCGGTTCCGCGCGAGCTGCAGCTGGCAGACGCGTTGGCTTTGGCTGCTTGCCTGTGCATGTTTCAACGTGTGCAGAGAACGCAGCCCGATCGAGGTGGCCCATCTTCTGGTGGCAGCGCTTGCACTCCTGTCACAAATGGTTGGGTTTTTGAATGACAATGGTTGGTTTCAGTGAGCGACCGACAACAAAAAGTGAAAGTCAAACGTGCACGCAAACAACGCGCAAGCAAAGGGCGTTCGAGTTTTGAGTTTGAGTCGAAACAGCGCCGCGACTCGAGACCAGAGCAGCAGTTGACGCCATGCGTGACTGCATGGGATGCGTAGACGTCATTGCTTTCGATGCATTCACACACGGAGCAAGAAACAGCCAAACCGAGCAGCGAGAGAGAGGGAGAGGGAGAACGATAAACCTTTTTTTTTTTTTTTTTTTGGCGGGAAAAATCAAGATGCACTTGTTTCACTTTTGCCGCCAAAGCGAGAAGCGCAAAGTGGTGCAGCCGCGGGTGTCGCGGCGTGGGCATGCTGACACGGCAGACGATAGCGAGCAAATGGCAATCAGGTGGCGTGGGGTGGGGGAAGGGGGTGAGCGGGAAGGCGGGAGGAGAAGGAAGCAAGTGTGAGCGAGTCCTTCTTTGCTCGGTGTTCAGTTTGCACAGACACACAGCGCGCCCCGTACTGCATGCGTCAAACAAAAGCAGGCATGGCACTATCGCTTTGATGCAGAAGAGGGATTCGAACGGAGGGCGACTTGCCTGCTGGACCGCGGAGCGGCGGCTCAGTGCTCGACTCTCCATCTGGGGTTGTTGCAAAAAGACTGAGTTAAACTGTGTGCGTTTTAATACCAACAAACGCATTACAGTAGCATTACATGCAAGAAATCGCGCGGATTACTGAGCTAGCAGCTGGCGATTCCAAACCGAGTCGAACTGGACCAAAGCTTTCAAGCTTTCAACGTTTTTTGTTTCCCAGAATTGCTGTGATTGTGCCGATCAGCTGGAGTGTGCTGTACTGTAGCGTTTCACCCATTGGAATGACACACTATTTGTGAGATTCAATCACTCGTCTTTCTCATTTGCTTTCGGTCGTTGACAAGTCGGGGTCGAAAACAATGTCGCTCCAAGCACTCGGAGCAGTGCTGTTCCTCGTGCTGACCGTCCTCGTCGCAGTCAAGCTGGACAGTCCCGATCGCATGTCATGGCCGATAGCGTTCATCCCCTGCTGGATATTCGATGGCGTCGCTTGCATCCTGTGCGTCCGGATGCGCAGACGGCGGCGCAACCACTCCATCCCAGCCAAGCAGCTCGCTCTGCGCGCGGGCTTTCTCGCCTTGATGATTGCGTTCCAAGTCCTGCTTGTTCTGCGACTGGAAGGGCTGCTGACTGTTCGGTGGATTGCCGTCCTGGCGCCGCTGCTCGCCTTCGAGCTGCTGTTCGCAGGAACGTCTGTGCTTTACATTCATCACAACCGCCCGTACTGAGACCCAGATCCCTTTCGACAGACTTTCAGCAACTGGTTCAGAAAAAAAAAAACAAGGCTTTCTATTGCAAGAAGTTGGTCCCGCCAAGAAGCAGAAGCGACAAGTACAACGAGCCAAGGAAACAAGGAGGAAAATCGAAAAAAATCTCAACAAGACATCAGAACATTCACATCTAAAAGGGGATGAGGAAGAAGAAGAAGCAGAAGAAGCAGAAGAAGAAGAAAAAAAACTAATGGGCAATAACATCAGCAATACCGGATCAAGCAATAGCGACTTGGAAAACAAGCATGAAGCCTTGCTTTTGGCCGAGCAGAGTTGGTTTCGGAATTGTGTTTTTTTGTTTTGTTGTTTTTTGGTGTTGTTTGATTTTTGATTGGTTTTGTTTGTGCAAAAATCGATGATTGAGACCGAGCGCCACACGTCATGCACGACGAATGAAACGCCAAAATGGCTCGAGCAGACGACTATGGTTCGTTGATGTCGTCGAAGGCTCCAAAGTCGTAAAGATTCGAAATACCCTCCGACTCGTCCAGATTGAACAGGTAGTCGTCGGTAGAAAATCCTGTTGGATTGATGGGAATCAGACCGTCAAAGCCAAAGGGGGTGCGAATAAGAGCGTCACCCAGCTGCTGCGTGGCTTGCGCGTCAAAGTTGTCATCGTCCCAGGAGGCGGCTGCTCGCTCAGTATCGAGCATGGGCATAAGATCAGCCGCAGATGCTGCATCAGCCGCTTCAGACGATGCCTTGTCGACAGCGGCGTCGGCGTGTGTGCCATTGGTGGCCGGAGGAGCAGCGGCGCTGGAAGAGCTTGCTCCGCTTGCTCCACGAGTGCGATTGCCGCGTGGTGAGTTGAAGGCAGTGGGTGCTGCAACGCCAAATGCAGGCTCATGCTTTTGCGCTGGTGCAGAGGACGACGATTTGGGAGCTGCGCTGCTGGACGTTGGTGGCGGAGCCGACGATTCCGAAACCATCGCTTGGGTGTCGTCGTCCGGCACAACATCGTGATTTCGACTAACGAGGAATACATCAATCTGTCCGTCATTGCTTTTGAGCAGGATTTGGTATCGCCTTTGGCCGGCAGCCATTCCCTGGGAGATGGAGAGAAAGAAAGAAAGAAAGAGAGGAGAAGCAGCAGATGTGAGCTCTTGGTCGAAATGAGCAAAATACTGTTTTGCACCTACCATGTCGGGATCAGGAACCTCCAATCGCGTGCCTTGTGGGGCTTTGACTGCTATCAACGTTTTGTTCCGGAAGCTTTCAATATTTCGAATATCTTCGTGTGTTACGTAGGCCAGCTGGACGTTGTGCTCCTGCGAGGCTAGCCTTCTAAGATTGTCTTGCATGAGTCGCATGTGGTCTTCGAGCGCCTTGTCTTGTGCTTCGAGCGCAGCAATGTCCTCGCGCAATTGGTCGGCCTGGGCGCTCATTGCGTCGCTATTCCCACTACTACTGGAGCCTCTGTAGGAAAGACAATCCAAGCAAACAAGCAAACAACCATAAAAAAAAAAAAAATGAGCATTCAGCGTGATGACAACCACACGAGAGAAAGCCATCAAGGGGGGGGGGCGAAAAAAGAGAGCAAAAAAACAAAAAAGCCACGTACTTCCACTGGATGTTGTTTTTTGATCGCTTTTCGAGCAAACCGATGCCTTCGAGAACATTGGTAATATCGTATATGCGTCGCTTTTGTACACCCAACATGTTGGCGGCCACGTTGAGGTCGAGGACCCCACCAGGTGCGTTTGTCATGAGGTCGACAAACTTGCGCGTCAGTATTCCGAGCGACGTGTCGAATCGACCACTTGTGGGTCCGTCAACTGGAAATTGGGTAATGTCAGATGCACGCACGCGCACATGGAGCCAGACGCGAATGGGCAAGATTGCAGAACAGGGCAGATGGGCAAAGACAAAGTTAGCCGCGCTTTTTCGAACGTACGCACGCACGGACCATCAACCCAATCTCTTACAATCTTCCGTGGGTGAATCACGTCCGATCTTGCGGCGTGCAGATTTTGGCGTCGAGTCGGCCGCAACGCGCGACGGCGACCCAGCGGCGGCAAGTGCAGCCGAGACAGGCGACGCCAGCCCGCCGTGGTGACTTGGCGTGCGTGGCGATGCTGCTGCCGCAGGCGAGCCAACATGTGTTTGTCGCATATAGTCACGCCCAGGCGACGAAGCACCCTGCGATCGCTCTGGTTCGCCCTCTTGCAAATCTAGTCGTCGCTTGGCCTGCGAACGAGGGCAATCGAGACAACAAAAAAAAAAAGTGAAGATTGGTTTCCACAAGAGACGGGGGATGGTTGAAGGTCAGTGCGATGGTAACAACGTCAACAACGACAACAGCAGCACAACACATGCACAATGCGCTCAGTGCAAGTGCAAGGGGCAAGAGCAAGAGCTAGACTGTGGGCGTTGACTGTGTGTGCGTTCACCACGGCACGTGGAAAAGGCCGCGTCCATAGGGCACTTCCACCATCCAAAACAATCAAGCACCAGATCAAAGTACAAGACGCGCTCTTTGACCAGTGCACGCTCAGAAAACGCCAAACAACCAGCAAACGCGACGAAGAGTTGATCTTTGACCGAGATTTTTTTTGCTCGTTTTTTGCTCGTTTTTTTTTTTTTTTTTTTTGAGAGAGACATTGGGAAGTCGCTGTCTGCGCGTTGCGCTGCCTTTTGCCTTCCAAGAGCCAACCCACGTCTGACTTTGCTTGCGCATGGACGCTGGGCGGGTGCCGCCACCGACGAACGCCACGAAACGCAGCAGCAGAATTTTTGCTTGGAGAAGAGCGTCATTCAACTTTGAAAAAAAAAAAAAAAAAAAGATCTCCAAAAAATCCCCTCTTCGCGGCAAATCGATGAGAATCGGGCCGCAGTGCCGCAATAGCTGCGTCGTGGGGCGCCCCGCGGCATGCGGTGGGCCGTGCGCCGTTGCGAGTACCACGCACCACCCCGCGGCGCACGCACAGACGCCGACAGCGGAGCAGTCGCGCGGTGATGCAGCCAAGCCCAGCCGAATGAAGGAAGCTCAGTTTGAAGTTTGACGTGCGGCATTTATGCATCCTTTTTTTTTTTTTTTTTTTTTAAAAAATGACACCCCAATCGGCCGCAATGCAAAGCTGCTCACACGCTCAAGCCGCAGGCCGAGCATGCCCACAATCCGCAAGAACGAATCATGGCAAGCAGCTCGCCGCAAAGCCGACGCCGGAAGCGAGTCAAAGCCATCCAGGGCAAGAAAGGAAGTCAGGGGCGATGAAAAACGAGAATGCGTCGCGCTGGTGCTTCGTCCTCCGCCGCAGCGCCAGCCGACTCGCTGATCCACGGCGGTGCGCTGAAATAGTCGAGCGTATGCAGCTGCCAACACGCCTGCACCAAGAGGCGGCGCCATCGTGCACGCGCACGGCCAAGCGCCGCGTCGGTGCGCTTTGGCGCGGAAACCTCGGTTTTGCCGCCAACCCATTGAAGTGCAATCGAGCCGCGGCTGCGAGTTCCCCCCCTCCTGCCTCCTTCTCCTCCCCGTTCTTCACTGCACCCCTCCATGCTGCAGCAGCAAGCGAATGCGATGGCCTGGGTGTCGCTTACATTCACATGCACGCCCGGTGGCGGATGCGACGATTGATTTGACATGAGAAAGAGAAAACAAACGAAAAAAAAAAAAAAAAATAACAAACAAAACGAACGAAAAAAAAAAAAAAAAAAATCAACAAAAGCAATGAATGAAAATGAAGCGAAAAAAAAAAAAAAAAAAAAAAAATGGGTTTTCAAAAATACGAAAAAAAAAGAGGGAAAATTTTAAAAAAATGACTGTCAAAAAAAAAGTCAGCGTTTTTTTTTTTATCCATCAATTTGGCAGATGTTCAGGGAAGATATTCGAACAAGAAGCCACACGTTGAATCGCAAAGCATATGAATAGAAGATGTTGCATCAGAGATCCGGTCGAGCGATTGCAAGCGATTCAGGAAAACGAGTGAGAAACCGCCGAGCACCGAAAAACCGACATTGGATCAGCGCTCGGAGGGTACGGCATGTTGGGGTACCCCCCACATGATTTGAGGGTGGGGGTACCCCATCACACCCGTTGATATAAAATAATCCATTGTCTCATCACTCCTCCTTTATTTACCGAAAGCAGCCAAGTGCTCACAGTCGGAACTTTGCTCGTGTTCGGGTCGAACGTCGCCCACCACATTGACCAAAGCGATAACGCACACTCACGCACATGCAGAGCCCGTCAGAGTACCGCAGCACTGCCCACGACGGGCCGCTGGGCGAGACGAGATCGCCAACGCCGGCTGGTGGTGCCGCTGACGATGATGGGACGCAGCTCTACACCCGCCGCTGGGCCGTGCTTGCCCTGTTTGCACTGCTCTCCTTTAGCAATGCCGTCATGTGGATTACATTCAGCCCCATCTCGTCCATTGTCGGCGAGTGGTACGACAAGAGCGACTTTCTCGTCAACTGCCTCTCCATGGTCTACATGGCCGTCTACATCCCGCTCGTCTTTGCGTCCGGCTGGATTTTCGACCGACCAGGCGGTCTGCGCTCTGGAACAATCTGGGGAGCCCTTCTCAATGCCGCAGGTACGAACTCTGCACTGTTGGTCAACACCGGAACAGGCAGCTTTCAGCCACAACACTCGAGTACGAGCGAGCACGCACTCACTTGCTGGCTGTTCGTCCAACCAAACTTCCCCCCCCCACCTCCAACTCCCTCCCCCCAAAAACAGGTGCATGGATCCGATATGGCGGCAAGGCTGCGAGCGGCTTTGCGATTCTGATGGCTGGTCAGGCAGTCGCGTCTGTTGCTCAGACATTCATTTTGGGCGTGCCAGCGCTTCTGGCAGCAACATGGTTTGGGCCAAAGGAGCGATCGACGGCTACTGGGTGAGCATCTTGCTGCTTGCCTGCTGGGTCGCATATACTTGTTTGATTGATTTGGCCGTTGTTTTTGCAGTCTCGGTGTGCTCGCAAACCAGGTCGGCATTGCCTTTGGCATGGTCCTGTCACCACAGGTGGTTGATGTTGGCGGTGATCTTGGCAATTACCTTTTGGCGCAGGCTATTGCGTGCACGGCAATTGCCGTTGGCATTTGCGTCTTGTTTTCCGGCAATCCACCAAAGCCCCCAAGCCAGGCTGCTGCCAAGCAGCTGCAGCAGCAGCAAGCGCGTTCACACCACGGGACACAGGCCAACTTTTCACACGAGAGCTTGCACAAGCTTTCAGACCACGATCATCACGATCACCACGACCATCACGACGACGAGATGATCCACGACCCGATTGCGGCGCGGCGAGCGCTGATCGGGGTGACTGCGCATTCCGCAGCTCCCCTGTCGCAATCGACCCAGCTTTTGTCCCCAACAGCCCCCAGTGATGGAATGGGGTACATTCAGGGCGTGCTACACTGTCTGAAAGACCGCGATTTTGTCCTGTTGTTGCTCGCGTATGGCATCAACGTGGGCGTCTTTTACGCAGTCACGACCCTGCTCAACCAGATTCTCACGCCCCGGTTCCCCGGCGAAGAGGTGCAGTTCGGCTGGATTGGCTTTGTCGTCGTCGTCAGCGGCTTGGCGGGATCGGTGCTGAGTGGTGTCTACCTCGATCGCACCGGCCGTTTCCAGCTGACTACCATGGTCATCTACCTCTCCACCACCATTGGCATGGTGTTCTTTTCGCTCGCTGTCGAGTACACGGGGCTCGCGCCCATCTACGTTGCGTCGGGCTTTTTGGGCTTTTTCGTAACTGCGCTCCTCCCCGTCGGGTTTGAGTACGCGGCAGAAATCTCCTTCCCCGTCGCCGAAAGCACCTCGTCCGGGCTCGTGAATTGCATATCGCAGGTGTTTGGCATTGTATTAATTGTCGGCATCGGCGAGCTCCAGAATTCCGTCGGAGTCTCGGCGGGCAACTGGCTGCTCACTGGCGCACTTGGCCTCGGTCTTGCTGCCATGTATCTGACACGAGAGCAACTACGGCGGCGGCAGGTGGACAAGACGTTTGCGATTCAATAACGCAGCAGTTTGTTGGATGCATGTGTTTGCCCCCCCCCCCTGCTTTTTGTTTAACTTTCAAATGGTTAAAAAAAAAAACCAAAAACCAAACCCGAAACCGACCTTTGCACACTTGGACGTTTTTGAATTGAAATCATTTTTGAATTACTATGAAGTGACAAAATCACAACAGAGCAGTTTTCCCGTCAAAGGAGCAAGAAAATGCACAAATACGAGCACACCAAGGTCCAAAAAGATGCACACGAATCAGGCTTCCGAGCGACTTTAGGCGGACTTTGCCTTCTCGGCGATGCGGCGGTCGCGCTCCTCAGCAATAGAGAGGCGGACACCCTTGCCGCGGGGAAGCGAAACGTAAGACTTGTTGCCCTTGCCAATGACGAAAACGTTGCCAATGCGGGTGGCGAACGAGTGGCCGAGCGAGTCCTTGACGTGGACAATGTCGAAGCCGCCCTCGTGGCGCTCTCGCGAGACGATGACACCAACGCGACCGATGTTGCGGCCGGCAGTGATCATGACGAGGTTGCCAGTCTCGAACTTGACAAAATCGATGATGCGGCCAGTCTCGAGCTCAACCTGGACAGAGTCGTTAGCGCCGATCAGCGGGTCGGGGTAGCGGATGGTGCGAGCATCGTGGGTGACGAGGAGCGGGACACCCTTGGCGCCAGTGGAGACCTGTCGGACCTTGCACAGCTTGTACTTGGCCTCCTCAGCGGTGATGCGGTGGACGGCAAAGCGGCCCTTGACGTCGTAGAGCAGGCGGAAGACCTCGTTCGACTTCTCGATCGAGATGACGTCCATGAAGCCAGCGGGGTAGGTGATGTCGGTGCGGACACGACCGTCGACCTTGACGAGGCGCTGTGCGAGGATGAACTTGACCTCCTGGTGGGTAAGGGCGTACTTCAGGCGGTTTCGGAGGAAGACGATGAGCGGCAGGCACTCACGGAGCTTGTGCGGGCCAGTCGAGGGGCGGGGAGCCTACAAGAGAAAAGGGGAAAAAAGAAAAGAAAAAAAGAAAAAGTGAGGTGGATGGAGCAAGGGTCGATTCACAATCGGAGCGAAAGACACAGGCAATCGACACGACGTTGCGTTGCCTGCGCTGTCAAAGAGAGACAGCGCATGTCGTCTGCAGCTCGGGACACAAGGGGGGGGGCAGCCAGGACCAAAAAAAAAAAACAAAAAAAACTTACCCAGGTGCCGGTGAGCTTGTCCAGCATCCAGTGCTTGGGCGCCGCCAGGCGCTTAAGGTGCTTCTTGGAACCAACAACCTGAATGAATCAAACAACGAGTGGACAGGGCAGGAGGAAAGGGGGGGGGAAGCAAAAGTGAGGGCAAAGGGTTCAATAAAATAAAAAAAAATTCGAGCTCGCTGCAAGGCCATCTCGTTCGCCGCTTCCCAACGGCCAGGACCAGGTTCCACACGCCGCCTCAGCGCGGGGAATGCCACACATGCCACAAAATCAACGCCGGAACACAATCCACGGGCCAGTCGGCCGGAACGCGCACGGTGCAGTGAATAAATGGCGTTTGGCGAAAAGTCGACGGCCAGCAATCCGGTCATCCCCTTTCCCTCGGCTCCCCCGGCTCCGCGCAACCACCCACCGACCCCCGCCGCGCTGAATCCATTGTAGTAAGTGATGCTGTATCGGATTGGCGTGGGGCGAGGCCGTTTGCGGTCGGTGATTCGGACATGCGTACCATTGAAACTTAAGTAAGAGAGAGCGAGCGACTTGGTCTTCTCCAAAACTGTCAAGTCATTGAGTTTGGAATACGGCTGACAAATTTCACATTGACGGAACATTTCGGAGGACCTCGAGGCACAGATGCGATGTATAATAATATTCAGTTGCATGAACAGCGGAAGGGAGTGATGGTTGAGGGAGCAGGGGTGAGATGCCACACAAACACAGAGGAGCAACATGGGTCCTTTGCTTCACATTAGAGTCAACTCCCTCGCATTCAAACCCAAGAAATCCGCTTTGGTTTTTCTGCTGGTAGGAGTTTGGGAGTCCTCTTGATGCTCGGAATAATACACTTCTGCAGTGTACAATTTATGACACTGGTTACCCCCCTTTTTTGGACGCTTTCACGACCAAAAAACCAAAAAACGAAAAAAACAAACAAACAAAAAAACCAAAAACAATACAGTAACCACTCTCAGAATGACCGCTGAGATGAAGAAAATCCACAGCATCTCGACCTCGCTGACAGTGAAAAGAGGGTCAAGTTAATCGAGCCCAATATCCCAATGCTCATCCAAATCACCAACGGGCTCTGTAAAAACCACCTGTCTCGTTGGAACACTCAGACCGCTTTGAAAAGCGGCACAATGCATCATCATCAGGAACGTCTTGGAAGGACAATGATACAAATCGAACGATGGTTTATTCAACTCATAACGGGTTGACAATGGATTGTCAACGCTGAGCGCAGTTTTTAGTTTCTTCTTCTTTTCCTTGTTTTATCCCGCAATGTCGGCGGCGGCCCCAGCTGCGGCTCCAGCTGCGGCCCCGGCTCAGCAGCAGCCAGCTTTTCGGCGTGTGTTCGGTTTCATCGGCGGCGCGGTCGCCAAGGTGGTCTCCACCACATTCATCGTTTTGGTTGTGGCGCTCGTTGCTCGGCACGTGCCGGACGACAAGAACACGATCGCCAAGACCCACTCGCCCGAAGTCGTTCTTGCACGCATGCTCGCACGCTTTGAGGCCGGCTCCGTGATCCCACGTTTCGAGAAATACCACGTCAGTCGTCCAGATGCTATTGCGATGCTTCAAAAGGTGCTGCGCCCCGCGCGGTTGAAGGACTACACGGTCGTCATTGGCGAAGTAGGCTGCGGCAAGACCACCGCCGTCCACAACGCCATCCGAGCCAACAGCACTGGCATTGTCTACCACATCGTCAAAAGCGAGGTGTTAGTCTCGATGCCGGGTCTACTGGCACGGTCTCTCGCGTTCGAGCCCAACCAGTTCACAGAAGGCTATTTGAAAGACCGTGGTGTTGAACTGGATGAAGTAACATCGGCAGCAGAACCCTTCAGGAGCTGGGTGTTGCTCAGTCTCATTCTGAGGGACGTTGCGCAACAGTTCAAGACCAAGCACGGTCACCCTGCCACGCTGGTCATCGACGCTGTGGACGAGATCGCTCAGCAGGGTCCAGCACTGTTGCATGCGATTCAAGATTTTGCCAAGGCGGCTGCTGACGAGCAGCTGCTCAATGTTGTTCTCGTCACCTGCGATGGTTCGAATCTGCCTGAGCTCAAGGCATCGTCAGCAATGACTCGTGCTCGCATTGCCGAAGTGAGTGATATCACCGACGAACAAGCTGTCGATTTTCTGCTGCATCGTGGCGTCAACGAGGATGCGGCAAAACGCGCGGTTGCTGAGATTGCTGGCGGGCGTTTTGTTCTGCTCAACAGCCTGGTGTTTGAGCTTCAGTTCAAGACTGTGGACCAGATCTTTCTGAAGTTCCACATTGGCACTCGAGGTGCCCTGCGTCGACTTTTCGGCGACTTGGCGCAGATATCGCCTCCCGTGAGCAGCACCTTTTGTCGTCTCTGTCGAGGTGCTCAGCATGTCGATGATGTGGAGGAGGCTCTTGGTCTCGACCTCACCAAAAAGCTCCTCGCCACCCACATCAACATTCTCGCTTACCATCCCAACGACACCTACACCCTTCACTCGCGCCACGTTCAGCGCT